TTGAAAAAAAAACTATAAACAGAAAAAAAGATTAGTAAAAATAAAAATGCTGAAAAATGAAACAGGCATTAATTTAACTGATGTTTTACTAGAAACAATCGCATTCCGTATGGTTGAGCCAGTCCATTACGTTTTTTTTTATTAAAGAAATATTTCAAAGAATCCCTCTTGATAGAGTTTCTCGCAAACAGCAAAGAAAGTTGTCCGAAATAAATCAGGAAAAAAATAGTTTTGCCAAGAGCTACAGAATCAATTAATAATTTAATGCAAAGAGAAAAACGTTGCAAATTATTAAACAATCCACTATTATTTCCAAATATTTATATGGTAAATGAATATGCACGGTGTGTCCCACTACTTCCCTAACTATTTTTGGGGAAAATAAATATTTTTTTTATTTTTCACTAAAAAATAGATATAATTGAATTATTTAAATTACTGTACGGCATTTATCGAAAGGGAACCAATCCAAAAAATATGCAAAAATTAGTTAAATGTGGTTTTGAAAGACGGAAGTCATCATTACTTTAAAAGAAAATGAACAATCTCATGGTTCAAGTATTTTTAATAGAAAATTAAAGTTGACAAAAAAATCTAGTAAGGTGCGCATCACACAACTTTCACTTACCACCCTCTTCTTAGCAGAAATAAGTATTTTCAGACAAAGGGGAAGTAAAAGTTAAAATTATAGAGGCTAACTAATATAATCTAAATTATAGTAACCGGGTACAGTTCGCTCAATTCACAATTATATAACCGCCTTAATTGTCCGGTCGACTCGTCCTTCTTCAGTCCTTAAATTCAGAGCAATACTTTATTTTCAAAAACCTTAAGACGTTGCTCATCCCTTAATGTAAACGGCCACACTCATCCAGTTCATGAAATAAAATTATATATGGCATGTAGCTATTGTTTGAGTACATTATTGACACAATTTGTACCGACTGAAGGAGTGGATTCAAATATTTTTTAAGGAGTAACAAAACTAAGATTTGTATTTAGCACCTCGAAAAACCATGTTTACGAATTCTAGTAGCAATCTTAAACTAAAATTTCAAAGTTATTGATTTGCTTCGAAAGATCAATACATTTGCTTAGATTTACGTCTCCGCAGTCAGGCGGGTTTTCTTTTTCTTTCTTATTTCAGCCTTCTCAGTTTCCTTCCTCCTTCCTTTCATCCCTCTGCTCTGTTTTAACTCAGTATTATATTATACGTTGTCTATACATCTTGATAGACTTTACAACATCTCAATTTTCTATTCTCAACTATTCTATTCACAATATCTTAATTTTATTGTTTATTTCCATTTCTTATATAACTTCATATTTTTCTGTTTTTACATTTTATTCTAAGATTCCCATTTTAATACTTATGTCACCTTTTTTTATTATGTTTACTTCATCCTTCCACACTTTGTACAGCTTATTATCATTTATCTCTTTGTTCTTACTATTGTCATTATTCTAACAACTGAATTTTACTGTTTCTCATACCTTGATATCTGGTCCTTTTCTTAGCCCTGATGATGGCCTGAACTTCAGGTCGAAACGTCGGCTAATGTCAAAATAAATAGTATAATTTATTTTTGCCTTCTTATTTGACTGATCACCCCAACTATTCTTCTATTCATTATTCACGACAGTCAACCATTTACCAATTATGGATCAATAATTTAGTTTTCCAACGTTTTTAATAAAGTTGGATTAGGAGAAAATTCTTGAAAATTATGAATACTTTATTAAACGAATGAAAAAAGTGATCCTGCGATAAAATCAAGTACAAAAATTTATATTTTTTTATTTTAATACAAATTTATATTTCACAGTTTTTAAAGGAAGCAAGTAAAGAAACAAATATTGTATTATTTTTTCATTTAAAAAATCTACTTCAACATTAATATAAAAAATATTTTTTGGTTTTTATTTAATATAATCACCAATATGATTTTCTTATTTTGATAAAAAAATAAAGAAATCAATTAATAACAAAAACAGAAAACAATAATAGAAAAAAATTTTAAAATATTTTTTCCCCGGCTCCTAGGACGCATAGGCAAGAATCCTCGGACATGGGTAAAATATTTTCTGACCTGGTATCACCAAAAACGTTTCATTGAAATCGGTGACTTCGCGTCCATAACCTCCTTAGTGATACTTAGCCAATGACAGAGCTTAGCTTAGACTCACTATCATTCATAGCCAACTGACGGCCCCATTAAATCTGGAACTGATAGGCGATCGAGGTGACGTGTCAGTGATTTACTACGAGCACTTGGATAGGCCATCGAATTATCGGTTAGCTATCTAGAGGTCCCTCCCTTGCCCTTGGGGTATTGAATATTTTTATTGGTTCTTTTTTGTTTATATGAGTTAAAATGATATGGATTATTTGATATACCTAGCCCTGTCATAAATATTGTTACAAGGAAATATATATAGATTTAAACAGAAAAATTATTTTTTTCAAAAACTTAATATCTATATTAACAAAAACGAGAATGTTCGTTTGTTCAAAACCGCTAATCTCCGAAACTTCTTCACTGATTGGTTTGAAACATTGACATAATGTTTCTATCGCATTCAGGAGTGTTTTTATATACATTTAATCATCCTCTGGTCTTTCGTTTCGGAATGGCGTCCCAAAAACCAATGTCGCTGTAGACTGTAGCGCCTAAACGGCTGTAACGATTTTAATTAAACTTGCCTAAAGTCTTATGCTTGAAGCCCTTTTGTATATATCTTTCCCCGAAAAGAGTATGGAAAAAAATTACGATGGCTTCAAAACTATATTTGCGAATAACTCAAAAAGTATACAATTTTTGTTAGGTTATACGCATCATTATTTGGTGCAGAAATATAATGCTTTGAACATTTAGTAATTTTTCATGGAAGATTTAGAGACCGATTGCTTTTTATATAGACAATTATATGTTGCAAATTCTAGAGTTGGAAAACCAGACAATCTCTATATCTATACAAAGAACAAGTATTGTTACATAAAATATATTATAAACACCTAATTTTTTTTCTACTTCTTTTTTTATTTAACCAGAATGATCCATAGCAACGCGTGGCCGGGTCAGCTAGTTAGAACATAAAATGTATATCTATAGAGTAAAACAAAAAAAAAAAAAATTACTCCCCAAAAATATCCCCCTTTTGCCTTGACACAGACATTTAATCTCCATGGTCAGTCATCAATAGCAGCACCCAACACTTCTTCTAAGGTGTGCTCTGTGGCATGTCATCCTCTCCAGTTCAGACCAAAGCCGATAATCTAGTGGATTGAGATCAGGACTTCCTGAGGGCCAATCCGAGGCAGAGATGAACTTAGGAATGTTCTTTTGAAGCCGCTGCTGAGTTGACCTGGCCTTGTGAGCTGGAGCGGAATCCTGATGGAAAACCCAATGATTTCCAGCAATCAGTATCATTTAGAGCCTTGACAACAGGTTCTAAAATATCGTTCTGATAGTTTTTATTGGCCGTTTTAACTCCTTTTTCACAAATTGGAGCTTTGTGGAGGAGAGCCATCAAATCAAACCCACCCTCCAAACCATCACTGAGGAAGAGTGGTCCACTCTTCCAATGACTTCCTGGGCTTCTTCCTTCTTTCTAGATCTGTGTGGTGTACACACGATCATTTTGCCGATTAAATTTTTCTTCAATTGCAAATATTTTTTAAGCGCTAAACAAAATCTTTTGATGAAGACTATTGGTGTAATGGCCAAGGAGCCATTTGCATCTATCCACTATATTTTTTTTAGAGAAGTGGTTCGCCTTTGTCCTGTCATTAATCGAAATGCACCCATCCTAATTACTATATAAAAAATACAAGAAACACATGAAGGAATTCATCAACAGCACAAAACGGCAACGGAACCTTCAAGCATAGATCTTTAGTTGAGTAAATCTCTGAGAATAAAACAATTTGTATTATTCTCTCTTTTTTTTTAAATATTATTATTATAATTTTAACCTATTAAATATTGTATCTTCCATTTTCATTGAAACTTACTTTTGTTCTTCTTAAAGTTTGTCTAATTCTTTAAAATACTTTAAAGATTTAAACAGAAAACTTTTAGTTTATTGATACTTATTTGTTTATTGTGATAATTGTATTTCTTTTTTGCATAATGCTATTGTTCCTCACTACCAAAGGAAGAGAAGCATTGTATTTTATTTGTACATAAAATTGTAACTCAGTTTAAAAATGGGAAATAAACACGTTATTTTAATAGAAATGCGTGTACTTAACTTCATTGGCACAGAAGAGTTGGATGAATTTGATGATCTTAAATGGACTTTTGGAGAAAGAACAAATGAACAACTATTTCAATAATAGTTTTTTAATTTAAAGCCAAAATGAGAGAAAAAGAAATACCAGAGAAGAAATAATTTAATAAACAGAATTAAATATAGGAGATAAGTCCACACTATTTAACATTCAACTTTTATCTAATGCCACTACATAATGACACATTTGAATATCATAAAGTTGAATAGAATTATTAATCTGGGAATTCTGAATGATTGGCTGTTTTTAATTTATTATTTATTCAAAGTATTATTCCCATTTTTTTTTCCGATAAGAAAAGTTCAAACAGAATTTTTAAACTTCAATAAATTCAAAAGCTGCTGAACATACCATTAAAACATAGATACAGTTTTTATTTTTAGATTAGCTGAGACAATTTTAGATTTTAATAATAGTACGTAAACTTATTGTTGCAAATATTTCAATGTAAAAAAAAACAAAATAATGATATTATATTTAACTCTTCTATATCCAGGAACTGATATTTTAAATAGAAATAAAAACACTACCAAGTGGTACTTTTATTATTTATTTCATAGTCATTTAACATTTACAATAATCATTTCAAACATATATTTCAATCAAAACAAAAAATAATTCAATAAAAAACTAAAATCTATTTTTATAATATAATTTTATCAAAAAATAATTACTTATAATACATCACAGATTAACATAGTACCTTGCTGATTTCATCAGGAAATGATATTCATTTACACCTTTTTCAATAAATACAAATATATAAATTTAATTTAGTTTTTTAACATTAAAAAATAAATAATTATAACATACAAACATAAATAACAGATAAGTTAAACAAAAATAGATCAATGACTAGAACTGTACGGTCAATGGAAATTGAATTTAAAATTTCCATGTTGAATTGTAGTCAATTAACATTATATTTTACTAATTTAATTATTTAAAAAACAAAACATGAAACAACAAAATAATATAATAAATAAACTCACATAAAAATAGAATATTTATATATCCAGTCAATATGTTTCGTTGACTACACAGGCGGTGGACCTTTGGGATACTTGAGGACAATGTACGGCCAAAAATATTGTCGAGGAATCCCATCGTGTTTCCACGACACAATCAATATCAATATCACCATCGTGAAGAACAGCATCGAGGCGGTAACAAGCCATACTAAAGTCTTCATGCAGATCCTGTGACATGATTTTTAAATATTTTTCTTAAAAATAAATAACTGATTCATTGGTATAAAACTAATTATCTCTCTATTGTAAAAAAAAAAAGTTGTGACTGTCATATTTCATTTTACATATACAAAGCGGGACGGACCGTAACAAAGACAACAGGGTGTAAATCTCTATTTTGTATTAAGAGTAGGAGGTTACAGTAACTCAACATATACGTTGTACCGTAATGAAGATACCAGAGTGTAAATCTCAAATTAGTATTAATAATTGGTTGAAAGTAAATAAAGCAGCATCTTGCTAATCAGGCTCCATAACATAATAAATAGTATCAAATTACCAAAATTGCTAGATTAATGGAGGTATATATAAAAAAACAATACAAATTAATGTTTTTATTAAAAAATAAAAATTTAAACCACTTCGAATATAAATTTAGTCTACTGAAAGATGCTAATTGGAAAGCCCTAGGTATTGGGTTGGCAAATAAGTCCTTTCAGTTTTTCTGTTTATTTTTGTCACTATGATACACTTCTTATCTGATACTAAGGAGGATTGTTTATCCTGTTTGTAATATGTCAACAACCATATCTGTTAACGCTTTTTGAAACTTTCTTAGCATTGAGTTTGCTATTACAATGTGGATATGGAAGAAAATATCATTCATTATCACCATATTTTGTTTTATTATTTTAAAAAATATAAGCATGCTGCAGAAGCTCATAGAAAAATTTGCAGCATTTATGGGGATAATGTCATAACCGAACGCACCTGTCAAAATTGGTTTGCCAAATTTCATTCAGGAAATTTTGACATCAATGATGGTCAACGTTCTGGTCGCCCACATGAATGGTCAACGAGCAATTTTAAGGCCACCTTGATAAAAAAAAACACCCAATCAGTGAGAGAGATTGCTATGGCCCTAAATGTGTCGCACACAAGCACAAAAAAAACATTTGTACAAGCTCAGCTATGTTTCGAGGATTAATGTTTGGGTCCCTTGGTCTCTAACCAAAGTCAACTTGGCAACACATATTTCTGTTTCTGATTCACTACGGAAATGGCAATAAAACGACCCATTTTTGAAAATGTTGGTAACAGGAGATGAAGAATGGATATTTAACGATAATGTAGTCCACAGAAAATCCCATAGAAAATGTCAAAACCCGGATTGCATCCAAGGAAGATAATGCTTGCCATATGGTGGGATTTCAATGGTGTTATTTTCTATGAGCTATTGCCATTAATACAAACAATTGATTCAACTCTATACTGCTCACAATTGACAAAATTGAATCAATCAATTAATAATAAACGCCCAGAACTGGTAAATCGGAAGAGTGTTGTGTTCCACCAACACTAATGTTAATGTGGCACGTTTACATTTTTGTATCATCTCACAATACTTTGAAGCTGACTGGCCACCTAAAATGCAGCTGAGCTGTGACTAGCAAGAGGGGGTCAGCAACCAATTACGTAGTGGAGCTTAGTATCCTTCTCATATTCTGCATAACATTTTAAATATATATATATATATATATATATAGCATATATAACACTTTAAAAAATTAGCAAAGCTGATCATGTCGGAATTGAAAAAAAAAAAATTTAATATTTTCCCTTAAACATTCGATTAAGAATTCTTCCACACCCATTACATATTTTATAACAAAGCCCCACAGTTGCGTGACAGTGGTGAGTAGATGTGGTGTGGGAAGCTGAGCCTAGCGGAATCAAAACAGAACCCCCGTTAACCCAAAGCTGACCTGCGTTGACCCTCGCTACGACTCTCAACTGCGCTTAGCTCAGTTTCTAGCCTCTCATTGAAATAATTTGGTTCGGTTTTGGAAGCTGACTCAGCTACCCTCAGCTGTTCCGCTGCGCTTTTTGTAGCTGGTCAACCTAAGTTTATGTACACATCACAGAATAATTACAGAAGACATGTTCAATTGTAACTACAGTCAGATTTGGACATCAGTTAGTAAAAAATACATCCAACTTAGAAAATTACATAAATTTTTAGTTGGATTACTCAAAGAAGTGCAGTTAATTAGAGCAGATGGACTTGTGAATAACTTATTTAGACTGAAGTTCCATACTGTAAGTAATAAAAGTGATAAGAAATTTTATGATGCTAAATCGACCCTACTATAATATAGTTATAATATATTCCTCCGATTTGTTACAGTATTATAATAACCTAATACAAAACAAAGAAATGGATATTCATTATGAAGCTGAAACACTTTAAGAAACATTTCTTGTAAATTTCAATTTTTTTTACAGCTATTGTAGAAAATAAAATATTATAGGAAGGAGATGGTCTGGGTTGGCGGTCATAAATAGGCTAAATAGTGGCAAAACTATTTTATTAAAAGCCAATGTTTCGACCCAACTTTGAAGGTCTTCTTCAGGGAGGTGAGTTCAGCTAGGAGTTTCACTTAGTTCTGAGTGTCGGCTTTTAATAAAATAGTTTTGTCACTATTTAGCCTATTTATGACCGCCAACCCAGACCATCTCCTTGCTTTATAATGCAACGGTCAACTATTAAATATTCAATAAAATGATAAAGTTGTTTTATTTCTTAAAAAGAACCGTTTAGAAACTGGCAATCTGAAAAATTCATATTACCTAGCTCGTAACACTCTCACCCTGAGCCCTTCAGCTAGGAGAAAACAATTTTCAGGAGAACAAAAATTTTAATTTAAAACTGACATATCTATTTTAATCATTCCAGGGAGTGAAAATAAACCAAAGCATTAGGTCAAAAGAAATAAACGATTTTTTTTTATACTTAACGATTTATTAAAATATAAGGTCCTCAAAGATAAATACATTTCCTGCCAAACAAACATGACTACTCACAATCATCAAAATATCATCAGTTAATCTGAATCATAATAAAACACAATAAATAATTAATTGTGTTGTTTCTAAATTTGTTTACAAACAGTAATTTTAAGACATCATTTAAAAAATAAAATAATTAAAGATTTTAAAATTTGGATAATTATAATTGGTGAAGTAACATCATTTTATGTAAATAAATAATAATGAAAATTTTGAATATTATACTTAATTGATCAGACATTAAAAATGTCAAAATTATTTTTTAAATGATCATACACAACTTTTGTATTATGTTGAACGACCTAATATTTAAAAAACAACAATTTTTATAATGTGCAAAACTATTAAGTTGATAAGACGATTTAAAAAGTATTTTAGTATAAGTAGTTGTAAATATAAACAATAAATAAATAATATAAATTATGAATAACTACTAATTTGTATGGTGATATAATAAATTTTAACAACTATAACATAAATATAAAGAGCAAAGACAAATTCATATAACTGAAAATATTCAGTGTTAAAAATTAAAAAAATTCAATTATCAATTATTTGTTTGTTTTATACTACTAATGAACTAAGGATGATATTTTCCTTCACATCAGTTGAGAATACGATGAACTGATGAAAAATATCACAGCGATAAACGATAATTCATAAACCAAACTACCAAATATTACTTTTGGAAGTTCTATCAGTAGGTAGACTACTGCTGATGGAATTAACGGATCCTTCTTCAGACAGTCTAAAACATTTCAACAGTGAAATCATCTGTAAATGATCCACATTTGATAGAAAAATAGTGAGTTATAAACAATACAGGATACATCAGGAACGGTGGACCATAGGAGAGGCTTCCGTATCTCGTAAGCAACAAAAAAATACCTCTTAAAAGTAGTTTTGTTGTACTGTTGTACTTGAGTTGGGTCCCAGAAAGTTAAAGCGAAGTTCCCTGACTTTTCTCTGGCATTTCCCTATTTAAAAACAGTTTTTCCTGACTAATATGTCAGGGGACAAAAATATTATAATTTATAACAAACATCTCTCAATATATCCACGACAGTCAACTATCAATCCACAATTATAAATAAATTTATTTATAATACATGAATGAAAACTGACAAAAAAATTATTTGAGTAAAAAACACTCAGTCTTTTAAATAACAAATATGATGTTTTAGAGAGAGCATTAGGATTTTTTATTTTTGAAAACTTAATAATCTATTTATTGAATAATAACACAATCAGCCACTGCTGGAGGGCTATATAAGTATTAGGGCTAAAAGTTTTCATTCATACAATATATACAAATAATAGAGAAATAAATATAAATATAAAAAATAAATAAATAATAATGATGAATAAAGTAAATAACAGGAAAAAAAAATAAAATAAAATAAAAACTTCTTAACACAACCATACCTATATAAAATACATACATTCGCCCAGAAATCTCCGAGCCAGGCTTTTTCCCCCACATCTGGAAGACAAAACAAGACTCCAGGAGATCCCATTTTTCCAGCCGCATTACTAGTATTAGAAGCCAGTGGAGACTGAAAGAGGGCACTAGAGCAACAAACGCTCAGGACATGAGTGGAGAAGCTGGCAATTGCCAGAACTCCAGAAGCATATTTACAAGAGATCTCTTGGCCGTTTTAATCTTCGAGGAGGATTGTAAGGATGAAGGGAGCTGGATAGGGATTGAGCTAGAGGATTTGGATGATGGATAAGGTTCTGATGAAAGTTTGAGAATCTGGATGGGATGATATTTTGAAAACCAAACTTTAATATTACAGGAACCATCCGTGCGATCAGCCCTCAACTTTAGGCCGAAACATAGACAAATATAAAAATAAATATCATTTATTTATTTATACTTTTTATTTTTTTGACTGAACACCACAACCAACTTCTCTTCTATAAATTTTTAGTAATTTATTTTTATCCCAATTATTTTATTTTATTAAACTATGTGAAAGTTTAACTAAAAGTAACATTATTGCTATATCAAACTATTTACTTTATTTCTCATGATACTGACAGAAGATCAAAGATATAAAAAAATAAAAAAAAAGAATTACTAGCATATTAAAATAACCATTTATATATTTATTATTCCCATAGTTTTTGAAATATCTAAAAAAGCCATAGTTTTAGAAAAAAAAATGATCAGATATAGCGACAGCTCTCCATAAAGTTGATACCAAACGAAATCCACTGTATATTTATTTTCAATTTGAAAAAATATTAATGAACCGAAAAATTCCTTGACTTTAACTTTTTCATGACTTCCTGAATTTTCCCTGTTTTGAAAATTTCCTGATTTTTTTTCCAGGATTTCCACGTCGGTCACCACCCTGGCCGATGACTTTCATTTGTTACTTCCAGCTCGTTATAAACATAATAGTTCAAAATATTGTTAAATACAAATATCAAGCTTATAAATAACAGTTTTTAGTCGTACCCCAAGGGAAGAAATAAACACGGTATGTGGTCTTTTTTAATTAATGCACAACATTTTCTTATTCTTTTTCTTCCATGGCGCTGCAACTCGTGCGGATTCAGGACCTCCTGCAGCATCAACCGCCAGTCATCTCTGATAAGCGCAGCCACCTTCCAATTTTGGACTCCAAGGATAGCTTGGACATCTGTTTTCACTCCACCATCTCATCTTTTGATCTGTTTTGGTCTGCCTACCTGTCTGTCCATTCCTCTAATAATTTTCTTAATATATGATCTACCCATCTACCAATCTTTATAATTCTCACAACATTGGCATCTCGATATAGCTCCTGCAACTCATCATTCGTTCGCATTCTGGTTGTTATTGAATACTGGGCCAAATATTTTTCTTAAAACAAGACTTTCAAATTGGAGAAGAGCTGCTCCTTGGGTTCGACACCATTTTGCTGGTATTAATTTAAACAATGATGCTAGGTTATGGCTGTATAAAAAACCAACCATTACCTACCAATAATGTTATGGCTCTATAAAAAACTAACCATTATCTACCAATAATGTTATGGCTCTATAAAAAAATAACCATTATCCATCAATAAATTACGTATTAGTGCCTACCTTCAACAAAGTGATAGTTTCTTCTAATATTTTATGATAGAAAATATGAGCCTCATGATATAAATACTAGTTGCTCCATCATTGTTCACGAAATCTTCAATTCAATGTGATAATTTGTTTAGTACGAGCATCCCCAATCAACTTCAATGAGTTTGAAGACATATGTTCTTAAGAATGTACTCTAAAGACATATGTTTCTTGAGACCTCACTTGCTATAGAAATGTTATTAAAAAATATTACTTTGAATTTTTTTTTTTTTAATTGAGCTTATACTGTTTAGAAACTTGATCTCAATTTGCACCGGTAATGTTTTTTTGTAATTTATGCCAATGAATATTTTAGTAGGACAGTCACATATTTGAGAATTATGAATTTAAATTTTTTAAATTTATTTTAAATGTATATATTTAGGTGATACACTATTAACAAATGATAGATTTACTAACTAAATGGAGCATGCAACATAATAAGAAGCATTTAAATAACAACTTCAAAGTCAAAAGTTACAAAATCCATAACAAAAAACTATAAGGAAAGACATCTTCTTCATCAACTAAAATAAAATCCATAAAAATATAAAGGAACTATATAAATATTGTTGAAAATCCTTGACATTTTTTTTACTTTGTGAACACAAAATCTATAACTCACCTAAACTGCTCGGAAACCCTGCAGGAGGCGCATTCTTTAAAAAACTGAAAGGGTCTGATCTGGTCTGAACTAAAACTTGTATATTGACCACTCATATCTAAAATATTGCTTTGTAAACAAGAAATTTAATGCTCTGTTTAATGGTATGTTCAAGATTCCAACAGACCAAGTAATTCAATGGTGACAACTATATTTTAAATGTTGTCTTATAATATCATATTGTAAATAACCTAGTATGGATTAATTGTAAATAGCCTTGTTCGGCACCAATTGTAAATAACCTTGTTTGGCAGTTATTGTAAATATTCTGTTTGGCGGCAATTGTGAATAGCCTTCCGCTTCGTAGGGGGACTAGGTTATTTACACTCGTGAATTTAATTTTCTTAAAACAATACCCCGGCACTGGATATAGACTTTTTGAGGGTGTTTAACTATCGTTGGGAATTCGGAAACCTAATGCTTTTGTGACACTGAGTGACAAGAAATAATAAGAATATATATATATATATATATATATATCTGAAATGTGGGACTAAGTAAACACACTTTGAATGAATTGACTCGCCTGGTTTGTTATTCTTTAATTATGAGGCCAAGAGGACAACTAAATAAAAGGACTATTCACTCCTACCTAACAAAACAATTTATTTTGACAATTGTAATAAATGAATCTATTAAAGTGTTATAACTGTAGGCTTGATATCTTAAGTATCATAGGTTTCTCTTCCCAGGTAACATCCTTCCTTCTTCCTCTCCCGGCAAGAAGTGTTTTCTTTGCTCTCCCAGTGTCCTTCTTCAGCTATTGCCATCTATCGGCCCTTTTTCAGGTTTCTTCCTTTCTCGGTTCTGTACCTTTTTCGAAGATTGTTTATCGATTAGATACTTTTCAATAAACAACTTGTCCACTGCATAATTGAGTACAATTCATAGTGCAACCCTACGTTCCTTCTCATTCCCTCACTTAATGTCACATAAAGGAGTAAATACTAGAGGCCATCTACTATACTATACAAGAAGAACTATTTTGTAACAAATGAAGTGAGATATGACCTTCTGCCCTACGGTCCACCGTTCCCAATACATCCTGCATTGTTTAACAAATCCACATTAATGAGAAAGCAATATTTATATATTTTATCTTTATTCAGTCAAGCAACACTATACTAAAGTGAACAATTAGAATTTCATAACACAACATTTTTTAATACTTATATCGATGAAATTAATCTGAGGTTTTATAACAATTGGATGGCCTCAGAATACTGAACTCTAAATTTAAAATAAACCCAACAAATTATTTTTCAATCCTACCTTTTTAAGAGTAGTTTACAATTAATTATTATTTTGTCATCCTCTTTTATAAATTGTTATCAAACCAGCACTATTTTTATTATAATTATTTTTTTAAAATTCATCTTATCATTATATTAGGCATAATGTACCACAAGTGAGAGACCTTTTTATCATTAGAAGCCGGAGTAAGTTAAATTTTGATAATGGAGGCTACAATAATTTTTTTTTATATTTTACTGTATCTATTCATATTTATAAGTAAATACAAACTAAATACATATATCTTAATTAATTCTATTAATTTTCAAATTTTACAATATCTAATAATTTCCTAATATTTAAGTAATTAAATGTTGATTATACTAGCACCGGATTAATAAAGATCACGCAATAACTAACGGGGCTGCAGGTTCCACACTTGTATAATATATTGGATTGGCAAATAAGTCCTTTCGGTTTTTCAGGGTGAAATAAAACTCAATGTATCATAGACATAAAATTTATTTTAACCTACCATATATTGGCCATTAATTAATATGACTTTTTCCCATCTTTCTATCTGCATAATACCATATTCATAGAATGCCTGTAGTTTATTGTTAAAAAACTGATCCAAGTGGGTTTTGATGTCCTCTTTCTTTTGGAATTTCTTTCCATTCATGGAGTTCTGCAGAGACCGGAATAAGCGGTAGTCACTTGGAGCTAGGTCTGGTGAATAGGGAGGGTGGGGCCTAGCGTTGTCTTAGTGGAACACAAAACCCTTCCGATTTGCCAGTTCTGAGAGTTTATTTTTAATTGATTGATCTAATTTTGTTAATTGTAAGCAGTATAGAGCTGGACCAATCGTTTACACTTATAACAATAACTTATAGAAAATAACATCCATGAAATCCCACTATATGGAAAGTATTATCTTCTTTAGATGCAATCCGGGTTTTGACATTTTCTATGGGATTTTCTATAGACTACATTATCATTAAATATCCATTCTTCATCTCCTGTTACCAACATTTTCAAAAATGGGTCGTTTTATTGCCATTTCCGTAGTGAATCACAAACAGAAATGTGTGTTGCCAAGTTGACTTTGGTTAGAGAGTGAGGGAACCAAACATTAAGCATGGAAACATAGCCGAGCTTGTGAAAATAGTTTTCTACGCTTGTGGGTGACACATTTAGGGCCATAGCAATCTCTTGCACTAATTTGGTGGGATTTTGATCAACAATGGCCTTAACAATGCTCGTTTTAATTTCATGTGGGGGAGCATCATTGATGGTAGAATTTCCTGACTGAAATTTTACAAACCAATTTTGACAGGTGCATTCGGTTAAGGCACAATACTTAACAATACTAAGCTAGTTTCAACAAGAGTTAACAGATATAGTGTGACATATTACAAACAGGATAAACAATCCACCTCAGGGATTAATTCATCATATAAGAAGTGTATCATAGTGACATAAAAATAAACAGAAAAACCAAAAGGACATATTTGCCAACCCAATATTATAAGTTACAATTTTAAAAAATAAATAAATACAATAAAGCAATATTCCATTTAATGTCTGAGTACATTTATTTATTTATAATAAATAAGTTTAACTTTGAAGAATTTCTAATTAAAGCTAACAGTAAGACCTTTAGCTTGGTAAGTGAAAGTAAAACTATAGACCACTTTTCACATTTGTAATTCAAATTCGTATGAGAATAAAAAAAAAATTAAAAACATTTTTTTTTTTTATTAATATTTTAAAACATACCTTAAACCAGGTGCCAGGATGGAAAACATTCCAGCAACCACAGTAGATAGTCTTTGAGTGAACCTATAAAACATTTTTTTTTTTAATAATTAATTAATCCAATAAGGATGATAACATGTATTAAAAATATAAGTTGTACCTATATTTTATTTAAATCTATATTATGAAATGTGTTTATTATCACTTTATTAGATGGAAGAATACATGCGCCATTTGACACGATATAATACTAAACTGGGGCAACGATGCAGAAATTTAAAAAATACTGATTGCAACTAATAAAGTAATAATAAATACATGGGTGATAAATATTCAGGACACAGTCATTATAAAGTTTTTATAAACATGTGGTATAAAATAAGTCGTTATAAACATGTGGGTCATCATCGATCAGTGTTTCGAGCACTGAGGGTCAATAATAAACACAATTTCATTAGAAAGGATACGAATATTATATCATTGGTTATATATCATATCATATAATATTATATCAATATTATATTGAAAAAAGTCACTAACGAGGGGAGGTTACGGACGTGGGGTCACCTATTTCAAGAAACTTTTTAGGTCGAAAACTACTTTGACGCAACAGTTATAATGTTTCCCTTTAATTTATTATAATTTTCGACATGAAAAACTTACAATGTCATAGGAAATAAATAGATTTAATCATTAATAAGTAAATATAATAAATAATTACAACTAAATAGTAAGTATGAATACGTTTGAGAACATAAATTGTATAAATTAAATAATTTTCTAATATTTTCATGATTTATATAGTTGTAACTTACGTCATCTTTTGATAAGTGTTGGATCTACAAATGGTTAAAGGCTTGTTATAAACATCCAAACATGACAACCTCCTGGATTCCAATCTTCTTATCCTTTGAAAACAATATTACAAAATTTTAAAAAATGAATGCTTCATTTTTTTTTATTATTGTACAAACGGTTCAATATTTTTTTATACAAAAAATTTATGTTTACTGTATAGTTTCTACAGACATGTATGATTTTCAAAAATAATAAAAAAAACTGATTTTCCTACAAAAATCTTGCAGCATATTATTGATCCATTGAGATTTGCCGAGGGATGGAGGATTAGGAAGACCGCCAACTATACCAAAAATACAAGGAGATTGACGCAGTCAGATTCATTTTAAGTTTGGAAAACTCAGTTGGGCTGGTCACGTGGCTAGGATGAGTGAAGAAGAAATCCCAAGGAAGGTATCTGAAGAAGTCCTTTGTAGGACTTCAAGAGCTGGGAAATCAAGGTTAAGGTGAACTGACAGAGAGGCCGCGGATGCAAGAAATCTCCTTGGGATCATCAACTAGAAGGTAGCAGCATATGACAGATTCAAATGGAGAAAGCTCATTGGGGAAAAAGACCAAAAAAGGAAAAAAGCCAAAAGAATAAAAAAGATGAAGTATTTAACTTGTGCGCAGCAGCTATCATCGAAATATACCTCCGATTTCTGAGCTTCAACTGCCGCCTACCTTCTCATATATAAATGAGATCTATTAGAAATTTAATGTTCTTTAAATTTAAACATAAAACATTTCTACAAGAAATGCATAAGTAGTTATTAAAAACTCATGAAGATAACTATTTCTAGCGAAATAGATAAAAAGTCCCCCTCAACCTCACATTTAAAGGAAAATATAAAAAAACTTATACGACTACAATCAGGATTTTGGTTATACACAGAGGGTTTTGGTTCAGTACTTTGGAAGTACTATGGGTTGGTTAACAGTTACAGCAAGAAAGTGATTTGACCGAGATCACGCTCAACAGCCACTTTTCCTCTTAATTAATTATTGAATTAAGAATACTCACTCTAAAGAGTGTCGGTGTGTCCTAGCAGGATCTCCCGACCCAAGGGTTGATCCATGGCTGATGTAACAGAAAATATACTTACCTGTTATGGCCAGCCTTGAACCTGATGTTCCGAACATAAGAGAACAGTGCCTTACTCAAAGAGCTACTCCTCTCACAACTTTGTATAGAATATTATTTTCAATAAAATACATTGTTACTAGTGACAACCAAAAAAGTTCCAAAATTTTGCTATTTTTTGAGTATATCTCAAGACACTGCAAGAAATTTTGTTTGGAAACTTCAAATCCAGATTCAGCATCCAAATAAATAATAATAATAATGACTTTTTTTTTTACTTCTCCGTTCAACACTGGTGGAGACAGCCCTGATGAAGGCCTGAACGTCGGCAAATGCCAAAATAAATATTATCATTTATTTTTGCCTTCTTATTTGACTGATCACCTCAACTATTCTTCTCTTCAATAATAATAATGAATTTGTTTGCTCAAAAGTACAAAACTTTATAGTAAGGAGTTGACTAAAATAACTGCTTAAATTAACTTTTTAAACTTCTATAAATTTATTCAATACATCCTCATTGAGAAAAAATAGAAAAAATATATATAGTGCAGTGACAAGCGAAATGCACTAATCGTAAGTCAAAATTATCAGTTTTTGGCTTTTCTTGGTAACAAAACTGAGATGTTTCTATTATAAAATAATATCAAATACTTTAGCCTAGTAGTCTAGTAGCCAAAAATCATGGTTTTGACTTAGTGTTCAACCTTTTTTTTTTCTGTTCTTTCCTACCTCTCTTTTTAGGCTATAGGGATTTTCCCGGGACGGGGGTGAAGGCGAAGAATTTAACATCCCCTCTGGTACCGGGACGCAAACTCGTACTTTTTTTAATCTCTCCTATCTGCTATCTGGTTGCCAGGCAACTCGCGGTGCTCTGCACACACGTTAGCCCATTCAGTCACATTAATGTATTCAACCTATAACCTGATGATATATATGTGTATGCATATATTTTCAGCACTAAATAATACAATGAAACATAACTTCTCCAGTTTTAAAACTTTCTTAGTGTTTCTCTTCAGCCATCCCTTCTCAACCTAATGATAAACTTCTTAATTTAGGACAGAGACATGAATAGTGATACCGTTCATTGAAATTTGTTACGCTTTCTACTCTTAGGGTGACTTCCACACAATTTATAGATAGCTCTACCTAAAACCTTCCTTCTAATGCCATTAAAGATGTGGCAATTGCTAAGGAGATGGAAAATTGTATCCCCACTTTTTTCCACAGTGGGCATTCTCTTCTGGCTTTAAGGCGATGGATTTCTTGTCAAAGTAAGTTCTTAAAGCATGCCCCTGTCCCATCAGTTAGTCTGGTTTTCCTTATTGATGTCTTTCAGTTTAAGTAAAGTTCAATAGCACAACAAGAGCTAGACTTTCTGTATATGGGACTGAATGAATTGTTCAAAACGAATCCTATGCATCCCAATAAATACGGATCCGAAACCTGGACACTCTCCTAGAAAGTCATCTGTGATCTGCGGGTTACTAAGAGAAACATGGAGAGATATATGTTCATAATTGCAATAAGGGACAAAACGCCAAAGATGGGATACGATATAGAACTCAATTGGTGGGCATTGGTAGAGAAATCAGCAGACATGGAAGTGGACTGGTTACATCAATAGAAGATTAGAAGATAAATGGACAAGAAAGTAGGACGAGTGGATTCCATGGGGGTACAGCAGAAGCAGATGTAGACCTATAAACTAGAGAACCAACTGCTGAGGAACGACTAGAAAAAGAGTGGCTCATTGTCGACCAGCATTGAGAAGACTCGGTTATACCTACTACAAAGTCTGGCTATAACAACTGCTAAAATAAAAAAGGAGTAAAAAAGTAATAAATAAATAAATAATAAAATTGGGATAATAAGCAATAAATAACTTTGAAAATCTTCAGCATTTGCTGATTTTATATTTTAAACAATACAAATAAAAGTTTATTATTAACTATCCAAACTAGCAACATGATGACAACAAATTTAGTAGTATTTTCTGAGGCATGCTTGCTATGTAATATATTTAAATACCTTAATCGTGGAGTACTCATGTTTGGCTTCCTTAGAACAGGCATAATTTCATATGCTGGAAGGCTGCAATAGAAATTAAATAAAAATTAAAAAGATTAATGCTAATTCAAATCTGTGATCGTATAAAATAAAATAGAGTTGCAAAAAACATATCGATCCAGCTAGATATTTCCTTTTCTAAAACTCCAATGGACTGCAAAATTATGACATGGTGGACACTTTAGCAAAAGAGGAACCAAAAAAATTCCGGATGGAGAATAGGATAACATACAATCGAGCAAGGTAAGAAATAGAGAAATCTCTACAAGAATAACTGCCCAAGGAACAGACAAGTACTGCTTATGGTTAACAGTGGACTGGATTACTTGAGGCTTCTCCACAGATAAACCACAAAAAGTCTCAGTAGTGGAATTCAAGATGATCATGCACAAGATTACTTAAAAAAACGTAAACAAGAGTAGCGGAATTCCCTAACTTTAATCTCTGGAACATTAGTCATGGTTGGTAGTGTACCTTGACTTATGTCCGACTTTAACGAAAATATAGACATAGTTATAGCTGCTAGAAAATTTATGGAAGAAGCTGAAAGTCAAGGTATAATATAAAACAGCTGAGAAATGAAGGAGGCATTAAAATATACGAAAATGGACGGTTATATTAGTTTTTAAAGTTGATTTGATTTATAAAATGCCTGATAAATGAAGAAGGCAGAAAACAGGAAATGGAATAAGAAACATTGCTTGAAATATTTCCAACAACATCCACTTCTTCAATTATTTGCTCCCAAAAGTATGATATAAAATAATGTGTAAGAAATTCCAGAACAACAATTCATCACTTTTTGGATGTCAAGCTCAGAAATAATAATAAGTTTTATTTAGTTAGGAAATTTCACTTAGTTTCCAAGGAAACATTTGGTTTTTATTACATAATGTAATTCATAATTTTTTTGTAACTTTAAATTATCTTCTACAAGTTTATATGTTAGATATTATTTCTTCGAAAATCTTTAGCTTTCCAATAATATATTGTACATATAAATGTCTACACTTTCTCCATAGAGTTGTTTTCTACCAGAGAAAATATTTGTCTTCTGTTTCTCCTATTGTTAGTTACCCAATTCTTTTATAATTTATATTTAATCATTTCTTAACATAAGAGACTATTGTTTATTTCAAATAAAATACACTAAGAGTACTTTAGAGGAAGCCATTTTGAAAATTTGCCATTTAAGCAGTGTCAAACTACATCAATGATGTTAACACCTACCTTATATTAAAATCCATTTAATTGTACAACGTTAGAAATTTTTCATGACCACAATACTTTTCCTTAAAATATATTTCATATATGAGTAAGTGAAAGTAAAAATCTATCAATTTTCGAATTTACGAACTGCTCGTAAATTGCAAACTATTTGTAAAATTAAATCTAACTTATAATTACTAAAAATAAATAATTTTCTTCTTAAATATTTTATCGTACCTTCTTTCAGAACTGCTACTACATATTGATTCGTTGTCAATATTAAATGAGGAAGCACTATTCGGCCTAGAGAAAATAAAATTTAAATTAATCTTCATATAATGCTATGTAAATAGTATTTAATAATATTATCTAAATAGAATTCAATATAAATATTATTTTATATTTATAATTGTGGATTCATGGTCGACTGTAGAGAATAATTGAAGAGAAGACTGGTTGGAGTGATCAGTCAAAAAAATAAAAAAATAGTTGAAATAAATAATTATATTTATTTTTGATGATGTAGAGATGGTTGACCGTTGATATAATATGAGAAGGAGTTAGTCGGGGGTGCGGTCAAATAAAAAATACTAAATTAAAATATAGTAATTATTTTTATTTTTTGCCGACGTTTCAACCCACTTTGCAGGTCGTCTTCAGGGCTACAAAAGATACAAAACATGTTGAAAATAAAAAATAAATATAAGTAGATATAAAATAAGAAGAAGTTGTCAGATACAGAAATAAAAGATGATATCAGAGATATAATGGGTGACAATGTAGTTAAATATTATGTATTATATATGTAGAAGATACAAATAAATGGAAAATAAGTATGAATAAAAATAAAAATAAAAATAAAGGAGAATATGAGAGAATAAGGAGAAGCTATATTCTCCTTTATTTTTATTTTTATTTTTATTCATTTTTTATTCATACTTATTTTCCATTTATTTGTATCTTCTACATATATAATACTTAATATTTAACTACATTGTCACCCACTATATCTCTGATATCATCTTTTATTTCTGACAACTTCTTATTTTTTATCTACTTATATTTATTTTTTATTTTCAACATGTTTTGTATCTTTTGTAACCCTGAAGACGACCTGCAAAGTGGGTCGAAACGTCAGCAAAAAATAAAAATAATTACTGTATTTTAATTTAGTATTTATTTGACCGCACCCCCAGCCAACTCCTTCTCATATATTTATTTTTATATTTGCAGACGTTTCGGCCTAAAGTTCAGGCCTGTTATTTTTGTTATATGGTGAAGGCCTGAACTTTGGGCCAAAATGTCGGCAAATATAGAAATAAATATAATTATTTATTTTAAATATTTTTTTTTTACTGATCCCCCAAACATTCTTCTCTTGTATTTTATAGTTATACGGAATGTTAAATTATACCATATGTTCATAGATTACAAGCAGGCATATGATAGTTCAGAAAGAGATGGGACATATGAAAACTTAAGGATCTTAGATTACTTTATAAAACTTATTAAGCTCGTAAGGATGGCCCAGGAAAGCAGTACAGGTTTAGTAAAAGTCCAGGGGGAAGAGTACAAATGCTTTGTCATTCAAAATGCAGTCAAGCAGGGGGATCCCTTATCACCACTGTTATAAAACATGGTGCTCGAGATGATTATGAGGGCAGCTAAAATAAAGGACGAAAGGTGTATATACAAGGTGTTTCGTAATTGCATGGCACTATTTTAGGTATGTGTTCACTAACACAAAATAAACAAAAGAGTTCATATCAACATTGTAACATCTCTCTTATATTTTAAACTATTAATAAACTTCGTGGAAGATCACTTCATACCGTTGGGATACTTCCTAAATAAGTAAGAGGTTGTTAAATTATAAACAAAATTATAAAATTAGTAATATATTAAATTGAAATTGATAATTATTTTATCTTAGGTATGGATTACTGACTTTCAGACAAAACACTCAAACTATTATTATTTACACTATTTATACTAAGACTTATGTTCATTATTTGCACTGTTATATTTGGTTTATCTTATATATTATTCCTCAAATATATATACCTTTTCCGGCTCTTAGGATGGATTTTGATGAATGAAGTATCAATAGGAAGGGAATATCAAGTAGAGTGATCGTAATTTTGATTCCTAATTTTATACCCCGACTTAAATAAAATTAAATGTAGAAGTAGGAGGTTTCAAAACATACGATGGTGCTATCTCAATGAATCGAGGCGTTACAAATGAATTCATAATTTGCAAATAACTCGAAAAGTATGCAATTTTCGGGACATTATACATGAGTATTTGAAAGCTTACTGAATTCCCAACAAAACGTAAAAAAATATGAAAATCGGACGATTTGGTGGGTGCTGAGTTAAAACGTTTTGAACATTTAGTATTTGTTGTACTACGGGTAGTATTTTTTGGCATATGGGAATTTAAGGTTTTGAAATTTGTCCTATTTTAATGAATCAATAAGTAATTATTCTTTTAAAGAAAGGAGGTGGTCCGGGGTGGCGGTCACAAATAGGCTAAATAGTGACAAAACTATTTTATTAAAAGCCAAAAAGGCTTTTAATAAAATTATTATAATTATCATCAAGATGATAATGTATATGTGACAATACTTGAAAGTATATGATAAATCAATCAAATAAACATATGAATTAATTTGCCTAAATATTTTCTACAAATATTTGTAGATCTATTTAAATTACAAGAACTAACAGATATTTTTAAAAAGCTAAGGAGGAAACCTTGCAAATAGAATAGTGAAAAAAATTCCAAAAGAAGGAGGTGTGGTCACTGAAAACAGATTTTTAAAAAGTTGCCATGTTTAATTTTATCACATTTGTCATTCTCAGAAGAATTTTCATTGTTACATGTCATTTTTACAACTAACATGTTATAAGTTGTTCTACAGCTACAACTAAACCTTATCAAAACAAATTGGGAAGGTCAAGATTCAAATAAATTTAAACGTGCACATGCCGGATTTGAACCGTTGCTACTGAACTCCAGAATGTTAAAGCGGGCAATGTTCTCACACGGTCGGCCATCAAGAGCTCCAAAAATAAAATATAAAATACACAAAATACAAACCTTCCATTATTGTCAGAAGTTAGATCATAGCCGTCATATCCTGTCCTTCCACGATGCGCAAAACTGGCAATCGACCGATGAAATTCCTCGAGAGAGTCGTCAATTTCCATTCTATGGAAAAAAAATGTGATGAAAAACAGAAAAAAAAACCAACACCATTACACTATAAATACAAAAATATAAAATATAAATATAAACTAAACTAAACTAAAATAAACCAAAATATATTTTTAAAAAAAATAAATTTATATATTTAAAAAATAACATACTTTGTAGGCGTAAGACAATCGAGCGTATTGTCCATAAAGCTCCATTGAAAAGTATTAACTCCTACATTTTCTGGAGAATTCCTAAGTAAACTTAAGTTATAAAGAATTAAAATCATACCATGAATAAAAATTTATATTGATTAATAAAATAATTGATTGCCCATATTTACGGAACATATAGATTGAAAAAAATAGAGATACAACCCTAATAAGATTGCAATATTTTTTCAATATCTGAATTACCGATGTATATGGTGTAAGTTATTCTGAAACAAACCTCTTTATATCAAATTTCTATATATTTAAGTCTTGATACATTAAACTTTTTGTAGAAATTTTGAAATTTTATTAGACAAAAGTACTTTGCATACTGAATAAAATTTCTATATAGGAAACAAAAGATCATCTTCAAAAATATAAAATGGCTCTTAGTTAGTTTACTATATAAAAATGGGTAGTTAAAAAAAAATGCTTCACTGAGAACAAAAACCATGATTTAATTATTAAAAGTTTTGGAAGGAATCAGAAAGATTTAAATCCTTTAAGTTTCATAAAATTGATGAAGCAATATTGAAATTTAATACCATAAAAAATTCCTTTGTTACTTCGATGAGTATGATGAGGAGACATATTTCAATCTTTCTATACATCAAAGTTTTTATTTAAATAGAATAGAATCCAATTAAAATCAGCTAGGCCATGCATATCACCCCGTACTTTTTATTTTTATATTTTTTTTACCAAATTATTCCTATTTAATCATGAATTTAAAACTATAGTTTAAAAAATTTGTAGTTTTTCTTTGCGGCTATATAGCCTAAAAGGTGAGGAAGGGAGGAGGGACAAAAAAATTGGATAAAAAGAGGACATTGAGAGATCCATTAAGATTCTGATAAGATAACAGAGCAAATCGACTTACAAGGAAATGAAGATAAAATAAAAAATATCGCATTAAGCTGAGAAATTCACTCTAACACAGACGGAAAATTGTTCCGAATGGAAGACAGATACAAATACCTCAGCTCCACAACAACCTCAATAGATGACCAAATGCTTTGATAAAGCGAACATAATATGGCTGTGAGGCCTGGATTCTAACCATTCTAGAAGAATCAAAAGATTTGAGGTTTGGGGGTGGGATGGCCGAGCAGACTAACGCCTGTATAAAATATTTATTGCCTTTATCTGTATCATATCCACATGCCCGACTGATGTATATATTTTTTGAACACTGTTATTATTATAAGGGGAATTTAGTCCCAGAATAGAACTGATGTTTCATTTTATTTCATTGTCCAGTAACCTGTTATACTGAAGATTACAAGTTCAAGTCCTGGTGCTCGGGGGACTTTTAACTCTGGCATTAATCCTCTAGCCCAGGAAAAGCCTCATACATACATAAAAGCGAGGAAGGGGAGACGAAAAATTAAGAACTTTGAGAGGTTTAATTGTTGTAAATAACTAAACATTAAATAATAAATCTAGTAATAACTCTTTTTAAACTTTTCATTAAAACAAACTAATAGTGTCATATTAATTTATACCAAACGTATCTCTTATTGGTATCTTAAGGAAAATATTAATAAAGCATGAACTTAAAATGACTTCTTAATAACTCTTAGCATGACTAATATAGTTTAATATTACAAATAAAACCATTGTAAATACCTTGTTTCACAAACTACTTCAGTCTGACTGTCCTTTTCAACTTTCAAAATTCTGAAATAATATTGTTAGATAAAAAAACGAATTTACTTCATCAATCAGTAGTGCTATCAGCAATAACTTTTTCATATAAGGAATATCATCAAATTTATAAATAATTGCCACCATACCTTGTTTCTATTATTTGGTCTGTCTGTACTCCCTTTTGAGTTTGCTTCGAACTGCAATTAAAACAATAATTATATTTTAATCCATAATTTTAAAAAACAACTAAAAAATATTTTCAAAATGGTTATAAATAAATACTGCAAAAAGCAATAATACCTGAACTAGTTTGAATATAAAGGAAACCAGAATATTAGTCGGTTTGCATTTAGAAAAAAAATTTAATAATAATAATAAGGCTTAGCGAACCCGAAGGTTCGATGCCGACACCACCAATCGCTTGTTACACACCTCCCTCCACCGTTCGCCGTCCAAACCCAGTCCCTTCAGATCGGCTTTAATGCAATCTTCCCACCTTCGCTTCGGTCTTCCCCTCGGACGCTTACCATTCGGCACAGCAAATATTAACCTTTTAGGAATTCTCTCGTTACTAAGCCCAACAACTTTACAAGCCCATTTGATTCACCGCGATGAAATTACCTCAATTATATTACCCGGATACATCTCACGCAATTCGGCGTTGTGTAACCGTCTGAACTCTCCGGTTAACTCATCCTTCTTCGGTCCGAATATTCTACGCAATACTTTATTTTCAAAAACCTTAAGACGCTGCTCATCCCTTAATGTAAGCGGCCAAGTTTGGCATCCATAAAGAACTGTAGGCAAGATAATTGTTTTATAGATTCTAATTTTTAAGTTTCGGGACAAGAGGCGCGAACTAAGTAGTTTTGTCACAGAAAAATAACAAGCATTCCCCGCCTTCAGTCTAACCTTAATCTCTTCTTCAATTTCGTTTTTTCTAGTTACCGTAGAACCTAGATACCTAAATTTATCTACCTGTTCAAACATATTACCATCTATATCGATATCACCAGTAGTATCGCCATTTTTGCAGCTAACCATATATTTTGTTTTATCCACGTTTATTTCGAGTCCTAGTTCTTTACCGGCTTTCATTAACGTTGTCGTATTTAGTTTTATAGTTTCAACGTCTTCGCTTAACAGTACCAGATCATCAGCATAGCCCAGCACGGATGTTGTTCCGCCCAGATCCAACCCTTTCTCGGTTCGCATTACTTCCCTAATGGCATGTTCTAATGCCAAATTGAACAGGACAGGCGAAAGAGAATCCCCCTGTTTTAAGCCCGAACGAACCTCAAATTTTTCGGACAAATTATTACCGATTCTAACTTTATTGAGTGTCTCCGTCAAGCACATCCTGACTAGATTTACTAGTTTTTTTGGAATCCCCTGCTCGATTAGGATATTATACAGTTTCTGGCGGTCAATAGAATCGTAAGCCTTTTTAAAATCTATATACAGCTGATGAACAATACCGTTGTACTCCAATTTTTTCTCTAATATTTGCCGTAAAGAAAATATTTGATCAATAGTCGAACGATTCCGTCTAAAGAAATTTAGGAGATTAAATTTGAATTATTAAGAAATTAGGAAATTAAATTTTTTAGAAAAAAAATTTAGGAGAGGAAAAATTAAACTATTAATAAAGGAAGGAGATTGTCAGGGGTGGCGGTCATAAATAGGCTAAATAGTGGCAAAACTATTTTATTAAAAGCCAACGTTTCGACACGACTTTGCAGGTCTTCTTCAGGACTAGAACGGACAAGATACAAAAATATAGAGAATTGTAGAAGTTACATAATAATTAGAAGAAAAAAAAATATATAAACAATGTGAATAAGCTTATTAAAATTATAAACAGTAAGTACATAAAAATATAAACAGAGTAAGCTAAGTAACAAGATCCTAAACTGAAGTAAATAGAAGGTAACAATTGTTTTAGTGTAATATACAATATATGCAAATGTGAATATACTTCTACAGATCTACGGGAAAGATTGAAAAAGAAGGAAAAAGGATATAATATGAAATAATAGACCTAAAGGAATGTGGAGAAAGAAAAGAAAAAAGAAAACCAAAAAATTAAATAAATAAGTAAATAAAATTAGAGACTTACAGGTGTGTTCAGCTAAGAGGAACTTTATAAGTGAAACTCCTAGCTGAACACCTGTAAGTCTCTAATTTTATTTACTTATTTATTTAATTTTTTGGTTTTCTTTTTTTCTTTTCTTTCTCCACATTCCTTTATGTCTATTATTTCATATTATATCCTTTTTCCTTTTCTTTCAATCTCTCCTGTAGATTTGTAGAAGTATATTCACATTTGTATATATTATATATTACACTACAACAATTGTTACCATCTATTTAATGCAGTTTAGGATATTGTTACTTAGCTTGCTCAGTTTATATTTTAATGTACCTACTGTTTATAATTTTTTGTCTAAATATTATGTAACTCCCACAATTCTCTATATCTCTTGTCCGTTCTAGTCCTGAAGACCTGCAAAGTAACGCAAACGTTGGCTTTTAATAAAATAGTTTTGCCACTATTTAGCCTATTTATGACCGTTACCATGGACCATCTCCTTCCTTTATAGCTTTTTAGTTTCTTTGAAAAACAGGTATCAGTTAGGTGAAAGCAATCAAATTTATTCTATTAATACCCATAACTTTGTTAAAAATAATCAAAGCATGACAGGAACAAAGTCAGTTCCCAAAATGTAGAGAAACGATACTTCAAATGAAAATTTGTAAAACATTTGACTGAAAAGCAAATATTTCATCATGCAGGTTATTCACTTTCGCCCCATTTCGGAGTAGTCTATGAAAGTTTTGTTTTCAATATACTTCACGTCATATGGACATGGTTTGATTCACGAATGCTTGGTAAGTTCTAGTTAACCTGCTGATGTGTGGATCATTTCTGAGCTTCTTGCGATTTTGAATATTGATTGGTTTGAAAAGATGAAACTAGAAATAATGAAGAGAAGAATAGTTGGGGTGGTCAGTCAAAAAGGAAGGCAAAAATAAATGATAATATTTATTTTTTACATATGCCGACGTTTCGACCTGAAGTTCAGGCCTTCATCAGGGCTAAGAAAATAACCAGATAACAAGGTATGAGAAACATAAGTAATGATGGTAAAAAAGAAAATAAAAAAAAATTAGAAAAATAAAATAGATAAATATAAAGTAAAATGAAATTGTTAGAATAATGACTAAGAACTAAGAGATAAATAATAAAAACCGTTACAAAGTGTGGAATGATGAAGTAGGCATAATCAAAAAGGGTGACAAAAGTGTTACAATGGGAATCTTAGAATAAAATGTAAAACATAAAAAAGAAATATGAAGTTATATAAGTAATGAAAATAAATAGTAAAATTAAAACATTGAGAATGGAGTAGTTAGATAGAAAATTGAGATATTGTAAAGTCTATCGAGATGTACAGACAATGTATAATATAATAAAGAGTTAAAAACAGAGAAAAGGAATGAAAGGAAGGAGGGACTAAAAGAATAGACTTTACAATATCTCATTTTTCTATCTAACTACTCCATTCTCAATGTTTTAATTTTACTATTTATTTTCATTACTTATATAACTTCATATTTCTTTTTTATGTTTTACATTTTATTCTAAGATTCCCATTGTAACACTTTTGTCACCCTTTTTGATTATGCCTACTTCATCATTCCACACTTTGTAACGGTTTTTATTATTTATCTCTTAGTTCTTAGTCATTATTCTAACAATTTCATTTTACTTTCTATTTTTCTATTTTAGTTTTCTAATTTTTTTTTTTATTTTCTTTTTTTATTATCTTTTTTACCATCATTACTTATGTTTCTCATACCTTGTTATCTGGTTCTTTTCTTAGCCCTGATGAAGGCCTGAACTTCAGGTCGAAATGTCGGCATATGTAAAAAATAAATATTATCATTTATTTTTCCCTTCCTTTTTGACTGATCACCCCAACTATTCTTCTCTTCATTATCCACGACAGTCAACCAATTACCAATTATGAAACTAGAAATATTTTTTCGTCTCGAGTCAAATTTTCCAATTAATGAAATCAATTCTCTGTCTATCACTATCTGGAATTTGGTAGTATGGTAACTTTTTCCCAGTCAAGCTGATGGTTTCGACTGTTTTGAGGACCGTTCAATATTATATTCCCACTTGCTACTCCCTTCTTTGCCTCGTCTAGTTCCATAGTAAGCAGTGGCCTTAGGGCAGGGAAACCTGGGCTAAAATTACTCTCCCGATTATTAGAAATTTAAAAAAAATGAATAAAAATCGTATGAGAAAGATAATTTTAGCCTATTAATAAAGCTAATTGATACCGTAATCTCTGAGCAAAACGATTTATACATTCTACATTTACATGAACATGAACTTTTCATTGAGCACATCATTACGTTTTTTCGGTAACGACACAATCTCTATAAGCTTCACTGTAACTTACAGTTTTTTACATCACAATTTGCTGGTTTTTATTAAGTTACAGGTTTTTTACAAAAGGCCATAGAGAAGAAATGAAAAATCGTAGATTTCATTTTGTGAAATCAGAATATGCGCCAGGACAAGATCGACCAGAAAATCTGAAAACCTTATTTTCATAAGAAATTGCCCTTACAGGCTTTTGCAGTGTGGCTGTCGATAAGTAATAAACATGTCTCAAAAATAAACAATCATCCTTAAATTACGTTCAACTTATATATTTTTAAATATGTTGAAGCTTTGGAGCATAGACACTTAAATTGAAATTTCTAACTTTCAATGAAAATCGCTGATTGGTTGTTGAATTAAAAAAAAAATGTTTTAATTTATTGTAACATCTTTCTTATACTTTTTAACTAATAATATAACCTTGGAAGATCACTAAATACTGTCGGAATACTTCCTAAATAAACAAGAGATTGTTAAATAATAAACAAAATATAAGAATATTAATATATTAAATTGAAATTTAAAATCATTTTATCTCAGGTATGGATTACTGACAATCAGATTAAAACACTCAGACAGACTAACATTAACTACACTAAACACTGTTTGATTTAAAAATAATGTCAAGTACGAATTGGCAAGCTAACTTTTTTTCCTATATACACTGTTTCTTCCTTTGTGGTACTGAATTCATCTGTCTTCAAATGCTTTCCACTCTTCTAACAAACAAAAATTATAAAATGGTGATACTTTCTTCTACTCAATTCAAGCTCCCTGGGAGATCCTCTCTCTTTTGATTCCAAACAATTAGTCTTTCTGACAAACAAAAACTTCCAAGAAGATGGTAATACTATTACTGGGTTTTACCCACTGGAGCCAGGATCACTTCTCCCATCCTCTCTTCACCACAACCAAACATCAACTGCTTGCCAAAACAAAATCCTTTGTCCCCTCTCCTCTTTGGGATTTTCCTTTTTGGAAAAACTACAGAGTAGCTATTTTCTTTTCTCTGAGCTAGTAGAACTAGATTAGTTTGCCTTTTAACTGTTTAATAATAATTTATTAAACCATTTTTACCAACTTACAATTAATTTTTATATTACATTATTAATATAAATAAATTTACTTATTATTAATATAAACAGTATTAAGCATCCAGCTATGAAATTAGAGACAAAATGAAACTATGAAGTGACTGAAAAGCTTCAAATTCAGTCAAACTCAAATTTTTATAGATTGTAGACTTTCAATGTTTATTGAAATATAAATTTAATCCTTATTTTAAAGGAGTAAATTTCTGGAAAATTTCCAACTACTTTCATAAAAATATGGCATATTATTTCTGTAACACAAAAAAAAATTTCTGGAATAAACCGAATTTATTTAAATATTATGGAAAAAAATATAAAACTATTTACAATATAGTGTTACCTATTTTCCTATATAATTAATAACTAGAAGGCACAATACCTTTTCTCCTTAATTAATTCTATCTGTACACCTTTATCATTTTGGTTAAACCTGAAATCAAAACAAGATTATCTTGAATTAGAATAATAATGTTTATATCAATCTATATAAACAAGAGTATAACTACAAAACCAAAATACATAAAACTTTCATTATACCTTCTTGTCCTGATTACATCTGTCTGCATCTCTTTGTCAAATGTTGGTACCCTGAAATAAAATATTATTTAAATCACCATAAATTAAATTAATCAATAATATATATATATATATATATATATATATATATATATATATATATATATATATATATATATATATATATATATATATATTTATATATATATAATGTTTTGATTTTACCCACCCTATTTATTAAAGAAATTTATTCAAATGTATTGTTGATCTAGAAATTGTTTAAATTATTATTTAGTCCATAGATATCACCTTGTGTGTGGAAGGGATGGTCGAACCGGCAAACACGTCTGCACAGTACCGCTGTTGCTCGGCAACCTGATATATGTGACAAGCTGGTAAAAAAATAGTCACGGGTTCGTGTACCTTGGCCAAGGGATTTTTTTTTAAAGCCGACAAGCTCTGCCGTAGGTTAGAAAAGGCTTCTATACATATGCATGTGCGGTTTTCATAAATGTTAGCATCAATATTATTTAATATTTCATTGTATACATTACAGTTATATAATAATTAAAATGTATGTATATTTACCAATACTTAAACAAATAAAAATACCTAAATGAAATATATGTAAATTTAGCGACCTTCATTATCAGTGGCACTCATGTTAGATTTTTATTTATTGATTGTTCAAGTTAAATTTGACCAATTGTGTATTCTTTTACCTTCAAAGCCCAGATAACATTTGTTTGAAGGTAAAATGATTGACCACTATAAGGGAGCACAAGGTGGTATCTTTTTTTTTTTCCTCCTCTTCCTCGCCTTTAAGGCTACACGGGTTTTCCCAGGCCAAAAGGTGTGGGCAGGTCACATATATCAGGTTGCCGAGCTGTTTACTGTGAAGACGTGTTTATCCGTTCTTCCACACACAAGGTGATAAAATCGGTGATAAAAGTTTAGGAGTCATGTCCAAAAAACTAAAAAAAATTCGGAAATTTTGATGTTTTTATGTACATCTCGATACCCAATGAAACATTTCGTTCGGGAACATCAAATTCAGATCAGTATCCCAAAAAAAACATAAAAACCGACTATTTTAAAAAAGTTAAAATAATGTAAAAAAGATGAATGAGCAAATGTATCAATAAATACAAAATAGAGGCGGAGATATGGAAAATAGTAGTGCAAAATATATTTTGCAATATCTTAATTTTATATTTGTATCTATTATTTCCTTACATAACTTAATATTTCTTCTCTCTGTCTTACACTTTATTCTAATATTACCATTTTTCATTTCTTATGTTACCTTATTTGGATTATATTTATTTCATTGTGCCGTGCTTTGTAACAGTTATTATTTATTTCTTAGTTCGCTGTTATTTTTATTATTCTACCTACTTTATTTTACTTTAATGTTCACTCTATCTACTTCATTTTATGTTAAGTTTTTCTACCTAAATTTTTAATCTATACTTTTCATTTTTTAATTTTTAATTCTTTATTATTCAGTGTTTATTGTTTCTTATACCTATTGTAATCTGGTTCTTAACCTTGACGAAGGCCTGAACTTTGGGCCGAAACGTCGGCGAATGTGAAAATAAATACAATTATTTATATTTACTACTTTATTTTGACTGATCAGCCCAACCATCCTTCTCTTTAATTATTCATTACAGTCAACCATCAACACACAATTAAACTATCTTTAGTCTAAATAGCTTCAGAAATACAGAAAGACTTATAAAAAAGAATTTTAACCATCGTTTACTTAAAACTTTACAACCTTTATCTGTTTCTAGAGGCCTTTTTTAATATTTAATTGTAATACATTTTTATTTTTTATAATTTCATAATATTATAAATATTAATTTTTAAAAAATCTTAATAATTTTTAATCTAACCTGAAATTTTTAAAGAGTTTAAATCATTGTTAAACTACAGTTAATTTATCATTTGATCATTTTTATAGTACCTTGTTTCACAGATTGGATCAGTTTGAATCTCTTTTTCAATTTGCAGAACTCTGAAATGAAATTCGAATTAAATAAAAAATGCAATGCATGAGACTAAAAATAAAACATTATTATGAAGGAATTAAGAGAAACGGATATAATAGCTATCAACCATGCCTACTTGGGAGACATTAGACTATCAAATAAGATGATTATATTATTTTTCTCCGAAGAAAGAGAATTTATAAAATCTGACCGAACCCTTTAAGTCCAATCTGGCCAGGTCAACCAGTCAGCAATCGTCGAGGGCCCCGGAGCCCCAAAAATCATGATCTTATATTTTTCTAGTATTTTTGTTATAGAAGGAAGTTAGTCGACTGTTCCACATATTATAGGTGATAAATAGTCAACGCACAGTCATTTCTAAGATTTTTAGTAGTGCTCTTTCAACCGATGATGTTTGGGGCTCTAAAACTCTCGGCACTAATAAAAACCTTTAAAATGACTGCATACTGTAGTAGACATCCCCCTGTATTTACTCCTTTAGACGACATTGTGTGAGGGAATAAGAAGGAATATATAATATATAGGAACGTGAGGTTGTACGATGAATTGTACTCAATTGTGCAGTGGACAAATTCATTGAAAAGTCTCATATCGATAAACAATCGATGAAGAAGGAAAAAGGTCTGATCAGGTAACAGCAGCTGGAAGACGACGCCAGAGAGAGGGAGAGAAGGGCACTTGAGGCTGGACATTGAGAAAGAACACATACCTCGGAAGAGAGGCTACTACAAGATTTAGAAGATCAAGTCTACAGTTATAACACTTTAATAGAGTCAATTTATTACGGTTGTAGAAATAAATAATTTTGTTATACAGGAGTGAAAAATCATTTATTTATTCAGTTGTCCTATATGCTTCACGATTGAAGAATAACAAACCAGGTGAGTCAATTCATTTAAAGTGTATTTACTAAGTCCCACATTTCATATATAGATTCTTATTGTTTCTTGTCACACAGTGTCACAAAAGGTATTAGATTCCCGAATTCCCAATCACAGTTAAACACCCTCAAAAAGTCTATATCAAGTGCCGGGATTTTGCTTTAATTATCTTGGGTGTAAATAACCTAGCTCCCCGATAAAAAGCGGAAGGCTATTCACCTATTCCCGCCAAAACAAATTATTTAACTTTCAACAGGTTATTTACAATCCTGACTAATTAACACCTATACTTTTATTATATTTTCTTCTCTGGTGAGCTCCAGAAATAATTGTTTTGTATTTTTCTTGCACCATGGTATGTTTGTTCCCAAAAATGATTGTAGTAAAATATATTCAGAAAGTCTTCTATGAATCAGACATTCTGATAATTGTTACAAATATTCGGCTTCTTACAAACCATGATTACCAGCAGATCAATCTTGAAACATCGGAACAGTTTATTCCAAATCGACCGATCAACCAACTGTGTTAAAATAAGCATACAATATTCTAACACGTATAGACCTGTCCCAAAGGAAAACCTGCTTTAACAACCACAATTTTACTGAGCATTTAGAGCGGATGGTCAGAACTTAGGTATATTGAATCCAGCTGGGAATGTGGAATAATAAACACTTCTGGCATCTATTTTCCTGTTTTCACTATCATTTCAGTATTTCTCATAACATGAACTGCGGCACTCATAAGCGGACACTACACGAGAAGTCATGAATAACAGTCAAATGACTGACAATGATTGCTTCAATCATGATGTTCCTTACATCATCGTACTGACACATTTTAGCTCAGTTGACGTTTAGATAACAGACAGAGCGAATCTGGTGCAGAGTAAAACTCTTGTAATATGGTGATATTTATATATAAAACATTAGTAAGTAATAACAAAGAAAACGGAACACCAGCGTTTTGAGTGCAAGGAAATAATAAATTTCTTACTTTGATTTAAAGGTGTAGTAGACATCCCTCTGTAATTACTCCTTTAGATGACAATGTTTGAGGGAATGAGAAGGAATATATAATATATAGGAATGTGAGGTTGCTCGGTGAATTGTACTCAATTGTGCAGTGGACAAATTGCTCATTGGAAAATCTCATATCGATAAACAATCGAAAAGAAGAAAAAAGGTCCGATCAGGTAGCTGGCAACAGATGGTGAAGAGGACGCCAAACACTTGAGGTCTGGACAAGAACAAGAGAAGATGTCATCTGGGAAGAGAGTTTACAATATTGAAGACCAAGAATATCAAGCCAACCATTCACTTATATATATTTATTATCACTTGTTAAAATAAATTTGTTTTGTTAGACAGGAGTGAATAGTCATTTTATTTAGTTGTCCTATACGCCTCACGATTGAAGAATAAACCAGGTCAGTCAATTCATTCAAAGTGTATTTACTAAGTCCCAAATTTCATATATGTATTCTTATTGTTTCTTCTCACTCAGTGTCACAAAAGGTATTAGATTCACGAATTCCCAACAACAGTTAAACACCCTCAAAAAGTCGATATCCAGTGCCGGGGTTGTTTTAATATTTCACGAGTGTAAATAACCTTAATCCCCGATATAAAAGCGGAAGGCTATTCGCCTATTCCCGCCAAAACATCTTTATTTTGCATTTAACTTTCAGGAGGTTATTTAAAGGAAAATTTATTGTTTACATGCAATGTTTCATTATATTCAATTTATAATTCTGAAAATATAACTATGAAAAATTTCCTAAAAGACTGGACTTTATCCTTCAGTCAGTTTTTGTCTTTAGCGTAAGAGTGGTTGATAGCACATTCATGCCACTTGAAATTACTTTAACAACTGATACAATACCTTGGTTTTTCATCTATTATCTCTGTCTGCATCTCTTTTTCAATTAACTCCAACCTGAAATGTAATTTTATATAACCATTGTTCGTCTATCAAAAACATCCATATCGTTTATCAAAAACAGAAGGAAATAACTAATATATTTTACCTGTTCTCTGTGATTTGTTCAGTCTGTATTTCTTGGTCAATACTTTGAGATCTAAAAGAGAGAAAATTCTAGTTCATATTTTAAATTATGTTACTTCTGATAGATAATTTACATTTTACCATTTAACAGGAGACAGAAAAATAAGGATGTACCCACAGTTTTTCATGGAAAGCTAGACTTTTCTATGCTTTGTTTAAAATATATTTAATAGCTAAACAGTCACCTTAAAATGCTTTATTTTATGTCTTAAGTTTGGAAAATAATATCGATATGGTTCTGCCATCAAAAAAATATTGTTTTGTAGAGTAATTTAAAGTAAGTACACAAATGCTTAGCAATAATTCATTGATTTAAAAAATTTAATTATTAAGTTAAATAGTCTTACATATTTTCCATACAAAAAAAAAAAAAAAAAAAAAAAAAAAAATGAGCAAGATGAAAAATTGGAAACTTTCTGCATGGCAAAATTTTTACATATCAAACTTTTTTTAAGGAACCTTCAAATTCGATATACAGATGAATGATTGTGCATATACTTTATGCATTCTGAATACTTTTAAATTTCATAAATTTTTTTCAAAAATTATATTATTTCTTAAAAGAATAGGACAGGTTGGTGAAAAATGAAAAGAATTTTTAATTCTTTCTAATCATCTTTCACCACTGTGTTCACATGAACGTTAAATCACCAAGATTATCTATAAAATATTTAAAATATATTTGAAAAAAAAAACAAATGAAATTCAAAATTAGTAGCTGGATTAAGGAAAAGATAAAATGATTACCTTTCACCCAGTAAGTCCATTGCTGTAGCACCGCATGCGAATGATACAATGTCAGTTCTATTTAAGACACTGAAAACAGGAGAAGAATTTATATTAATTACTGAAGATAGCAACAATATCAGAATTGATTAAAGGATTCACAAAACACATATTCCTTCATTATATTAAATAAGTAAAAACACTTAAAAATATATAACAAAATGTTACAAAAAAATATTTCCATATCGACAGCCACACTGCAACAGTCTGTAAGAACGAAAACTAAATATTTTCAGAAGAAAAAAAAATGCATAATTTTTGTTCCATGAGCATTATATTTTCGGTTCAATTATTTTTGTAGACCTCAGATAAAGATGTAATGTTCTATGTAACTTTTTTTATCATACTTCTGCCAAATAATTTTTTTAGAGCCATTACTTCTAACTTATAGCATTTTAGTTTCTTTGAAAAACAGATATCATTCAGGTGAAAGCAATCAAATTTACTATAGTAACACCCATAACTTTATTAATAATAATCAAAGCATGACAGGAACAAAGACAGTTTCCAAAATGTAGAGAAACGATACTTCAAATGAAATTTTGTAAAAAAATTTGACTGGAAAGCAATTATTTGATCATACGGGTTATTCACTTTTTTGTCGCCCACTGTAGAGGGGGCTTAGACGGAGTGGACTACCCATTTAGGAGTACACTATGAAAGATTCATTTTTGACATGCTCAACTTCATATGGACATGGTTTGATTCACGATTGCTTGGTAAATTCTAGGTAACTTGCTGATATGTAGATCGCTTTGTTTCTAAGCTTCTTGCGATTGCGAAGATTCATTAGTTTTAAAAGATGAAACTAGAGTTCTTTTTTTGTTTCCAGTTAAAGTTTCCGATTAATGAAATCAATTCTGTGTCTCTCACTATCTGAGATTCCAGTCAAGCTCATTTTACAGTTGCCAGGAGGTTTCAATTGTTTTGGAGGCGTTGATGTTATATTCCCACTTGCCACTCTCTTCTTTGTTTCGTCTAGTTCCATGGTAAGCAGTGCCAGACTGTAAATAACCTGCTGAAAGTTAAATTGTTAAATAAATTGTTTTGGCGGGAATAGTAAATATTCTTCCGCTTTTATATCGGGGATTTAGGTTATTTACACTCGTGAATTGTTAAAAAAAAAAACCGTCACTGGATAAAGACTTTTTGAGGGTGTTTAACTGTTGTTTGGGAATTTAGGAATCAAATACCTTTTGTGACACTGAGTGAGAAGAAACAATAAGAATATATATTTGAAATGTGGGACTTACTAAATACACTTTAAATGAATTGACTCAACTGGTTTGTTATTCTTCAATCGTGAGGCATATAGGACAACTAAATAAATAAATGACTTTTCACTCCTGTATAACAAAATGATTTATTTCTATAACTGTTATAAATTGACTCTATTAAAGTGTTAGACTTGATCTTCTAAATCTTGTAGTAGACTCTCTTCCCAGGTATCTGTTCCGCCTCAATCTCCAGCGTCAAGTCCGTCCTCCTCTCTTCTGACAACCTCCTTTCTACCTGTCCCGGCCTAGAATGTCCTCTCCCCTCTCCAGCTGTTGCTACCTATTGGGTCCTTTCGGTACCTCCAACCTTCTTCCTTCTTTATCGATATGAGACTTTTCAATGAATAATTTGTCCACTGTACAATTGAGTACAATTCATTGTGCAACCTCACATTCCTATATATTCCTTCTTCCCTCACACAATGTCACATAAAGGAGTAAATACAGGAGGCTGTCTACTACAAGACTCAAGAGCAGATAAACCTGACCTGGGCATTTGCCCAGAGGGGCCAGGCTGAAAATGGCCGCCAATTATTAGAAATTTAAAAAAAATACAAAGCATATGAGAAAAATTAATTTTAGCCTATTAATAAAGTTAATTGATACTGCAGTCTCTGCACAAACGCTTTATACATCCTATATTTACATGAACATGAACTTTTCATTGAGCACTTCATTACGGTAACAACACAATCTCTATAACCTTCAATGTAACACAGTTTTTTACATCACAATTTGCTGGTTTTTAAGTAATAAATTGTTTTTAAGTTATAGGTTTTTACAAAAAGCCATAGAGATGAAATGACATATCGTAAATTTCATTTTGTGGATTTAGAATACACTTCAGGACAAGATTGACTAGAAAAGCTCAAAACCTTATTTTCCTTACACAGGCGATTGCAGTGTGGTTGTCGGTATGAAGTAACACTACATGAAAATGGCATCATTTTTTCAATTTTATTATCAGAACTTGTTTAAGTGAAGTAAACTTAATATTTAAGTGAAGTAACTTACCTCAAATAAGGTAGATGAAGTGTTTCATCAATACACGAAGAAAACCCCTGTAAAAAGTAAATGCTAATAAATTGCTCACAAATTCGGGAGCATTTATGAAAAATTAGAGATGACTAATTTTTGCACATTTTTTTTTAATATAGCTTTTCATAATTTGTCAAAAACATAACAATGGATATTGTTTATCCATAGACTTTTTTTTTAAATAGAAATTTATTAAATTAGTAACAGAAATTTAAAAGGATCCAACAAATTGAGATTCGTCACAGCACCATGAAATTTCATTTGTTTGAAACCTCATTCATCAAAATCCATCACTCTTGAGAACCAGAAAAGAGAACTATACTACTATATTATAAATATAGTGTACATAAAAACTTACAAAAAAGAGAAAAAGACATGGTGTAGACAATTTATCTACACATTATTTATGTAATATGTTTCTTTGTATACAAAATGTATCTATGATCAATAGGTCCAGAACCATTTCAACTTGAGACTGTTAACAATGATACATGAGACTTTTTTTCAGAAATAACCAATTCATCAATTACGTTCTTGTATTAAATTTTATTCATCTTTAGGGTAATTTATTTAGCCTGATTGGTGAAATTGTACCATAACCTAATTTCTTAAAAGACAGCAGCACATGTCAAGCTTTGGCTAACGTCGAAATTCCATGTATGGTGTGATCATGTGATCTTAATGAACCTGCCAACCAGATGTGACACTATCATAGTAGAATAACCACTCCATCTACTTCTTCCCGATGGTTACAAACCTTGGTGTAACCTCTGATCATCACCTCTTTTAAAATAACCATATATCCCAGATCACCCAAAAACCGTAACTATCCTTAAACAATTCTTATGATTCCGTGATTCTATTGCTAAAAAAAACAGACTTCCATGTAATCGCCCTTGTTTACCCCCACTTCGACTATGGTCGCTTGGTGTATGAAGGACTGCCCACAAGACTGGAGATAAGAGTGAAAAGACACATGAATAGCTTCAAAAGATTCATCTTTGGGATTCCCACGCGCTTTTCCTGCTTATACACCAAGTTGAAGTGGCTCTATTCTACATCTCAACGGCAATTCCTTCTTGGTGTTTTCCTCTTCCAAGTCCTCAAAATCAAAAATCTTCTCTACATCACAGAACTCCTTATCCGAAGTTCCTCTATCCACTCTCTTAATACCAGATCTCAACCTATAGATTATATTGTAATATACACCTTTATTGGAAGTGGGTAAAAATGATTTAATAAATTAATGTTGAACAATTAAAAGGCAAGCTAATCTAGTTTTACTAGTGCAGGGATAAGAAAATGGCTTCTCTGTCTGTAGTTTCCCAAGAAGGAAAATCCCAAAGAGAAGAGGGACAAAGGTTTTTGTTTTGGCAAGCAGTAGTTGTTGTGGGACTACAGTGAAGAGAGGTTAAGAGAAGTGATCCTGGCTTCAGTGGGTAAAACCCAGAAATATTATTACCATCTTGGAAGTTGTGTTTGGCAGAACATCAGAAAGCATTTGAAGACAAATGAATTTAGTGCAACACAGGAAGAAATAGTATCTATAGAAAAAAGGTTAGCTTGCCAATCCATACTTGACTTTATTTTAAAATTAATCAGTGTTTAATTTTAGTGTAAATAATAATAGTTTGTCTGAGTTGATCTGATTGTCAGTAACCCACACCTGAGATAAATAAATATATTAATACTCTTATAATTTTGCTTATTATTTAATAATCTCTTATTTATTTAGGAAGTCTCCCAATGGTAAGAAGTGAGCTTCCGAGGTTACATTATTATTATTTGTCAAATATAAGAGAGAGATGTTGCATTTTGGCGCCCAACGTGGGGAGCCAAAATGTAACATCTCTCTTATATTTGACAAATAATAATAATATAACCTCGGAAGCTGGGATACTTCCAAAATAAATAAGAGGTTGTTAAATAAAAAACAAAATTATAAGAATATTAATATATTTATTTATCTCAGGTGTAGGTTACCGACAATCAGATCAAATCAGACAAACTATTATTATTTACACTAAAATTAAACACTGATTGATTTTAAAATAAAGTTAAGTATGGATTGGCAAGTTAACCTTTTTCCATATTATATGTTTCTTCCTTTGTGACACTGAACTCATTAGTCTTCAAACACTTTCCAAAGTTCTGCCAAACAACTCTTCCAAATTGGTAACACTATTACTGGGTTTTTCCCACTGAAGCCAGGATCACTTCTCCTATCCTCTCTTCACTGCAGTCCCACAACTACTGCTTGCCAAAACAAAAACCTTTGTCCCTCTTCTCTTTGCGATTTTTCTTCTTCGGAAACTACAGAGAAGCCATTTTCTTTTCCCTGCACTAGTAGAACTAGATTAGCTTGCCTTTTAACTCTTAAACAATTAATTTATTAAATCATTTTTACCCACTTCCAATAAAGGTGTATATTACAATATATCCCCTCCCATAAAACTACTTCCTTCAGCAAATCCTTCATCATTTGTGCTACTTCCTTTTAGAACCCCTTACCTATTTCCATACATCAAACCACATCCATAAATTCCTTCGAACAACTCCAATTCCATCACCTACTTCACATTCAAACTTCCGCAAGTTATGAGAATTTTTAGGTAATATAATTAAAATTGCAACAGTTAACTTAACAACAGTTAATTTATAAAGACCATTTAATTTTTTTTCTTACTATTATTTGTATTACATCTATATGCCAGACTGATGTAAATATATTTTGAATTCTGCTGTTATTCTAAGGGAACTTTAATCCCAAGATAAATTTACTTTTCATTTTATTTCACTTCATTTCATTATGATAGTACCAATTGAATGAAAAAAAAGGCTGATCCCAAAGTGATATAATAAATATCATAATTGAATTTCATAACCGCAATAAATTTAACTTTATAGAATTCAGAAATAAAAATATCAACAACGAACCAAAGAATCTATCAACTCCGATCTCACTGAAATTCCAGATTCTCTGTTTTCTTCACTCCTATCCGAGTATTGATCTTCATGGGAAAGAGATTTCCCAAACGGAGATGATGTCACCAGTTTCTAAAAGAATAAAAACCAGAAAAATTAATGAAAAAAAAATTTTGTAACATAAAAACAAAAATGTGATTACAAATATACATTTTTTTAGATTTATTCATTGAATATGTGATATTTTTAGACTATATTAACTCCAGAAAAATTTTGTTTGTTTCTACATTTTATTCTAATAGTTGACGTTTAATTGATTTAACAAAGTAACAAAAAAATACACATACTAATTTAAATAATTATAATAATAAAGCATAGGTATAAAGGCAAAAGCTATTTTAGTTTTAATAAAGAGATCTTCTAAAATATAAAAAAATAATATATCAATTGACGAAATAATTGGTCAGTTATTTTTATGATTTACTTAGTTTTAAAGTATAATACTATATATAACCATAAAGTTTGTTAAAAATATATCTAAATATTCAAAATTTGTGTTGATAAAACTGAATACAGTAAACCCCTTTAGTAACAAAGTTATAAAATAAAATCAGGTTTAAACTTTGTTCCTAATACCTGAACAAAAAAAATTGTAGGTAATTAATATGGATAAAAGTTAATTTTTTCCTACGGAGTGTGGAATGTTTTAAGACTTGTATGAGAAACAGCCAGGAAGAACTCCTGAGAAGCTGATCGCTATACTAAGCATGGAAGATGGAGAGAAGTTGAAAAAAATTATTTTTTTGCCAAAAAATGTCTTCAAGCAAGAAGATTTCTTAGTTAAAAATAATTAAAAGAATTTGTGTGATTTGTTGAAACGAATACTTCTTTAAGCACGTTAACTCTTTTTTTTGTGGACAGTGAATTAGATTGAGCCCTCAGATCTCCGATGTGTAAAGTCGGAGTCGACTAATTAAGTGTTTTTGAAAATGGATTAAATATCTCAAACACCAAAAATCGGACATACATATTGTTAGCAAGTGAAATGTTCACCATTTCATCCTCTATGTAATGGGCTAATATTCAAAATCGTAACAACTAATATATAAATAATAGAAGAATAAATTATTATTTCTTAAGTTCGAGGAACATGACAAAATTGGAAGAAAAACAAAAACAAACATGGTAGGCCGAGAGACCTCCATTTTCAACATTGTGATGTTCTTCTAAGTCCGTTGAAGCCAAATTATTCCTTACTACGGATATAAAAGCAGTCTGTAGTACATACTAACGGAATTACTTCGTTGAAATGAAGGTGTTGTAGGAAAACTAAGACATTTTTCAAGGGGATTCAGTTTTGGTATGCTTTAATGAGGAGTTCACAATAACAAGGATTTACTGTACTAGACATTGCTAATTTAACAAACAATAAAAATAAGTAGTTAACGAGTCAATTCCACTCAAAATTAAAGAAATTTCACTTACCAGATTTTCAACGTTCATTACTTCATTTAGTTCGGTTTGAAGCTTTTGTTTTTCAGATTGCAACTCCTAATAACAATAAAATAATTGAATTATAAGTTACTATAAAAATGTATCAGCTATTCCTAATAAAGCATATGAACATGAGAAATAAAACTATCAATAACAAACTCAAGAATCCATTTACTCCAATCTCATGGAAATTCTTATTTTTCTTTGTAACAAAGGACTATTTTTTTTATGTTACAGCACATATTGTTCAAGTGCATGTAATTTTAAAATCAACTATCTATTCTTTTCATAACTATGGAATGATAAATTAAAATTTAATATTGCTCAGTTTTGCGTTTTTAGAAATAATTTATCAACTTAGATTCTTTTTTGCATAAAACTGTTGGGAGGAGGCGTTGCCCCGGTAGACAAAATTCAAAATCCATGTTTCTTTTTTCATAAGGTATTTTTAAAAATATTGAGAAAACGTGATGTATCACCATTTTGTGATTTTATTTTAACAACTACCATAGGAACTGCTAAAACAAAGATTATTATTATATATACAAGTTTTAGGAGTAGCAGTATTTATCATATTTACTAAAATAAATTCCAAAATTATGATTTATCATGTTTTTCTGAAGACAATTTCTTAGAAACTATTGAGCATAAGTAGCTGTATCAAGATACAAATTATAGAGATGAACTAACCAGATGATTAATACTGGCCTTAAATGACCTTTTATATAAAATCTATAATAAAATGTTTCTTTTATAAAATTATCTTTATATATATTTTTAATAGTTTATAAAATCAGATATCATTAAAGTACAGTTAATTTGTCTTTTTATTGTTTATATTTTCATATGAAAAATAAACAAACGAAACTCACCCCTATCCTCATCAATAATGATTCTTCATTTTCACTACGACTCTTTAAGTCATCCTTGAGCTTATAAACTTCACTTTCTAATAGGCTTTTTGAATCATTCAAAACCACTAATTCTTCAGTTTGAACTCGTTTCCAAGTTTCAAGAGCTCTAATTGAAATATTTTTAGCATCGATTTCATTCTGCAATCTATGATGCTAAAATTGATAAAAGTAAATAAATTAATATGCAGGTGTTAATGAAAATAATGGACGAGGATAGTTAATATGTGAGGAACAAAGCACATATTTAAGTTTGTCATATAATAAATTACAAATATTAAGTAGGGAAAAATTTATTTTTAATAACAAACAAGAGATAACAAATATTTTATTGTTTTTTTCAACTAATGAATAACTGTAGAGGATCGCATGCTTTATAAAAATTAAAGTTTAGTGGTCATAGAAAGGTGCCCACCTAGAGGAGATGGTAGGTTGTATCTAAGTATCATTCATGGTAGGTTGTATCATTCATGGAATGATGAGATATTGAACAGCGGTGGATCGAGTGCATAATGAATTTGATTGAATTATGATGTGAACAAGTGTGGAAATGAGAAGGGATGTAGGGATGCACTTTAAATTGGACTAGCCCCAGAATAAAATTATTTTTTCATTCATTCATGTTCCAATTCTATTAGTTGGAAAAATCATTTCCCCAACAAAGTTGCCAGATGCTCAGTGGAGACGGCAGGGTTCGAAAAAAAAAAATAAAAATAAAGGGTCAATTAATTATTACTAACTATCTAACGAGCGCCATGCTATTTATTTGTTTGAATTTGGAAAATAGAAAAAAACATAAATTTTTTTTTTTTTAATTATAAAAAAAAGTAAATAAATTTAATTAAAAAAAAAGATTAGGACGCGGAGTGAGCTACGAACTCGGAACCTTTGGGTTTAAAAAAAAAATATGTTAATTAACCTCATAATCTATCGAACCATCTTACTTGGTTAATAGTGACTTTCCCTAATCCCTTGAATAGGGTTTTACAATGCCTTATCAAACATTAAAAAGAAACAATATAATATATACATAAAACAAACAGAAGAAAAATAAGAAAATAAAACTGGCTATTATTAATACTAATGATGAATTTACTTATTTCTATTAATTTAAAGAACTGTTAAAGGAAATGAAAATTATGAACAAGAAATTACATTTATCAGAAAACAAAGAAAATACATTAACTTTAATTATCAAAGGAAATATTATAAAATAACTTACGAATATACAATAAATCAATTACAAACATTTCAAAAACAAATAGATTGGAATTAAAAACTTATATGTACATATTTACAATATCCCACTGGTTGAATTCTGTCCAACTGGCACATTGAGTTATCTGAAGAAGTGGGAACTTATTTGAACTAGCTTCGTCCAGGTCTCTCCAGTCTATCTCCTCAAGTTGTGAAAATGTTCATTCACCAACCTGTAAGATCAAACGGCACTCGTCGCTGATAATCACAGTTTCATGGATAGGAAGAGAAAATCCAGTGTACACCGTAAAACTAAAGTATTTCACACATTAAAAATTCTCAGCGTGCCTCAACACTCACGAGGTTCCGCCAGCTCTCTCTCAACTGTCTTTTGGTTTTCCTCCCAATCAGCTGTTGGTTATTCCACTGACTTAAAAATAATATTTACAACTAATACTTAAAACTAAGACTTAATATAAACAATTACTTATCATTAAAACTAATGCTAAATACTTAATTTTATATTTAACCCTCTTCGAGTTAATAAAAAAAGAAATTATTATTATTTATAAAAACTAAAAATTGTTTTACGAACTAATTTTTTTTTGTATTTCATTTTTCGTTACAATATATGTACATACAGGTGCAAACAAACATAGAAATCATGACATAAATACATTACTTCAATTTCCAAATTAGAATATTCTTTGAACAGATCTTCTTTAGAATTTTTTAATCTATTGTATTCTTTCGTTAAGTTATTTAATGTTTCTGCGTATTTTTCTATTTTGTTCACGCTACCAGCATACAATTTTTCAAAATGTTTATACTGATTAATTTCTTCCCTTAACCTGAAAAACGAATCAGTGCATAAATTGAAATATGTCTACGTATTATTGATTATTATAACACAAATAATTGCTTATAAGATTATTCATAGGATAAAAAAATTACATCACTTGCTCATTAATAGAGTGACTCATAAATGCAAAAAAGCATCGGTTGAATTACTTAAAATCAGAAAAAAATTTAATTAGAGATAAAAAACAAATACTAAACTAATACGAACTATGATAAAATATGAAAAAAAATATATACGTATTTAAGTAACTAACCGAGCTCAAGAACCGGTGCAAAAACATCCTGGGATTTTTGAACATGTCTCACCTTTCGCTATCTTTCCTAGAGTGAACTTTAAGCTTCTTCAGCTCTTCTTCAAGAGCGAATATCTTTTGCTCGGCTTTTACCAAACTATTTTCCAAAGATGAGTTATGAGCTTTGGTGGCAGTTCTAAAAGATCTTAATTCCTCACTGAAATTAATTTCAGAATGACCAATTAATCATAATATTAAAGAAGATATTAAAAGTTTATAATATAAAACCAAACAAACTAGCAATCATCAACTATATTACATATATTACCTGATTCGCCTTACATATTCTGCTTGATATTTCGGCGTCTATCTTACCTCAACTACTAATTACGGTCCCCAAGTAGGTATATTCAGTCACCACCTCAAGTGTCTCGCCATTGCAGATCAGCTGTACATCTTCTCTTTCTTCCCTCGCCATAACCAGCACTTTACTCTCACCTTTTTTCTCTGGTAGGCATTTTATTTATTCTTTCAAGCATTTGATCCACATCCATTGAGTTTTCTACATCATCGTTACTATCTGATGTTAGGTTATTGAGTGTGGAATTGAGATATTTAGCCAAATTTTACTGTTTCTGCATCAATATTACTGATGATAGGACCAAGTGGAGCGCCACTTTTATATAACTTTACTAATCCACATATTCGAGGTGTATTGTAGTTAGGATTAGTTAGTTTAATAAGAAATTTTTAAAGTTAATAACTAAGTTCTATTACATAAAATATAGACATGAAAGCAAGCTCAATGTCCTAAATGATTTATAATTTACTTATATAAACTAGTGATATTTACTAGTTTATGATGTATCCAACGACTGTATAGTATTTACGTGGAAATCCTCAGTTGGAAGGTTATATTACTATACATTTTCCATTATGCCTAAGAATTTCTGCTATTATTATCATTTATATTATTTCTCTTCTTATTTTTTTTATAGTTAATAATGTTGTCAAAATAAAATTTCAATGTTGTAATAATATTAGATTTTGTACTGTATATTATCATTTGGTGTTGGACACTTTCTTTATCACTCTCCTACTCTCTAAAATAGTGTTGGGTTAAGATACAATTTTGAATAATAGCACATTACAAAGAAGATAAAATGCTGAACATTCCCCTCTCTTACAGCATACAGGTCTGATTTTTAGTATCTGAAATATTTTAACCCATTTATTCAAGTGCCACGTTTGCAAGCGAAAGATCAAGAACTCATCACATCGAGTCAGTTCGTAGATAGCACCTCTGGGATCGTGAAGTGGATGACTTCTGAGCCAATGTTGGTCTATATTAGCTTTATTAATTGTTTTCATTAATTAATTGTTTGACACCAGGAATGGGCAGAACAATTTGTGGTTTCGGAGATTCAAACCAGGGAGGTTTGTCTTCTACTGATGTTGACCGTTCTACAGACACTTGCTTTTCATAGATTTCAGAAACCCGGTGTAGTATGCTTTGCCGTTATAGCCTGTTTATATTCATTTCTTTCACCCTTTTCTGAAAGTGATGATTTGGAACGGAGTTTGTTTTTCCATCTAGGTGCAAGAGTTTCACATCTCTCCTATCCTCTATTGAGGGGAGTTTTGCAATTGACTTCATTTTTTCGATGGGCATTAACTTCATTGCCCCTGTTATAATTCTCAGTCCCTGGTTTTGCACAGTTGGGATCCTCTTGAGGTTCGAGATGCAGCATTCCCCCCGGTGTTAATTCCATATTCCAAGGAATTTGGAACACCCTCTATTAATATATAATTACAAAGTGTCCAAGGGACTATAGAGCTCTCCCCTATTTACCTTTTCATTTTTAGTTTGTCAAAAACTAACATTAATATTTATTTATTGCCAACTTTCTCGTTTGTCTTTCGACAATGCAGGATGATTCCATTTTATTGTATAAATATCATTAATAGCAATATTTTAATTTTTAAAACCTAAATATATGATAAGTATACCATAGCATACAGCATCAAGAGGTTTTCGAGCAGGAATTATGGTTTACCTCAAAAATGGTATATTTTAGGGCTTTTAAACACAATTTTCTGTATAGCACCAAATCTTTAATACAAAATTTATACCATCTATATCCATCAACTTTTGATACTTTTTTCAATGACTTATTGGTGAAAGATGTATCTAATCTGTATTGTATATTGTATAGATTTTTTAGATGTCAAAAGTTCAACCCACTATGTAATAAAAAAACTAAAATTAGATAAAAAAATAAAGAAAACAGTCTGAAACCCATGTTAATTTTAAAACTATAAAATTGTACATTTTTATTATATTATCAATTTGAAAAGCAGTATGACTTGTTTCATACAATACTTGTATAATTTTATAACAATTTTTTTTATTTGAATAAAAAAGGTACTTACTGACAAGGTGAAACTTGGTTTTCTATTGATGTTTCTGACATAAAACCTGAAAACGCAAAAAGAAAAAATAATTATTTTAATAGTTATACAATTTATTATATTTATCATGATAGCTAAAGACGATATTTTATATTTCTAAAAAAATTCACTTTTATACAGCACACTAGATTTTAACTTTACTTAAACATAATATTAAAAAAAAAAAAAAATGAATTTTCAAAACCCACCAGCAGTAATAACCATATACTTACGTATCTACTTAAAAACTATGGTAGGTTGTTAGAGTTGTTAAATATCAAAAAATATTTAAACATGGTGAAGTAGTTAGGTGCTTTCCAACCACAAACAAACCTAAAGACTTTCGAATGTTAGCATGCACTGATGCATGGGACAAAATCTACTTGCCAGGAGTCGTAATTTCTGTATCTAGTTGTCTGGCTTAAACAAAAAACAAAATATCATATCTTACCTAAAGCTGGAGAGTACGACAGCTTTTTTTGCGGTATTTTCCTGGCCCTCTGGTTGAACCTACCGAGTGGTGTGGAGTGCGCATAGGAACTAGCATCATACTCGAACACATCTCTATCAACAGTAGTAGAGCTGCGAAAAATAAAATATAACACAATAAATATTACTGAATATTTAATAGTTGACCGTTGCATTACAAAGGAAGGAGACGGTCATAAATATAGGCTAAATAGTGGCAAAACTATTTTATTAAAAGCCAACGTTTCGACCCGAATTCGCAGATGTTCTTCAGAGAGATCTGTTCAGCTAGGAGTTTCACTTAGAACTAAAACTTTCAGTTAAATCAAATTAAAAATATAATTTAAATAAAGATGTTCGAGAATCTTGAATTCAAAAAAATATTGCAGTTAGTCAAAATATATTACAATAAATACTCAACATCTCAATCAAATTCCTCTCTACTGCCACGCAGTGCAGAGCTACCCTCTATAGAGCTAAGACTGAGTGTCTCTTTCCTGTACCAGCTCTCGTCTCCTGTTTCAATCCAGCCCTCGCTTCCAGAATGCTTCCCATACTCCTTTCCAGATGATCAGGTCTTCTTCCCTGCACTGTTATCTCATATGTGATATTGGCTGTTTTTTTTTGTTTTTTTTTTTGGGTCCTCCCCTTACTCGCCAGGGGGTGTGGGGTCGGGGATGATTTAAAAGACTCCCTCTGCACTGGGACGCGAACTAGTGACTATTTTTATATCATTAGATTGATATATCAGGTTGCCAGGCAAGGGCGGTGCTGTGCACATGCGTTAGCCCAATCGGCTACCCGCCCACGTTATCGGCTGTATCTCGAGGTTTGAACTTTTGATTCTGTTGCAGATCCTTTTTCTTCTGAACATCCCTTCAACATTTCTCAGAAACCTCATCTCCGTTTTCTGGATCTGTCTCTTATGTTTAGATGGAAGGGTCAATGATTCTGAGGAGTAAGAAAGGATGGCCAAGAACATCGATCTGAAGACGGAAATCTTTGTTTTCTTCGTCACTTCTCTTCTGTTGAGGAAACCCTTCCGGAGAGAATGGAACATTCTTCCAGTGGCTCCCAGTCTTTGCAACACCTCTCCATGTATAAATCTGCCTTCGGTGATCCAGGCACCTAGATATTTAAAATCCTGCACCTGTTCAGATATGATAAATACTAAAAAAAAAGAAAAAAAAAACTACTACTACAACTCATGATGGGTCTTAGGTAAAGTACAATGTGAGGAAGTTTCCTGGTCAATGGTTGTACAAGGAGGTTCTCCCTATCTCAGTGTCAATCCACAGCTGATAATATAGAATAAATAATTACCTCGCATCATCCAGATTCAAACTCAGCGTTCCTTTAACTTTGGAAGTCAGATAATAAATATTAACAGAATAATTTTCTACTTTAGTTTTAGTTTTCTAAGAACTTTAAACTGGATCACCAATAGCAGAGATCAGAGCTAGTTGGCAATATTTCTTGTGTTTTGATTTTTCATGCAAACAATTGTTTGAAGTACCTCTAAATACTACATCAATGAGAAAATATTATCATATCTTTTGAGATCATCATATGAAGTGTCGAGTTTTTAAGAAAAACATAAGTCAACTTGTGCCAACCAATCCTGCATTCTGGGATTAATTAATTAATTATTACAAATATAAAGAAATATTGAAATTAACAAGAAAAAAAAAGTTGATAATTAAACAGATGGTAATACTTCTGATACGCTTTTATGAGATGGTGACCGATTTCGAAATCACTTGGAGCACAATGTAAATGGAATCCCGAAGAATGCTAAAAATAGCCAAATATTTACAATCGCTTTCAAATATATATGACAAATATCTAAAATGTACAAAATTTATTTACTGACGAGAAGAAAAATATTTTTTTCATGATGATGTAAAATACAATCAATCTCAGATAATAAAAAATATATATTATATTCATTATTAATTGTATGATTTAGAACAAGGAGAAGAAAGTTTAAAATATAAATTTAATTTTGATTGCAACAGTGTTTCACTTTAATTCTTAGCTTCGTACTTATGGATTGGGGTTAATAATCTGAGGAACATGATTGTCAAAAACATGTTTACTTTAATATTTGTTACCTAGGAAGAAATGAAAGCTTTGTTGAAGAGCTCACTCCTGTATGATAGATTGACCCACGATCCAGGATCACACAGTAGATAGTTTTGAAAATTACTCTATTCGAAAAATAGGTGATCGTATCCTCTTACTTTCGAACAACCCCAGCGAGCAAAAGTCGATAGTCTGAAAGGTAAGGTCATGATTTCAACTAAAAAGGACCAGTTGGGACTTTGCAGAAGTCAACACAATAAAAAATATAGTCAAAAATCCATCTATAGTGTGACCATGTGATCTTGCTCTTATTCATCATACTGGAGTGATGATACTCATTTTGCTAACAAGGATTTTAGTTTGATAATCAACAAATACTTCCGGACATAGTCTGGTTCTTTTTGAATTGTCAATATTGTGATCAAAGTGATTTTGGAACCAGTCTCCATCTTGCAAATTGGAACTAGTACTAAAAATATTAAATGAATGATCAAATGATTTACAATGAGAAATATAAATCTTCATGCACATACCTTTCTGTGTAGTGAGCGACAGGGACATCAGGATTAAAGGAGACAATCCATTCCATTATCATACGTTTGAAACAACTCCTCGAAATGGAGGGATTGAATCCCTGCGCATCCAGTTTCTCGGATATGATACTTCTAAGCCTAAATGTGTTCATTAAATTAAAAATAAAGCTTCCTTTAGATGTTCAAGCAAAATATAGTAAAAGTGGCAGCCAAAATAACCACAAAATTATATTTAATTAATTAGTCTACTTTTTTTTTAAATGATAGATCACAAAGACCATATTCTCCTTGATAATTACTACAGTCAAATACTCAATAGATAAAATTAGGTATTCATTACAAATGATAGTGTACATACTAGAGGAACTTCTAAGATCGAATATTTGTAATCAATACCATTTTGGGTGATATAAAGATATTTAAGGGAGTAATAATTAATAGTAAGAAAAATTGCCAACGATACAACTTACTGAGGTTTATCACTCCCATATTTATTAACAAAAGCATCAATAAGACACTGCACTTCTGCACAACCTGACTTGTCAGTAGGGCACTCAAGGAAAATATTATCCAGCTCTGAAAAACACCTTCGATAAACATCTTTCTCGAACTAAATATCATTTTAGAAAAATTAAATAACTTCACCAGTGCAAAGAGTACTCAAGTCGGATTCCATGATGTAAATAAACAATTATAATCCACCAGCTTCAAGTAACCGTTAGAACTCCCAAAAGGAAACAATCATAGATTAAGTAGGGCGTTGTTAAATCTTTTTCATTATTTTTAATTTTTTTTTTAAGTTACCAAATATTTAAAAAAATAAGTTAGGAGTCAATCGCATTTCAAAATTAAAAACCTTCAATTACATTTTGATTCTGATCAAACAGGCTCTTATAGTAAACAGTTTTCACATCTTTCCGGATATAAAAAATATATAAATATATGAAATATTTCTATTATAAAAAAAGACAAAATATTTTTTTTCCTTTTGCTAATCACTTTTCTTGATAAATATCTGTCACTACTGAAACACAAAATTAATTTTTCTACTTTTTCACAAATCTAATTTTTTTTTTATTTTTTAGTTTGTATATGTTGTGCTATATATAATTAACTTATGGGAATAAAAAGTTTGTAAGCTTTAACCTTTATTAAATTGTTAACAAACATTTAAAAACGATTTCTATCACCTGTTTTAGATATTGGTTATAATTTTCAATAACGATACTTTGTAATCGAATATTTTTTAATTAGTGTTAAAACTTCCAACTGAAGTCCAATTGGTGAGGGGGGGGGGAGAAGAGATTATGGTTTTGGCCATTATCTCTCTTGTAATTTAATCTACTCGTGTTGTCAATAATTAAGAATGGTTATAAAAATGAGAGTGGTTGGGATTTTTTCATGTCGATAAAATGTTAAAAAAATTATAGTTTTTCAATAAATACCACTACCGAAAGTGCCGTCATTTAGATAAAAATTGCTATGTTTTTATTTTTTCTATTTTCATCCATATATCTTTAAAAGTATCCATCTTTCAAAAAATATATTCATTACTTTTTTAAATTAGGTTATTTTTTAGGCCAATACAAAACTTGTAGCTGCAGTAGCCCTGGAGCCAGGGCTCAAAAATCGATCTCATCCCAGGCATGGGCGGATCTACAGGGGAGGGGGGCTTTCGGGCTGAAGCAGTCCCCCCTCCCCAAAATGGAAAAATAAAACCATGTTTTATGGGACAAAAAAATTAAAAAATATCTCTTAAAGTATTATTGTTCGTGTAATTACATTTAAAAGTATTTAAGAAATAACTTAAACACCATTTCATATAGATAGTTAGTTTCTTTCTGTTTTTCCAAAGTAATTATCGATATTTTTATGAAAAAAAAAGGTTTCGGGCTGAAGCCTCCCCCAAAATTAAATCCTGGATCCGCTAGTGATCCCAGGCGACGGTTTGATTGTAAATTACGAACAAAACCAAATTGCTAATAATAGTCCGTGATACAGACCCATTGTTATCGAATTATTAACATCCGCCTGAAACTTCGTAAATAGTTTCATCCTAACCTACAGCTATTTTGTTAACGAAAACTCTTGGAATTGGGGCGTTTTCAATCTGGTGGGAAGGCAAACTTTGTCTATTTAATTAGGTACATAAAACTCGTAAATAGACATTTCCTTTCTACTTGTATCGATAGCAATATAGAGAAAAAAAGAAGGCCTTCAAAAATATTGAGCCGCTTGGCGTGACCTACACCCCCAAATTTACAAAATAACGAGGTTATATAGGGAAACCGTGCCAATATTTTTGTAGGCATCCTTTTTTATCGATTTTGTGATCGAATTATCTTACGATCCAAATAGAATGCAAATGGGTATTTACGAGTTTTTAGTACCTAATTAAATAGACAAAATTGGCCCCCTTCCAGATTGAAAACTAATAAAATAGTTGTAGGTTAAAAATGAGATGAAACCATTTACGAAGTTTCAGGCGGATGTTAATAATTCAATAAAAAGGGTTCTGTACCACGGACTATAAACTTATTAAACTTAATTTGCAAACGTATTGCTAATAAACCATAGAATCAAAGTTATAGAGCATCAAATTTTGTGTCTAGTGAGTACTGACATTTTTATTGTAGGCTAATTACATGTCTCGAATCGATATTCGTCATTTCTTTATGAAATTCCGTGTCTTTCGACACATCGTTTATCGAAATACTTCGCTGCTGAGAGGTGGATAAGTGGCTTATACTGCATTTAACATACTCTAAACAAAAATAACTGAGTAGAATAGACACGCATACTATTGAAACACTGCTAATCACGTTAACCTTCATTACCAATTTCTAACCATCGGGAAATTACCGATTTTGTTCGGAGTAAGTGCCCTACATTAAATTAGTTGGTACTCACTCGACGCAAAAATTTGATTCTATAGGTTTATCCTCTTAATTAACTCGTTTCCAAATTGCAGGGCCATATATAGTGATTTGTCTCAATTTTTAACAAATTTCGTAAAAATCAGTGTTGATTGACCATCGTACTAATTAGGTTATCTGTTAGACTTACCATCTACAATTAAAAGATACTCGACATTTTGTGGTATTAGATACTGCTTATAATCCAGCCTGTTCTATTATTTCAATTAGCTTAAAAATGACACACAATTTCTCAATAGTCAGAACTTGTTTATTTTTTCTTAGACTGTGAATCTCATGGGATGTATAAATTGAACATTTAAACACTCCTGATTATAAACAATTATTATGAAAATACATAAAAATGTTGTAATTGCATTTGCAGCAGATATACGAAGCAATATACAGTCTAGCACAGTAGCACATCAAGGATTTAATTTCAGCCTGAGTGATAAAGATATTTACTTGGGAAGAATAATAAAGAAACTAACTACCTATATAAATGATGTTTAAGTGATTTTTGAAGCCTTATTAAAAAAACATATTAATTACACGAACAATAATACTTTTAGAGATAATGTATTTTGCAATACATGATTAAATTTAGTAGCTGTATGTGCATTATGATTTAAATCATCATATATAGATCATATTGTAATAATTTAAGTATTCAACTTATATTACTCACAATAACAAATACTGAAAAATAATAAAATTCCCTTTGGGAGAAGGAAGGGCTTCAACCCAAAAGCCCATCTTCCGCCGTATATCTTCTAGCATGAATACAGTTCTTGAGTGGATGACCGTTCTTTGGAACCGAGCTAACTTCACAGAGTTACGAACACTCAAAAAAGTTATTAATTAGATGGAAGTATCATGAAGAATACTTTACTCTGTATTCTCAGTATATTGGTTTATTATTTTCAATAATGAACCATTGTGATCGACCGAAAAATTCAAAAACTTAAGCCCCTCTCAAAATTCCACCACCTAACTAATTTATAAAGTTTATTTACTCGTTCGACGCAAAATTGACCGTTCTTTAATTTATTAACGTTTTCATTATTCGCTGGTATGAATAGTTTAGGAGTTATAGATGAAAAAAAAAAACAATATCGAAAAAATCCGACTTTTTTGTCTGTAAAGAGGTTTTCCTTGGTGGCCTGGGATAGCAATTTTGTTTTTTTCATGTCTAAACCCATATATACAAGTTAACAAATAAAAAAATTTCTCACATTTTTCGCAATGGATTTCCCGTTTCGATCCTCAAATTACTGGCCTAATATTCTTTAAATCAGTCGCCATTTTTGAAAGCAGCGGCTCTGGAACGGCAGATAAGGTTCTTTTTACTCAGAATAACTTACACTTTCGTAAGTTACAATCAAACCTTCGTCTGCGATAAGGTCGATTTTTGGGCCCTGGCTCCAGTGCTATGCGCAGGCGGATCTACGGGGGGGAGGGCTTTCGGGCTGAAGCCTCCCCCCCCCCAAAACAGTAAAATATAACTATGTTTTACAGAAAAAAATATGATAAACTATCTCCTAAAGTATTCTTGTTCGTGTAATTACATTTAATAAGACTTGAAGAACCACTTAAACACCGTTTCATATAGGTAGTTAATTTCTTTCTTTTTTTTTCAAATTAATTATCGTTATATGTATACGCCAAAAAAAATATTTCAGGCTGAAGCCCTCCCCCCAAATTAAATCCTGGATCCGCTAGTGGTGCTATGGGTAGTACACCCCGGAATTAGGAGGGGAGGGGGTCAAGGTACTTTCTGCCTCACCCACTAATATTTAATGTAAAGGGGCTAGATTTTCACAAGCTTTCCAATATTTCACAGTCACATTTCAAAAAATGTGCCCCCTCCTCCCAAAAATTTTGATGGCGTAATTGCGCCATTAAACCCTTCTATGGGCACTCCTGCCATTAGATAAGATGTTAATAAACAAGAAAAACGCCTTAAAAATAGCTAATACCTCAACTCTTTTATATTTAAAATATATGTATGCATTTTCTTCCGCAATAACAACTTTATTTTTTACACACATGTTTTGCCATAATCAATATAATATTGGTACATTTCAAGTTAATCCATTGAAGAATGATTTTCTCGACAGGGTTTTCAACTATTTTGAAGATATTTTCTTCAGTGGTCGTACCATTAATCCTATGAACTATCTGAAACTCTTGATATACTTTATGATTGCCATACTCATATGGGGGTAAATAATTATAATCTTTTTTTATCATATGCAAACCTTCTTTTAAAGAATCAAGCTATTGTTTATCATAACCTGTACTAGTTCATCTTCGTTCTACAAACCGCTAACGAATCATGGCTTCCGGGATAAGCATAAGCCAGGAGGTTGAGGGTCTCTTTTTGTTTTCTCTTCTTCTCAGTGTGTTGTTATCATATCCTTAAGGTGGAAAAATAAACACGACTTCCAGAAAAATCAGGGAAGAAAGTTATGAAGGAAAGGAAATTTCATTGGCTCATAACTCAAAAAGTATATACAAAAATCTGGTACGCACAACACACAACTTTCACTTACCGCTCTACTTTGGATAGAAATTATATTCTCACATTGTTAGGCTATTATAAAATTTTTGAACGGAGCTAAAGTTTAAAGCTTACTGATAAAAAATCACTAAGACCGAGCGTTACAGATCGGAGATCTGACGGGTCAATCTAATTCACTCTTCATAAAGAAAAGGGCATAACGCGCCTAAAGAAATTTTCACTTCAATAAATTGTGGTTCGCAGTGTATGTCTGAATTTCCTAAATAATGTTTAAAAAGAACATCAAAATCTAATCATTTTAAGCTAAGATACAACAAATTTTATTTTTGTACATATGTTTTGATTAATCATGATCAATCCATCGTAAAAGGAATCCCGAGAAAGGCCGAGTGTGTTCGGAAGTAGTCGTGTATGTTTCTCTTAAGCAAAAAAAAAAAAAAAATATATATAATAAATTGTTTGTTGACCAGAAAGAACAGTTCTTAAGAAATGTTGAAAAAAAATAGTTCAATGAACGACTAGATGATTTGTTAAATAAGATACTATTCGTTTTCAGTTTCCTCATTATTTCGTAGTAGTTAAAAATAACAGATTTGAAAAAGAATGAAAGATCATATAAATGAAGTAGGGCATTATTCGAGTTTGAAATGGGCATTTTTTCAACTTACAATTAATAATATTACATACATGTGTATTTTAAAATTATTCTTAGCACAAATTATAAAAAATGATTATTTACCAAGTAAAACATGTGATATAATGGGAAAGTTTAGAAACTTGCCCCAATGTTCAAAATCATGACTGTAATTTTAAATAGGTACAGTGGAATTAAACCAAAAATTAAGGAAAAATTATTTGCGATCTGCAATATAGAATTATTGACAAACATATTTATAACATAAGTTAATTTTGTTGTCATAACACCTAAACATGTTTTTAAGTTAATTTAGTGAAGTATTAACTATGATGTATTTATTTATAAATAGTCTTTATTGCTAACAACAGACAAAATAGAGAGAGGGAGAGGACAGAAAACTGAAATTTTTAAAGTTTTTTGAAAATATCTCAAAAACTAAGAGGTTTTTAGCAAAGATGTTCAGTACACTATTAAAGAATATTAAAATGTCTATACAAATGATTCTATACATGTTATGGATAAAATCAATAGTTGCAAAAATTGCTCCAAACCACGAAATTGATGTTGTTCATAGTAGATGATACTGTTTTGAAGCTTAATTCGTTTTTTTTTTAAACATTTTCGGTCGTTCAAAAATTATTATGTGAATTTTCATTGTTCATCGACGTTGGGGGATGGGCACTCCTGCGCAATGTAACTGTTTGAAATTCTTATTTTTAATTAATTTAAAAAAGACAAAGTTTACTTGAATATTATGTAAATTTTTACTAGTTTACAATGAAGTAATTGGTTGTAACCTAAATTAAATATTTTTTTAGATATTGTTTTTTAAAATATACAGACATTAAGTTTCCTGGTTCTCTGTATGAAATCAGATCATGGTTTCTGGTAACTTTTTTTTAGGTTTAAAGTCTGCATATTAAATATCATCAATTATATTACATTAATGCCAATATAAACTTAATTTTAATATCATAATATTTAACATCGAAATGTGATAAAATGTTTACTTAACAATGGACGAGTTCACATAAATGAATCATAAAATCCTAGGATATGTTGCAACATATAATTATCTTCGAATATAAACTAAAATTCCAATAATAGGAACATACTTTTATGTACATGGTAACACAGGCGGATCTACGGGAGGGAGGGGGAGGCTTTCGGACTGAAGCCCTCCCCCTCCCCCCAAATGGTAAAATATAACCATGTTTTACAGAAAAAAAATAATAAAAACTACCTCTTAAAGTATTCTTGTTCTTGTAATTACATTTAATAGGACTTCAGGTACCACTTGACGCTATTTCATATAGGTAGTTAATTTCTTTTTTTTTTTCCAAATTAATTATCTTCACATGTATATGACGAAAAAAAATCTTTCGGGCTGAAGCCTCCCAAAATTAAATCCTGGATCCACTACTTCATGGTAAAATACTAGCGTCCCCACTAGCGGATCCAGGATGTAATTTTTTGAATTCAGCCTGAAAGCTTTTCTTTTCATAAAAATAATGATAATTACTTTGGAAAAAAAGAAAGAAACTAACTGCCTATATGAAGTGGTGTTTAAGTGATTAATAAAGTCCTTTTAAATGTAATTACACGAACAATAATACTTTAAGAGATAATTTTTTAATATTTGTTTCCATAAAACCTGGTTATATTTTACCATTTTGGGGGGAGCTTCAGCCCCAAAGCCCCTCCCCCCGTAGATCCGCCCATGAGCGTGCCTACTTCTAGGAGTAAGCTTAGCCATCCAGTAGATTTTTTCTATTTTCCCAATTGATTTTAGTTTACATATTTTATATGTAATCAATCAATTATGTAGATTAATTGTTATTGATTTTAATTTTATTTCTGTCCTTCGAAATATTGGGGAGGAGCGGTGAGCGAAACGATATTCTTGCCTCCTTTCCAGTTTTATTAGGGGAGTGATCGCCTCTCACCCTCCCGATGTCTGGGCTACACAGGTAAATCTACGGGCGGGGGGCTTTCGGGCTGAAGCCCCCCCTCACAAAATGGTAAAATATTACCATGTTTTACAGAAAAAAATATTAAAAACTATCTCTTAAAGTATTCTTATTCGTGTAATTACATTTAATAGAACTTCAAGAACCACTTAAACACCATTTCATATAGGTTGTTAATTTCTTTCTTTTTTTTCTAATTAATTATTTTTATATGTATATGAAAAAAAATCTTTCGGGCTGAAGCCCCCCCAAAATTAAATTCTGGATCCGCTAGTGCTGGGATATGCATGCAACCAAGAAATTATTTATCACGCATTATGTGTTTAATTAAATAAAAATAACCCAACTAATTTCAACTTAAAATACACTATGAAAATTGGACAGTAATAAAGTATTAAATAATAATTTATAGGGGTTATTTAAATTAACCCAAACAAATATTTGAAAAATACTGTTGCACTAGTGCTGCCATCTCTATAACCGTTCGATAACCGTTACATCTGTATTTTCAAAAACCGTCCCAGGTTACAGGGCTGTTATCTTGTGTGATTCAAACAACACCAGTAGATAAAGAATCACTTTGTTACGAAATATTTTTTATTATTTATTTATTCAGTTTTTAATTATAATTTTTAAACTATATTTTAAAATCAACCATGCCTAAAGCTAAGAGAGAGACAAGTTCTAAACAAGCTAGAAGTAAAGTAGGCTTGCCACAGGTATTGATAAAAACTTGGATATTTTTATTTGTCCTTTGTTAAAATGTATGACAGTAGAAATTTTATGATATTTCTTGTTTTTTAAGCTTGACATATTTAACGTTCCTGCTGATGAAATGGATGATGACGAAGATGATGCAGAATTAGAGGCAGAACTGTTGGCTATCATTTCTCCGGGATCAAAGAAGTCACCAATGATAAAACCAAAAGGTTCTTTTACCTACATCATAATTATTTTATTTATAAATACCATTTCTCATGACAATATTTTATTTATTCTAGCCCTACCTGTTCCTCAAGCCAATCTAGATTCTATGGTTGCTGAAAGTCTACAAGATATTCCTTCTGATGTATCTTCAGGAGATGAAGATGACCCATCACTTCTTGTAAATACATATTGTATGGCTATGAATGTCAATCTTACTGTTTTAAATAATTTTATAATCATATAAATATTTTCAGGCTGAATTGCAAGCATATACAGGAGAAAAACCCCTTGAAGCCCCTGTTTCGTCTAGTTCTGTTATGGCAGGTTCTAATGTGAATCTGCTAAGTTTATTACAGGAACGTTTGCAAATGTATAAAGCAGCTGAAGAAAATGCAAAATCGACTGGAGATACATCCAAAGCTAGACGGTAAGGTATTTTATCACAAATATATCTGCAAGGCTCTTTTTATATCATATGGAACATTTATTGCTAATATAGTATCACTGTCATGTATATATAATAGGTGTGCCAAGATCACATAATCAAACTGTCTCTGGAATTTCAAAGATAGTACTTTCGTCTTTTGTTATTCTAGGCCAAGTTAAATTTTCAACACAGACAACAAAACAAATGAAGATAGATTTAAAATATTTTTTTTTTTATTCACTACAATCTTTAATTTAAAAAAAAATCTATTTCTACATTTTTGGTATGGTTTGTACCCTTCTCTGCATTTAATATGCCTTGTTATTCCATGAGCCTAACTAAGATTGTTTGGTTATTATTTATCCTAACCATATACCTACTTAAGAAGAATATATTGTTATGATTAGATGCTGAATATCGACTAAGCATCCTCGAAACTTACACATAAGACTAAAAATGCTATCAATCATAATTTTTTTTTTTTAATTGTCTTATTAACAAGGTCATAGAAAAGAAATTAAAAATAGAAAAGGGATGTCAAGAATGATGGAACAAAATTGTCAGAATTTACAGTCAAGAATTTTTATTAGGTTATCCGACATTTCGACTGAAACATGTGGATCGTCCTCTTGGCTATCTTTTGGGAGTCGAGACAAGAACAGAGTTCTCGATTATCTTCAAAAGATAGCCCTGATGATAACCCACATGTTTAGGTCGAAACATAAAAATTGAAAACATAATTTTTGTTTTAAAAAAAATGTATGCTTGATTTTTTAGATTGTGCTAAATTTGTATTATTTTTGTATATTGAATACTTAATAGTTAACCGTTGTATTATTAATGAAGGAGATGGTCCGGGGTGGCGGTCATAAATAGTCTAAATAGTGGCAAAACTATTTTATTAAAAGCCAACGTTTCGACCTGACTTCTAGCCCTGAAGAAGACCTGCAAAGTCAGGTCGAAACGTTGGCTTTTAATATAATAGTTTTGTCACAATTTAGTCTATGTATGACCGCCACCCCAGATCATCTCCTTCCTCATTTTTATAAATGTTTAATCACGGTAATTTGCTGTGAACCAAATATTACCCATTGACCGGTAATTGATTGATGTTGCTCTGGTTATTGTGAAAATTGGTGTGGACTGTATGAGGTTGGATCACTGAAATTTGATACATGATTAAATTTAAGAAATGATTGAGAAAATGATTATAATATATGTTATTGAATACAAACAAATGAAATAAAGTTTGTGCATTTGTACAATTTTGTTGTTCTTGACAGATGAAGTACATATTATTGATTGTGAAATTACTATTTTGTAGTATGGCATTGCAATGTTGGTAGTGATTTTGCTTCAGAATAAAATTTAGTGGTTAATTTGGACTCGATTGATGTTTGGATTGAGCTTCTTTTTTGGTCTCCTCTTCTTCCTCCACCAGGCTGTTCTTGAGATTTAGCAACTCATTTTTTTCTTTGTTTTGTGATTTCTGAAGGAAGTAACTGACAAATGAATTGGATTAACTGTACAGGAATAGTTTGTAGTAAAATGGAGGCAATAAAATGGTGGTGAAGTTTAGAATTGTTTTCGATACTTGTCTGATAGCCTGACTGGACTGACTGCTATCTGCCAATGTTTATAACCTGAACACTTTTATTTTACAACATATATATTAAATAGACAAAAACAAATGTAATAATAATAAAACAATGTGGTTTGAAATTGAAATAGACAAAAAGAAATGTAATAATTCCCATAACAATAAGAAAACACTTTAATTTTACAACACATGAAGGGACGTTATGTCCAGTCCTCCTATCAGATAAGTAGCTTGTTTTCATTTGTTTTTTTTGTGTTTCAGGGGTCAATCCCTGAACGATGTATTGTGTAAATAACCTACTAAAAGTTAAGTGTTAATAATTTGTTTTTTGGCGGGAATAGCGAATAGCCTTCTGTTTTTATATCGGGGAACTAGGTTATTTACACTCGTGATTATTAAAATGAAACACCGGCAGTGGATATAGACTTTTTGAGGGTGTTTGACTGTTGTTGGGAATCTAATACCTTTGTGACACTGAGTGAGGAGAAGAAACAATAAGAATACATATATATCTGAAATGTGGGACTGAGTAAATACACTTTAAATGAATTGACTCACCTGGTTTGTTATTCTTCACTTGTGAGGCATATAGGACAACTAAATAAATAAATGACTTTTCACTCCTGTATAATAAAATAATTTATTTCTACAACTGTAATAAATTGACTCAATTAAAATGTTATAACTATAAATTTGATCTTCTAAATCTTGTAGTAGACTTTCTTCCCAGGTATGTGTTCCGTCTCAATGTCCATCCTCAAGTGCCTGGCGTCGTCTTCCAGCTGCTGCTACCTGACCGGACCTTTTTCCTTCTTCATCGATTGTTTATCGATATGAGATTTTCCATTGAACAATTTGTCCACTGCTCAATTGAGTACAATTCACAGTGCAACCTCACATTCCTATATATTATATATTCCTTCTCATTCCCTCACACAATGTCAACTAAAGGAGTAAATACAGGGGAATGTCTACTACAATTATGTGTACATTTGATGACCTTTAGCCTAATATTTTATAAGAAAAATTAAAAAAATAAAAGATATATATGACTAGGAAATTATATTATTTATATTTTTTTGATAAATGAAGATTTGATATAAAAAATAATTATTTTATGTTTCAGGCTAGGCAGAGGTTTGAAAACACTCAACGAACTGCTCAAAAAAGCACAAAGTGGAGGACATGTTGATGAAAATGATATTCCTTTACCTGTGACAGTCTCTACTAGAAAACCTCCCGCAGATGTCTCGCCGGGTATGAATTCACATCTTGTAGTTAATTGTTTTCCATAGCAAACCTTTGTTACTGATAAAGAGAAAACTAATTTTTACCTTATCTCAAAATTTGAGCATTTACATTTTTGAGTACATTAATCCAAAAATTCAATAAATAGAAAAAAATTGTCTGTCTATTGTTGGAGTTCTCTACCTTAAACAATTTTACCCAATTGTCTTGTTTATCAGATAATGTTGAATGTAATTACTTATCTTAAATCAACCCCATCAGAACATCCACTTACCCTCATTGTTGTAAGATGACTAAATATTTTTATGCATGTAAAAAATGTTACTTATTATTTCACAATGTTTTATTATTTTCAAACAATTATACATCTAAAGTAACATTACCTTCCTAGTGACAAAGAAAAAGAAATAAAAGTTGATTCCAATTATTGCCCTAAACTTTTTTTTCATCATTAGTAATTTGCTAAAAAAATAGCATTACTTCAGTAACACATTCAAAAACCAAAACAAAGGATATAACCTTTGCAGTATAACATATAAAAAACTTCTAGAGACCATATCTTTGCTCCTAATTTTTCAATTTTAATGATTTTTTTTGTTAGGAAATTTCATAAACTTTTAAAAAAACATACAATATCAACTAAAAAGTGTATACTTTTTGAGTTATTCGGAATCTAATTTTACCATCTCTCGTAACCTTGTTTCCAGCTTCTTTTCGTTGAAGTATGTTATATAGATAAATTTGAAGAGCATCGAGAAGAAGACTTTAGACAAGTTCCATTGAAATTAGTGGATTCGTTTTGGTGCTGCAGTCTATAGCAACATAGGTTTTTTGGCTGCCATCTTGAATGGAAAAGGCGGATAGCAATGCCGATGAAGGAGGATCATCCTAGGATGACCTCTGATTTTAAATCCAAATTTGAAAAAAATTGGTCCAGTAGTTTCGGAGAAAATGCACTGACGGTGGACAGACAAAAAAAAATTGTATTTGTTTTTCGAATTCTATATATCCTAAAACATAAAATCTAAAATTTTGAGAGGGCGTTAAGTTTTTAAATTTTTTGTTCGGTTACAATGGTTCATTATTAAAATAATAAATCAAAATTAAATAATTTTTGTAATCCATTTACGAGAACCATAACTCAGTGCTAAGCTCAGCGATGGCAGTGTTTCACCCAGTTTAGATATGGATCCAATGCCATCGATGGAATCAGCCCTGAGATTAGGAGCATGCCCAACTTCAACTATGGTTTTTTATTACAAGAATATAATGTAAAATGTTTGGTTCATATTGATATGAAAAAACTAGCAAAATAAAGGCAGCTTCACAATGTAGATTCGCTTGACCTCTACTTAATAAATATACTTCATGTGTTTCTTTTCTTACTCAGCCATTATAATAATAGTATAAAGTATTATGCTTTGCATTTATATTTTGATATTGTTCTTTAATAGTATTTATAATATAAATTTTATAAATTAAGTTTTTATTAATTATTAAAATAAAATCATTAGTTTCAGAAAATGAAATTCCAAAAGATAATGATAATCCTCCGCCTGTACCACCTAGAAGATCCTTGTCAAAAGTTGAGCCTCCGAAAGAAGAGCAAAAAGATATTGAGAATATTTTAAAAATACTGACTGATCGAAGGGATGAGTACAAGAAAGCAGCCGTCGCCGCTAAGAAAAGTGGTGATCTTGAGACAGCCAAGGCTCATGTTCGTGTTATAAAGGTACATTATTTTCATTGAACTGTTCAAAATAGTTATTTATATAATGTTAAAAAACTCTTTTATAGATAAGTTATTGATGGTTAAGTTCAATGATATTAATTCTCTTTGGTTATGAATGTCGGATTATTTGTATATACGTGTTTGATTGTTCACTTAAAATAATTATTCATACCTAGATTCAACATTTTTCAGTAGTTAGCAATCCTTTTATTAACTTTCGTGGAGTTAACTAATGTTACAAGAAATCAAATTGGAACCCATTCTTTGCGGATAAAGTAAAATAAATTAAAACTAATCTTATTTGCTTTTGCAGGTTTTTTTTCTCTTGATATATAGATGTCCTTATATATATGACCCCTTAAATATATTGAAACCCGTAGGTTCCTAATAACTTTCTTAATATTTTCTCACTTTGAGTACTGCTTTACTTTATATGGGGACACCTCTGGGGATCTTGAGAGGAAACTAAAATATTTGATAAATTGTTTGAATGTTTAATAAATTCATCTTTGAGATCCCAAAAGACGCCTCTGTTTGCCATTTTTATGAAGAGTTAAAGTGGCTTTATCCTTTCTACCGTAGTAAATATTTCCTGACATCCTTCATCTTTCAAGTCATCCAACCCTGCCATCCTTCATAGCTCCTGCAATTCAAATCCTCTGTAGATTCGTGCGATATCCCATCCCAATCTTTAGATTTTTATACAAGGGCACAATCAAGGCCAATTCCCTGGTTGTAAACCAGGATCAAATATGCAATTATAAACATTAACTATTAAATGTGCATTATAAAAGTTGATAAATAAATGTTTGATAAGCATTTTAAAAACAAACTATGCAATGGCATAAATATCAAGCCTAACTAATAAGGTAAGATATATACTTCCTTAAAAAGTCTTTTAAATGAGCCCTCTATTATTAACTCAGTATTAATTACTGTATTTAATTTTTTTTTTTTATTTAGCAATTTGAAACTGTAATTGAAGGGGTGAAAGAGGGACAGCCCGTAGACCTATCAACAATGCCACCTTCTCCAGGTGTCGTAACCTCAAGCCCATTATCAGCTCCACAACCGCCTCCAGTGCAGGCAGAAAAACAGAGAGAACCTCCTCCATCGATTGCTCAGGAGGAAGCAGCAGGTTATTAGACTCTTACTGTTACTGGTCTAAATATTAATAACATATTGTTAATATATTTTATTGTAGTAAGATATTAATAATTGACTGTCTTTTTCATTTTATTTTTTTATTTATTTTTAAGGACTTATATTTAAATATTTTAAATATGATTTTAATAGGTGAAACCATTGCTGAACCTACTAGTATACTAGAGGCATTAGAGCAGCGGCTAGCGGTTTTTCGAAAACAAGCAGAGACAGCAAAAAGTGAAGGAAACAGCAGCAAGGAGAGGAGAATGGGTCGGATTTCGAAGCAATATGAAGATGCTATTCGCTTGCACAAAGCCGGAAAGGAGATTCCTGTCGATGATCTCCCAACTCCTCCGGGTAAGAAAATGGTATTTATTATGTATGCATTTATATGTTATAACAATATTTTATATCTTTCAGACAATTTTGATTTTAAATTAACAAAATTGATGTACAAAATCCGTAAATTTCTACCACCTACATACTTCCTCATCATCCGCTCCTACCTTACTGATAGATGTTTTAAAGTAAATCACAAAAACTCTTATTCATCCCTTTTTTCCTAGTCTGCTGGTGTTCTTCAAGATAGTATCCTTGGTCCTATCCTTTACACAGTTTATACAGCTGACATCCCAACCCATCCTGACACTTTCATCACCACATATGCTGATGACATGTGTATCCTATCTGTTAATAATGATCCATCAACTGCATCCCAAACTCTCCAATCACATATCACAAACCTTGAAGAATGGTGTAAAAAATGGAGAATTAAAATAAATTCCAATAAATCCCATCAAATTACCTTTACCCTGCATCGCAAACCCATGACCTCCCAGTTGAACAAATCCGTTACCTAGGACTCCACCTGGACAAACGACTCACATGGAATCCTCATACAAGACTGAAACGACTAGAAACTGCTCGACGTTTCCGACTACTCCAACACTTACTAGACAAACGCTCTAAGCTTTCAATCAATTACAAACAACTTATATATATGACAATAATAAGACCTATTTGGACTTACGAAATTGAGCTTTGGGGCTCCACTAAACCATCAAAACCCTCGCGTATCCAATCCTTACAATCCAAAATCCTCAACGTTCCTCACTTTTTCACAAATAAAATTATCCTTATCGACCATAATTTACCATATGTTTCCAATTTGGTCCAATCCAGATACCTATCCTTCCATAATACATTTCAGAACCCCCCGAATCCTCTCGTTTCAAACCTTGCTTCCTCCTCGATCCCTGATAACCCTCCGAGGCGTCTGAAAAGAAGATGGCCTCGGGACCTTCTAATATAGAACTTTAATTTGAGTTCTACCAATGGATAGTTTCTCTTCATGTTGTACATGTCATATTACCAATGTCACATTTACTTGTTGTATTTTTAATGTAATACAGTTGTAAATTTCGTTAAAATAAAAATAAAAAAAATTAACAAAATATAAGGAATAATAACAAAATTTAATAATTCATTATAAGTATAAAGCATGAAAACTTTTCTCTTCCGTATATGTCAACTTTATTCATCTGTCCAACATTTCATTGTCCATCTTCAGTGACATTTTCTTTCACTGTTTTTTTTTTTTTTTTTTTTTTTTTTTTTTTTTTTTTTTTGTGTGGGGAATAAATTACCCAAATTTCAAATTCTCAAAACGTTCTTATAAAATCAGCACCATTAAAAAAGTAATTAGTGTCTTTATTCAATAAACCGACGTTTATAGTATTATACAACTTTTTAAAAAAATAAAATGGCATTATGTTTGGGTAGATGGGTGTTACTTTTTCTACTTTAATTTAATTTTTGGTGGTTGGCAAATTATATAATATAATTAACAATAGACTTTGTTTTAGTTAAAATTATAATTCAAGGAATCGCCGAAGAAGTAATACTACTAACAAACATAATGTAGAACAGTTTACTCTGTTATAAAAATTGTAAAACAATTTAAGAGGTCCATTAATAAACATATGGTAAAATACAAGTAAGGTTTGAGCTGCGATTCGAGTCTTTTACTACCGAGCTCATAGGACTCGAGTCTTGTCCGAGTCGGGAAAGCTCAAGCCTTATAGCCTTCTCACTGAGCTTTTTTAAAACACTATACATGACAAGGACCCTGTCACATTTTTGTATTTGTTGAAGGAGCCAATTTTACGTAACTTTGAGCTATTAAAATTTGTTTGTTTGTTATTAAATTATTTAATGAAAAAATAGACATGGTGTCAATTGCTTCCAAAGTATAGAATAATAGTGCCTCATGTTTGAGTGGTTTGTTAAATTTCATATTTTTTAAAATTTTACTATGTAACTAAAGAAACTTTCACGGGCAGGTAATTTAGAGACTCCTGAACTTAAGGATAAAATATTTTTCATTTTAGAGTTTTATTCAATAATTTCATTACGTTTTATTCAATTCATTCATTTGGAGTGGGGTAGCTCAAGGTGCTCCTGGTTTGAACCCCGGCTCATGGCAGGAAAATTATTTATTATGTTTCTTTATTATGTGAGGCAACCCTGGGGTCAGGAGACCCTCCTGGGGCACACCCAGCCTCTATAAAGTGGGCACTCTTAATTAAGTAATTAATTAAGGGAAAAAACCTGATGGTTGAGCATGATCTCAGTCTAATCACCTCCTTGCACAACCGTTGACTAAGAAACAGTACTTTTTCTAAACAATAGTGAACCCAAGACCCTTCATGGGTTGTAGTGGTACAGATTTTTTTATTCAATTCATTAATTAATTCACTAAGTTTTATTAAATAATTTCCAGCCTTCCTCATCATTGTTTTTACCGAAGTTTTTAATTTGTTTTTCTTAAATGTTAATCTGTGTGACAGTAAATATTTTTAATATTATTTATATTTTTACCTGTTTAAATATTTAAACAAGTAAGGTTTAATTTCTTGAAAGAATGACAAAAAGAAAATACTTTTTTTCTATTAACACTATCTTTTTCAATTACAGAATATATTTAAACTTCTTAATTTATTATGTTTTATCTTTATTGTGTCCAATTTAATATTTTTTAAATATTTGTATGTGAGGCAGTAGATAAATTATGTTCCTTTGTTGAATATTGTTAAATAAACATTTATTTTTATTATATTATATTGGTTTATGGTAACATTTAATGATATTTGTTAACTTTTTTGTCTGTTTAGGATTTCCACCGATTCCAGTTGAGAAAAAAGCACCTCCACCCCCGGTAACTCCCAGCCCACCAACCAGGGCTGAAAATAAACCCCCACAAATTTCTCCAAAACCACCGGCAAAAATGACTCCGTCTCCTCAACCTTCCCCGTCTGGTCCACAGTCCGGTGAGTAACTTCGTGATTGTGTATATTATTTTCTGAGAGTATTGCTGTGTTATAATTTTTTTAAATGTTATTTCTTCACCTTAACTCCTCTTTCAATAATGAAAGATTTCAATATTATTTAAAATAAACACATGAGGAGTTGGTCAGGGGGTGCAGTAAAATAAATACTAAATTTTAAAAAATAATATTTTTAATTATTACGCCGACGTTTCGGCCCACCTTGTAGGTCTTCATCAGGGCTACAAAAGATACAAAATATAAAAGGTACATGGTGAAAATTTAATTTAATTAATTCATTTATTTTATTTTGTATCTTTTGTAGTTCTAATGAAGACCTGCAAGGTCGTTCGAAATGTTGGCTTAATAATTAAAAATACTATTTTTTTAAATTTAGTATTTATTTGATCGCATCCGCCGACCGATTCCTCATATTATATCACGGTCAACCATCTCTACATCATTAAAATAAACATAATTTTTAATTGCATTAACTGTCATGAGAGTCTTTGGCTTTAGTGCTCCCTCTCAGTCTCCATTGGACTCCCATCCCCGTGACACTGCTGAGAGAGAAATGCTAGGATCTCTTAGAGTCTTGCCTTGTCCTCCACGCCGTGGGAAAGGTACATACTCGGAGTTCCCTCGGCTAACTGTAAATATTCTAAATTAACTATAAATGTGTCTTTTTGAATTTCATATTTTTATTTAATGTTGTCTCAAATTTCATTTCTTTTGTTTTTATTACAGTTTTCTTTTTCTTTTCTTTTGTTATCCACACATATATTATTACTTTAAGGCTCGAAATCGGTTTTGTTCCAAATATAAGCTCCTGTCAGGCTCAAATACAATGAATGGGGTACCGTTGGATTCAGAATTTCACGAGGGGTTAGCGAATCGTATTCTCCACTTTTGTTTTTCTTTCTAAAATAAATAAAGTCGATACAAACATTTTGCTAGGCTTCGTTACTGGAACGGTGGTATGTCTGTAGATCGATACGGGACAAATTGGATCTTGAAGATTTTGATGCGTACAACAAGACCCGGATAGTTCCTCCAGAACTATCGGATCCTGAATTTTTAAGCCCAAAAACGTACTATTTTCGAGATAACACAAGGCATAGGATTCTCATCCACACAACCTTACATTAATTGTAGTACTGTCATCGAATAGATGTCTCATTCCGTCGACTTGAGGTCTCTATGATCGAGAGAGGAGTTTATATTATTTATCGATGGTGTTTTTGATCGGCAAGCCATATCATCGTTAATTTTCACCAAATCTCAAGATTGAGCCACCAATTTCTAAGGCTTCCTTGTCCTTCAGGCGGGCAAAATAGTCCAATCGCCCCGAAAATTCAGGCAAACAAGTTATGAAAGAAAACAAACTTTATTTGCGAATAACTAAAAAACTACACACTTTTTCCATGATTATATAAAAGATTACTAAATTCTCTACAAAAAGAAAATAAAATCATCGAAATCGGACAATTTTTAGCAAAGATACAGCTTACTGAAATTTGTAAACTAAAATGTAGATTTAAATTAATTTTTTTTTCTTTGTCGATTATATTTATCGATAAAGTAACATTTAATTTCTTTGTCTTTTGATATGTTGCATTATTTTCTTTTCTTATTAATTTGGCATTTGATAACAATTTGATGGAATTTTTCGCACTGGCCTACTAGTTGTATATATAGTATGAAGGAGTCTCACACAGCTCTAATACTTAATGCTGTTGAGTGAGGCAAAATGTATTATTTCTTAATAAAAAAACTAAATAAAAAAAGTTGAAAATTAATTAATCTGTCGTCATCTTCCGGTTCCATGAATTTCATTATCATCTTCATTTCTATCAAGTGGTCTCCACGGATAGAAATTGTGTATTTCTTTATTATTCATGTTACTTCTAATCCGAAATGGGTTATACCCAGTGTTTTCTTCCTGTACACAAAGGCTCGTAGTATGGGTAGTTCTCTGCCGTGATTGAGTAGAGGCAAATCATCATTATTAAGGCTTTTTAGACCAGACTAAAAACTTCGAATATATATTCTTTTTTTAAGGTTGATAAAAGTTGATTTTACTATTTAAGTACAATTATTAATTATTTTTGTCCAGAAATCAACATATTGCCAAATAAAAATTGAAATTTATTTAATTACAATATTCTTTTATTTTTTAAGGTCGTGTCACTAGGCAAGAAAAGCAACTTGCATTGCTGCTTAAGAGGCAAAAGGAATGGAAAGAGGCAGCAATTGCTGCTAAAAAAAGTGGAAACTTAGTAAAAGCGAAGGAATGTTTAAGGCAAGTAAAAGGAATTGATCCACTTCTTGAAGCTTCGCGATCTGGTCTTCCTATTGATATGGCTACCGTAAGTTTATTATAAAAAATATAAATACATTTCATCCTACATTTCTTTCGGTATAATAATTTATGTTAAAGGTAGTGAGTTGAGCTACGGGGCTCCACCAAACCTTCAAGTTCTTCTAGCATCCAATCTTTACAATCCAAAATCCTTCATAAAATCCTTAATGCTGCTTACTTTGTTACTAATAAAATCATCCATAATGACCTTAATGTTCCGTATGTATCAGATTTGGCCCATTCCAGATATCTGTCCTTCCATAATAAACTTTAACCATCCCAACCCTCTTGTTTCTAACCCTCTTCCTATTCAATTCCTGATAATCCTCCGAGGCGTCTGAAAAGAAGATGGCCACGTGATCTCCTAATATAGACATATTATTAGAGTGCTACCAATGGGTAGTTTCTCAACATGTGTTTCATGTCATTATATCCATGTGCGAATTTACCAGATGTATTTTTTGTATACAGTTGTAAATATCATATAAATAAATAAATAAAAAAAAAAAAAACGTAGTGAAAACTACAGTTATAAAAATATCTTTTATTGACAAAATAATATTTTCTGCAAAGCAAGCTCATAAAGGGGAAATAATTTTTGAAGATAATATAGCGATGAATGGGGCTTTTCCATATAATCTCCATTATGAACTATAAATTTGTCTTTGATATTTTTATTGTTTATTTAATTCTTAAATAGAAGCTATATAAAAAAACAAAATAATTAATAATTAACATAAGTCTCTTGTATATTATTGTAATCCTATATAACTATCTCTGAAGAAAGAATTTTTAATTCTTTTCAGATTCCTGTTGCTCCTCAAGACAAATTAAATGATGGATTTGAAGTTGTGAGTATTAAGGACTGCCTACCTGGTACTAACGCAGAAATCTATGAACAACTTAAAGTAGATCTTAAACGTCAGTTTGAGGTATCAATTAGCTATATCATTTTTAAAAAAATCTTTTATTTTTTTAATCAAAAATGTATTATTTTATTTTAATTTTACTATATAAAGTGTTTTGTGAAATTCAGTCTTCCATTGCTTAGGGAAGAGACTTCTTCCAATAAAATTCCATTTCTAATTTGAGGATCTCCCTTAAATACTGTTGCATTCAGGATATGCAAGTATTAAGGTGACTGGAAAGCAATTTTATTTTCTTACATTAAATTCAAACACAAATTTCACATGAGTTTTTATTTTTAATCATTGATAGAATCACTCTTATTATCTACAACCTTTTGTCATCTAGTGTGCAAATTTTCAATGCAGCATCGATAAAAATCAATTAGTTTTTGAGCAAAATATATAGAGATGGCATTTTGGACATCATTCAAATTTGCAAATATTTTGCCACTTTGAAAGTGTTGAAACGATCCGAACAAATGGCAATCCAATGGTGCAGTATCGTGCGAGTATGGTGGGCAGGACAGTACCTTCCATCCCAATTCATTAATTTGTTCCAGGGTTCCTCTTACGCAGTGCGAATTTGCATTTTTGTATTGAAGAATAACACCTTTTCTGTTGACAATCGCTGGCTACTTTTCAATTAAAGATTGATTTACATGATCCGATTGTTCACAATTTGTTCAGGTTTCAGCACTTCAAAATGAGCAACGCCCAGGAATACTTCACTAAACACACAAAATGGCCTTTTTGAGGTTTAAACCTGACTTAACAGTATTTTGTGACAATTTGTTTGGAAAGAGCCACTGCCTGTTGGGTTTTGGATTATCTTATAGGACCCATTTTTCATCTCCGATGATAAAGTGATCAAAAAATGCTTCTGTATTGTGCCATTAAAGCAATAAGTTGCTATACAATGGTTTCCCATTTTGCTGCAAATGTTCTTGGATGGTTAATCAAGATTGGTTAAGACTGTTTGACAGTTTCTCGATTGTCTGACACAGATTTGCTTGACTTCTGCCTTTAACACGTCATTGTCTAACATTGTTGGTTTTCCTGATCGATATGAATCGGAAAGATCAAAATTATCGGATTTGAACTTGAAAAAACACCTTTGGCATTTAATAACATCTACTGCATTTGCATTTGGATAAACATCGCATATATTTTTGAAAACAACTGTTGTGTTACTACCCTAGCGAAACCAAAATATCATGCAATGCCAGATTTGTACCTTCTCTGGTATTTGACTGGGCATTTCTCCAAAAATTGCAAAAAAATAATTTAAATTTAATTATTTGCAACTAAAGATGTCACTTTAACGTTAGAATGTCTTTGCCACGACATAGATGTCCACAAAAAGCTGCCAAATGACAATCAAATAGTAACATACACAGAAACGACATTACTTTCTGGTCTCCCTAATATATCCTGTCTCTTAAGACATACAACATAGTCAATTTTTTTAAATTAAACTATTTTTATAATATATTAATGATGCACTGTCCAAAAGTTTAAATGTAAGATTATATAATGTTGAAGGGTATAATAATCGATGATAATTAATGAATCCTCGTTAGTAAAGTTAGGTATATAAGAGAAGAACAATGTATAACTAAAAAAATAAATAGTAGAAGAATTAAGTTCACAAAATACCTTTCATAATGAAAGATCTTCTTAGATAGAAGAAATTTGCTGTATATTTAATTTAATTTATATTTCGCAGATGTGTTTAGAAACAAAGCAGCATTATAAAGCCCTTGGAGATGTGGCGAATGCTAACATGTTCGAACAGCTAGCGGTCCACACCAAAAAGGATCTCGACAGAGTAATCGTACTCCACGAGAGGGATGATCCGGTCCCCAGGTTCCATTATGAAATGAGGAACTTTTCTATTGTCAAGTATAATAATTTTATATAAAGATTATAATTTTACTTTCACTTATCTTCTATATATGAAATATACAGGGTGTCACGTAAGTAGAGGGAAATATTTAAAAGGTTGATAGTAGACATCAAGATCTACAAAAAAGTTCATATAAACAATTGCCCAATTTCCAGTAGAAAAGTTGGAAATTTAAGATTTGTATTTTTTTAAGCGAGTCATATTTTTTTTTTTTGTATAGAAAGTCATAACTTATAAAATGTTTGATTTAAGTAAGTAAACATTGCTCCATAGTAAACTAGACAAAATTTAATTTAAACTGAAGTAGAGTTCCTCATTGTTGAAACTATTTAAGGAGGACTTTTGAGCAGCGAAGTTTTTTTTTTTAAAAAGTCATAAATTATTTGTAATTTTTTTTATTTATTTTTTTTTTACACTCATAAACTATACTACATTTACTCTACTTTTAGAAAAACTTTCTTGTTTAATAAGCTCAAAGTCCATATTAATTACGTTGAGATTTATTAGGAAATATGAGATTCACCTCAGAATGTATAAAGATTTGATGTGATTTTCTATGCAGTCACCTAAAAGTAGACCTGGGCAGAATTTATTTGAACAATATTCCCGGAATAAATCCCTAAATAAACCTCTATAGTTATTTCCGAAATAATTTATTTCATGAAATAACCTGACCATTATTTCCGAAATGATTATTTCGGGAATAAATTATTTCAGGAATAATGATATCTGAAATGATTATTTCAGGAATAATGTGAAATCTGAAATAATCATTCCGATAGACTTTTAGATATAATCAATATCCGGGTCGACTGTTATGTTTTCGGGGGCACTTATTATAAAAATAATGTCAAATTTGAGATTGCGCCCCCCCATCCACACTCCAGCGTCGGCTTTTTGTAACTTTTCGAATTTATCCATATCAGGGTCGACTGTTATGTTTTCGGGGGCGCTTTTTATGAAAATACGGTCGAATTTAATATTGCGCCACCCCCTCCCCACCCCCCATCGACTTTTTGTAACTTTTCAGATATAATCGATATCAGGGTCGACTATTATGTTTACGGGGGCGCTAGTTATAAAAATAATGTCAAATTTGAGATTGCGCCTATCCACCCTCTCCCATCAGCTTTTTGTATCTTTTCAGATTTAATCGATACCAGGATCGACTAGAATGTTTTCGGGGTAGCTAATTAAGAAAATACGGTAGAATTTGAAAAAGATATCCCAAAAACATAAAAGACCACCCTGATATCGATTGATTACATTGGAAAAGTCACTAAAAGTCGATTGGGGGAGAGGGAGGGAGAGACGCAATCTCAAATTCGACCGAATTTTCGTAATAAGCTACCCCGAAAACATAATAGGCGACCCTGATATCAATTAAATCCGAAAGGTTACTAAAAGCAGATTGGGGGGGGCAGGAGGGGGCGCAATCTCAAATTAGACCATATTTTCATAATAAGCTACCCGGAAAACATAATAGTCGACCCTGATATCGATTATATCAGAAAAGTTACAAAAAGTCGATGGGGGTTGGGAGGTGGTGGTGCAATATCTAATTTGACAGTATTTTCATAAAAAGCGCCCCCGAAAACATAAAAGTCGACCCTAATATCGATTATATCTGAAAAGTTACAAAAAGTCGATGTGAGAGGGTGGGGAGGGACACAATCTCAAATTTGACATTATTTTTATAATTAGCGTCCCCGAAAACATAATGGTCGACCCTAAGATCGATTATATCTGGAAAGTTACAAAAAGTCGATGCGGGTTGGGGAGGGGAGGGCGCAATAACAAATTCGACCGTATTTTCATAAAAAGCGCCCCCGAAAACATAATAGTCGACCCTGATATGGATTAAATCCGAAAAGTTACAAAAAGTCGATGCTGCAGAGTGGGGGGGGCGCAATCTCAAATTCGACACTGTTTTCATAAAAAGATACCCCGAAAACATGGTGCGTATTGGTAATTTTTTTATGTTATTTCAGAACAATGTTATTTCTGAAATATTTATTTCTTGATTTTATGCAATAATTTATTTATGAAATAAATAATTCTGAAATAATAGTTATGAAATAATTTATTTCAGAAATAATTCATTTCAAAATAATTTACATTATTCCAAAGAATGTTAAAATAGTGAAATAATTATTTCAGAAATAAATTCAGAGTTATTCCATCGAGATTATTTCGTTGACTGTTTGAAATATTATTTCAGAAATAACTGTTATTCCTGAAATAATTCATTCGTGGAATAACCATGTGAATTATTTCAGAATTAATTATTTCAAGAGTGCCCAGGTCTACCTAAAAGTACCCGTGTTTTTAGCAAAAATGATTACATTTAACTGTTGTAAAGCTTTTATTTTTTTTTTTCATGTTATAGGGTATATTGTAATAAACACAATTGCTTGAAATCACATCTTATTTATAAAATTTAAGAATAATGATTTTTCAAATATTTTTCATGTAAAGGGGTTATGAAATTGTGTATCAAATGAAGTATCAAATAATCTAGTCTCACAAAAAGTTCTGTATATTATGAATATGTGAACAGTGTAGCAAAATAAATTAAAGAAGACACTGAATTATATATTTAAGCTAACTAGTTAGCCCGTGTGAACAATTCGCATAATATATTGGCCAGTGAATTACTGACAATATAATATAGAAATAAGTTAATGCAATGTATTATGTGATAGAGGAGATAATTTTCTCTTTCTCAGTTAAATCACTGTAGTTCATGATAATAAACCAAACCATGAATAATGGTCCATTTTCGATGATTTTTTTTTTTTTTTTTCTTCGGATTTTAGTAAACTTTCAAATAATCATGGATCTGAATCTAGAAAGAAAAATTATACTTTTCAAGTTATTCGCTAATAAAGTTTTTTTTTCATTCATAACTTTTTTTAATTGAAATTTTGGGAAGATGTTACTATGATTCGTCTCGTCTCCATGGAATACCATTTTGTTTGACACCTCATTCATAAAAATCCATCGCTCCTCAGAGTCAGGAAAGAGACCATTACTTAAAAAAACTATTACATTATATATAAAGGTACAATATGCCTGTTTTGTAGCAACTATTTTACTGAAATAAACTTATAAGAAATTCCTCTAATAGTTTTGATCTAATTCATTAAAATTGAATGGTCTTAAATATCAGTTAGGTCTTATCTTCATTGGTATAGTCTGATGGGACTTAAATTGCCAAATTTTCAAAATTATTTTATCTGACCTACTTTAAGCTTTTCATTAGGAACAATGCTTTAATTATCAGTAGCTTTATTTCAGAATGAATAAATATTAACTATGAAAGAATTTGATAATTAATTATAGTCCGTAGTACAGACTTCGGGAATAGCTTCATCTCATCGTAACCTACAACTATTTTATTTATGAAAACTCTTGGAATTGGGACATTTTTAATCTGAAGATCTGCAAACTTTGTCTATTTAATTGGGTACTAAAACCTCGTAAATACTCATTTGACTTCCACTTCGATCCTAAGATAATTTGATCACAAAATCGAGAAAAAAATGTGGCCTGCAAAAAATTGGTCTGTTTGGCCCGTATTACTTCATTATTTTGACATTTTGGGAGTTTAGATCACGGAAAACGACTCAATGTTTGTGAAGGCCACTTTTTTCCTCGATTTTGTGCTCAAATTATCTTACGATTGAAGTAAATAGACAAAGTTTGCCGATCTCTAGATTGAAAACCCCCCAATTCTGAGAATTTTCGTAAATAAAATAATTTTAGGTTACCACTATAAGACGGAGCTATTTAGGCAGTTTCAGGTGATTGTTAATGATTTGATCAAAAGGGGTATGTACTATGGACTATTAAAGGAGAAAACGGGAAAAATATTTTCCTAGGTTACAAACAAATTTCTGGAAATAAGTATACGATTTACTGTTTTGGAGAACTGAAGATTTTATAAAAATGAATATCTATTATAAAGGTGATGAAAAATTGATTGTTTGTTGTATTTGATTATGTCTACTTTTATATCTGTGCTCTGAAGGTGAAGGACGACATGCCCATTTTTTTATTAAATAATTTATTAACTAAGAAACAAATTTTAATAGCTCAAAGTTTTGAAAAATTGTCTCCCCTGAACAAATACAAAAGTGTTCTTTACCTGTGGGGTACAGATATTATTCAATAGGAAATAATGTATTTATATTTATAGGATGTGTGTGTATGTGTATATATGTGTGTGTGTGTTTTTGTATGTAAGTATATATATATATATATATATATATATATATATATATATATATGTGCATGTATGTGTGCATATGTATGTTATTATATAGTTTTCTTATATATATAAATTGTATTTTGTTTTTCTTGTAATTTTTTTAAGGATTATAAGCTAGTTTTTAATTTATATCTTATGTAGGTTTTTTATGAGGTTTTTCCTACTGTATAAAATGGATTTCAATCTACTAAACAACATTCATACCACTATATGTCGTGTATAAGGTTACTGCAACCACAAACATGGAATGTATCTTTTTGACATGATGTAATGTATTTATAAATAAAAAAAAAAAAAAATAGGAAATAAACATTTCCAAAGAAACTAAATTAAGTTTTTGTAGAAAATATTTTTTTTTTCAGCTTGGTATATTGCACAGAATTTATATAGAAGAGAAGGACGGTTGGAATGATCAGTCAAAATGTTGAAATATTTTGACTGATCATTCCAACCATCTTTCTCTTCAATTATTCTCTACAGTCAACCATCAACCTACAATTATAATTTATATTTATTCTCTTAAGTTTGTGTTTATGTTTAAATTAATAAACTTACAGTTTATTAATTTTTGAAAAATTAATTTCTACTAAAATTAGGAAGACAAGTGTAAGTTATGTGATGCGTCTCACTAGATTATTAGTTTTTATTAATATTTTTAATGTATTATTTTTTTTATTTTAGGGCCAATACCGATTTAAACGATAACGATCTACAATTAAGCATTATTCATGGTATAAATTACAACGTTCCCAACCCTAAAGAGATAGACACTTATGTTCGATATGAATTCCCTTTTCCTTCTGTAAGTTCAATATAATAATATTGATATCATTAAAATAAAATTGTTATTTGAAAATAATCAAGTATTCCATTTATTATTTATAATTTTAGGAGGATCCAAAAAGGGATAAGACGTCTACTGTTTATAATACAAATAATCCTGAATATCTCACGACCTTTGTAATACCTATTTTGAGAACTAACAGAGCTTGTCAAAGAGTCTTTAAAAGGCATTCATTGAAGCTTGAAATATGGTCTAAAGGGTAATTATCTGTGATATTTTAGAACTTATCAGTTTTGGTTTTTATCTATGGTAACACAGCAAAATTTGCTTGTTTTGGTTAGCAAGAAAATTATTTTTAAGTTATAATCGAAAAATAGATTTGATGTTAAATTTATGATGTGCAATCGAACTTTTATGTATCAATCATGAAGGTTCCTTAAAACAAAAATTCTTGAGATTTCAATATGTCCAAAAATTTAATTTATTTTTTTAGGGCTATAGAAATATTTAAGTCAATTTATTAGGGCTTCAAATTCAACACCACTTCATTGATGGTTATTGAAATTATCTCTACATTATCTCCAAAATTTAAAAATATTTTAATAATATAATCTAAGTTTATTTTTTATTTCAATAAAATTACCAAAAACTCAGAACGCATACTCGACTCAACTCCTGGGAGAGAAAAGTATTGAGAACAATGTGGTGCGGAATCTCTGAGAATAATATTTGGAGAAGAAATTAAAAAGAGGAGCTGCGGGAACTTTATGGAGAACCTGATATTTTGGCATTGATTAAAAGAGCCAGGATAAGATGGTTAGGTCATATAGAAAGAATGCCCGACCAAAGAATGCCAAAGAGAATGCTATATGAGAAGCCGGATAACACAAGAAGTAGAGAGCGCCCTCGGATGAGACTGTGGAGATTGGTTGGCTGTAGTCGAGGATGTCTGGGTTCTAGCAGGACCTTAACGCCATTATAATAATTAATAATCTCAGTTTAGATAAATTTTCATAACTTCATATTTTTTTACCAAATCTTTCTTTTTCATTCTATTTTAAATCCTCCTAAAGATCCATATAGCCTAAAAGGCAAGCAAGGGATGAAGAAAAAAAAAAAGTTGCTAAATCCTAAACTGATCTTTCTCGATTTACCATTGCTTGGGATATTTTTTTTTTGTTAATCATCTATTTTTAAGAATGTAAATCAAGATTTATTTTTTTATGAGAATTCATTTCAAGAATATCTCTATGTTAACAGAATATTATGTCTAATAATAATTCGGGGTTCCTAAAAATGTTTGATACATAGAGAATTTAGATTTATGGAAATTTGTTATAGGAAGAGGTTCATTTGTTTCAATAATTATGTATATGTATATATATTATGTTTTGTTTTCTTGTTAGTTATTAAACATGGTAGGTTAATAATAATCAAACAACAAAATTTCTGTTGTGTTACTGTAGATATGTTGACTTTGAATTTGAATATTTTAATTTTTAAGAATGAAGAATATTTATTATATATTTAGTCATATTATGTATTTGTTTTTTTTAACTTGTCTATGCAATTAAATTTTGAACCTTCACTAGGTTTTGGAGTTATTCATTTTTTATAAATAAGTCTTGTATTTTGTCATTTTATATTTCTCTTGGTTTGTATAATAATGATTCTAGACAAAAAATGTTGAATTATTTATCTAGAATGTCTTTCATATTCATGAAAGAATTCTAGAAATATTCATTAATATGTTGAATTATTATAATGTTTTACACGAATCTGTGTTAGTTTCCTTTGCTTTGGAGGGAAATTGATCAGTAAATTTATTATTGGCAGTTTGATATCTTAAGAATTTATCTTTCTAATTTTTAATTGGTAGAATCTGCTGACATTAGATCTTAAGAATCAATTTTTATAATTTTTGATTAGCGAAGTCTGTTTTGCTTCATTTTATCTTACAAATTCATTCTTCTAGTTTTTAATTGCCATCACCTGCTTTACTTCATTATATCTTAAAAAATAATTTTTTAAATTTTTAATTGTTGCCAGTAGAAGTATTTCTAATTGTTGCAGATCTTTTTTGAGTGGTCTTTGTGGGATTTGTTGCCCTTCAAACCAGAATGAAGTTTCAAGGTAGGATCACCCTTTGCTATAAATGCCATTCTCTCCCGTATTGTTTGAATAAACACGGCTTCTCTTACGTAAATCACCGTGATTCCGACTCTTGTCTCTTTGTATGTCACTTGTAAAACTTTTGTCTTACTAATTTAGAATAAATTTATTTTTCAAAATTCAAAGATTATAATGCTTCAACTGTATTAAGGTACTATTTCGCTGGTACTGCCCAATGTGGATGGTAGCAACTGCTAGCAGTTTAGTACTGCTTTGAAGGAATAGAACAGCCAGCACATTTTGTTAGTACGGCTAAGCCCACAGTCTTGGTATGACATCATCTGTGTATGGAGACAAGTTGGAGATTGGTAAAAAGATTTATGCCTTATTGATATCACCGAATTCTATCTACAACTTTTGCTTACGCACATTACCCATAAATATCATGTTAGCACATCGATTTTTTAAATAATTTTTCTTACAATTGAGTTTAGACCTGTTAGAACCTTTGCAAACCAAGCTAGCAAGTTTTGAAACTATGTCTGTCTGTAGTCAAAGTTAGGCTGACTGTCCACCGAAAGCACAGCTGAGCTGAGCGTAGTAAGAGGGGGTTGACAACCGATTGCGTAGCGAAACTCACCTCAGGCAGCAACTTACCTTGCATCGGTATCCTTCTCATATTCCATATAACATGTTTAAAAAAAAAAAAAAAAAAAAATATATATATATATATAACATTTAAAAATATATAACAGTGAAAACAAGCAGCAAGAAAGGAACATTGCCACACGGTTGTGAGGCAGTGGTGGGGGAAGCTGAGTGTAGTTTCAAAACCGAAGCTCAGTCAAGCTGTCCCTTTCTATGCCACTCAACTGTGCTCAGCTCCGCTTCTGCTGACTGGCCTTTAAAAACTTTTGATTTAAACTTGGAAGCTGACTCAGCTGCGTTTTCGGTGGCCGGTCACTAATTGCCGTTAATACAATTTGAAAAAATCTTTCTACAATTCTATTGACTTCTTTGGCTTAGAAATGAAATTTTTCATTACTGAACTACATATACTTTAAAGCAGCTTCTCCTGTAGATTTTATTCTCAAATAAAAAATCATAGACCTTGAAATATAAGTAATTATATGAGAAGGAGTTAGTTGAGGGTGCGGTCAAATAATTTAAAAAAATTAAAATATATAAATAATTTTAATTTTTGCCGACGTTTCGACCCACTTTGCAGGTCGTCTTCAGGGCTACAAAAGATACAAACATGTTGAAAAAATAAAAATAAAATAAAAAATTAATATAAGTATATATAAATCACGAAGAAGTTGTCAGATACAGAAATAAAAGATAAATAAAATAAAATAAATACATGATAAGAAAATAGATAAAAGAAAATAAATACATGAATGTTAACGAATAAATAGATTGAAAATTGAATAACTATTGTTACAGTAAAGTTAAAATATGGATAAGATAACATAATAATAAGATATCAGTGGATAACAAGCAAGTGGAGGTTACCTTTAATTGTAAATAAACAGATAAGGGACCAAAGGTTAAGAGGGTCCCCTTATCTGTTTATTTACAATTAAAGGTAACCTCCACTTGCTTGTTATCCACTGATATCTTATTATTATGTTATCTTATCCATATTTTAACTTTACTGTAACAATAGTTATTCAATTTTCAATCTATTTATTCGTTAACATTCATGTATTTATTTTCTTTTATCTATTTTCTTATCATGTATTTATTTTATTTATCTTTTATTTCTGTATCTGACAACTTCTTCGTGATTTATATATACTTATATTTATTTTTTATTTTATTTTTATTTTTTCAACATGTTTATATCTTTTGTAGCCCTGAAGACGACCTGCAAAGTGGGTCGAAACGTCGGCAAAAATTAAAATTATTTATATATTTTAATTTTTTTTAAATTATTTGACGGCACCCTCAACTAACTCCTTCTCATATCATATCAACGGTCAACCATCTCTACATCATAAGTAATTATAATTTGTGAAGAAGTTATACTGATCGTACTTCGCAGACGTTTTTAATTAAAGTTTTTACTAATCATTTTATGATAAAACATCATCTGTTATGATTTTATTATAAACTAAATGCAATAGTAATACATTTAAAATCAGTGATACACCTTCAATTCTCGAAATAATATTTTGTCATATTCTTTCTACTGTGAGGCTAATATTCTTTATTCAAAATATTTCATGAAACCATCTCTTTGTAGAAAGTAGGCAGTAATATGTACAGGATGGTGACTGATCTGGAAAATTGGGAAAACTCAAGGAATTTTCAAAACACGGAAAAATCAGGGAAAAATTGTTAAAGTGAGGGAATTTTTTTAGTACATAATTTTTTTTTTTCAAATTTGAAATTAATGTATGGTAGATATTGTTGATAATGAACTTTAAAAGGTAAATTTTGTCGTTACAAACTACCACGGTTGCTATATTCATCCACTTTTGAGTGTCAATAACGCCACTGGTTGTTATCTTGAAATCAAACAAGGGTAATGAATAAAATTTAAGAAAAATGGAATTAAAAAAGTGCTTTTTTAATAGAAAACATACCAATATTGTTTACCATTTGCAATATATACATCTGGGTCAAGATCTGGCGGGTAAGCACCCATGGTGCTCCATAAAAGATAGTTTATTAACCAGAAATGTCACAGTTGGTGACATAATTATTATGGTGTTTATAGTAATAAAGAAACTACATTAATATTAGAATCCCACTTAGCTTACTTAATTTTACAATAGAGAAAATCAGAGTTTTATACATCAAATATCAACTTTTTTTATGAAAATAAAATAAAAGCGATAAAAATAAATTATTAAAAGTTGTTTTCTAAAATAAAAAATTCTAATCAAGCTTAAAAAATACTTCCTCTAAAATATTATGTTTGTTATCTAAAAGACTGATTTTTTTTTAAACTCATGTCATTTTGTAGAATATTTTTTCATATATAATAAATAAATTTAGTTGTAAATTATACATTTTTAATATTTTTGTCTCCAAACATACTGGTCAGGAAAAGTTATCATTAAATAGAGAAAAGTCTGGAGATTTTACTTAAACTATCTGGTAGCCATCCTGTATGTAGTTGATACGTAGATATTGGTGAAAATTTTATAGTTCAGACATAATCTAGCCTTATTATTCAACTTAAAGTACAATGTATTATTAAAATATGATCAAAACTACACTACCGTATGTATTTCTGTCACTGCGATACAAATGAAAACAATTAAATTTAAACTTGAAGTTTTCATTTATAAATATTTTAAACTAGGATGTTTAATGCGAGAGGAGCTGGTTGCTACGGTGAGCAGTTTCAGCAAAATACACAAGCAGAAACGGATGGTGAACGCTGTCGAGTTGTGCTGCAATTGGCAATACCAACAAAATAGTACCTTTTATTTGTTGTTTTGGTGGTAGATTCCTTCATACAGTGATTAATATGGATCTCTGAACATTAACTTTGATGTGATACCTCTTATATTGCAAGTTTATATAGGTGATGGAATGTAATCGATAGAATAAGAAATTTTTTTTTTTAAATGCTTTTAAATTTCCCTTTTGAATATAGACTTCTAATCTCTTATTTTCTATTCAAACTAAAATGTGAAAGTAAATACTTATTATTTATTCAAATGTTCATTAATCTACCAAAGGTGAGAAATTCTCTCACATTGCATTTCTATTGCTTTATTTTCAATTGTTTTTGTCTCTAATTTTATTTTTAGTTATGGGTGACATGATTACACCATTTCATGATTCATTCTTGAAGTAATAAATGAAAAAAAAAAAAAGTATGATTTATATTTTGCAGGGAGGAGTGTGGCTTGAGTTTGGCCAGGGTAGGTAATCATTTATTGTTTTACATCAGCCATGGATGAATCCTAGGATTGGGAGACCCTTCAGGGGCACAAGTACCTTCTGTGAAGTGTAATTAAATAATAATTAAAGAAGAAAAACCTGGCAGGTTGAACGTGACCTCGGTCAAATCTCCTCCTTGCACAACCGTTGACCAAGAAAGAGTATTTCCTTATATAGTAATGAACCCAACACCCTTCATGATTGTAGTGGTTTTGTTTTCTTTTTTTTATATATTTCACATTTTTAAAAAAAAATATTTTATTAATTTTTCCTATTTATGATCTTTCCAATATGACAATTTTGTGCTTTTCTTAGCTAAACGAATGAAAAAATAGTGACAGTGGTTTTGGTTAGAAATAAATAAAACAAGACTTGTTTGGGAGTGGGGTGGCCGAACAGATTAACGTGTGTGGAAACCATGCAATCTGAAAAACTGCGGATTATGAATTTGAATCCTTGGAGCCAGGTTTCTAACCCTGGCATTAATCCCTCATCCTCTCACTTGCTCTGGGAATAACCCCATAAAGCTGAGAAGGCTTCATATGGGAGAAAAAGTTAAAAAAATTAAACTTGGTTATGTGAAAATTGCTTAAGTGTTGGCAGAACAGTTTTCTTGTAAAATAATTGGTATAAAATCAGTAAAACAATGGTATGGTATACAAACGGCCTTGATTTAAAAAAAAATAATTTACTTTCCAAAATTATAAGTTATTTTTATATAGACTAAATGTTTCCCCCAAAATTCAAGTCCGTAGTTCCAAATAGGTTTCAGAATTGTCTTGTAGATCAGTAATTTGTTGCCATTTGAAAGTTGAGATTTTTTGATCAGTAGTCTGTATAATTGGCCGTGTCGTCGGTTAAGTTCTTGTCTTTTAAGTCTAGTATGTGGGTTCCACGTTAGTCTTCGGTCTAAGATAAAGCCAAGATACCGGATTGTGTCTGAAAAAGGAAACTGGATGGAATTAAAGTGGACTGATGGACAGGATCTGCGGCAGAGTGTGAAGGTAATGTGTTTGCATTTGGATTCGTTTACTTTGATGCGCCATTTATTACACCAGTGCTCAATCATGGAGAGGTGCCTTTGCAGATTTAAAGATGCTATTTCAGGATTTGAGTTGGATGATAGGATGGCGGTGCCATCAGCAAATGTTGCCAGGAAGGTATTGGGATGGACAGGGATATCGGCGGTAAAAAGGATATAAAGGACGGGGCCCAAGACGCTACCTTGAGGAACACCGGCTTCAACTGGGTAGGAGTTGGAAAATTCAGAACTACAGTTAACCCGAAAGGTACGATGAGAGAAGTAGGAGCGGAAGATTAGGTACAAGGACTGGGGTAGATAGATTTTCTGCTTGGAAAGAAACCCTGCGTGCCATACCCGTTCGGAAGCTTGAGCTATGTCCAGAAAAGCACCCGAGCAATATTGCCTGCATTCCAGGTCTGTAGGACGTAGAGGTGTTGGGAGATTTGCCTGGTTTCGGAAACAGGATAATAGTGGAATGTTTCCACAAAAGAGGAAAGTGGGTGGTTCTAAGGATGGTATTATATGAAGTAAATAAAAATTTTTTTTTATCAATCTGAAAAATAAAAATAAAGATAATGATTAACAGTTTCTTTACCAGACCAAAGTAACATCTTTGCGTTTATCTCAAGTGGTCAGTCCATCATTACGGTTTTAGTGGATTGAAAACAAGTAACGGCTATATATGCAACATGGTAGTAGAAATCCTTTTTGGCTCTCAGGAGTGATGGATTGGCAAACAATATGTCAACAGGTAAGGGATTACATAGATAAGTGACAAATCCCAGTTTCGATTTTGAAATTTGTACTACAACTTCAATAATGGTTTATAGATTATAATTTTTAAGTTCCGGGACAAGAGGCAAGTTAAGTAGTTTTGTCACAGAAAAATAACAAGCATTTTTCGTCTTCAGCCTAACCTTAATCTCCTCTTCAATTTAATTTTTTTCTAGTTATCGTAGAGCCTACATACTTAAACCTCTCTACCTGTTCAAGCATATTACCTTCTATATCAATATCTCCATTTTTGCAGCTAACCATATATTTTATCTTATCCGTGTTTATTTCGAGCCTTAGGCGCAGGGACCCTTCAGGCTTGCTGGAGGGTGATACGTAGGATTGAACGCCCTACCATACACCATACACCACAAATAGTCATGGATCTCTCTAGTTTTTTTTTTTTAGGGTTATTAAATTTCAAAAATATCTGACATGAAAAACTAATGTATAATTTGAAAATAGATTAAAAGTTTTTGATCATGTTAAATTTTCTCTCAGTAATAGTTATAAAAATGGTACTTAAAATATGAATCACCAGCTATCGGTAAAAAAAGCCTTGGAGTCATTTTTCTATTCCATTTTTCCATTGGATGGGGTGGCCCAAAATGGCTGTCTTAATAATAACTATTTTTGTATCATTTTTTTTTGTTGAATTACCATAGTATGATGTTATCGAGTGAGTTTACTTTAAGATTAAATTAGGATGTTAATGAGTTCATTTTTTTCCAGTGGGTTTTTGAGAAGTGATTCATTAGTCGGTACTGTGAACGTTAAGCTCCAGCCTTTAGAAACCAAATGTACCATCCACGATTCTTTTGATGTAAGTAACATTTTATTTTTATTAAATCACAATAATACCTATTCATCCCTCTTTTTTCTTTCTGCCAGTGTTCCTCAAGGTAGCATCCTAGGTCCTATCATTGACACAGTTTATACAGCTGATATCCCAATCCATCCTAACACTGTCATCACCATCTATGCTGATGACACATGTATCCTATCTGTTAATAACGATGCATCAATTGCATCCCAAACTCTTCAATCACACATCACAAACCTTGAAGAATGGTGTCAAATCTGGAGAATTAAAATAAATCCCATCAAATTACCTTTACCCTGTGTCCCAAACGTACGACATCCTGTCCTACAGTATCCTTTAACAATTCCTCACTTATCCCAGTTGAACAAATCCGTTATCTAGGACTCCACTTGGACAAATGACTCACATGGAATCCTTATACAAGATTGAAACAACAAGAAACCACTTGACGTTTCCGACTACTGCAGCACTTACTAGACAAATGCTCTAAGCTTTCAATCAATTACAAACGACTCATATATTTTTTTATAATACAGTTGTGAAAGTCAATGATTAAAAAAAGTATTAAAAAAATTATACTATAGTTTAATCTGTGATTATTACTGGGTTGTATAATTAGTAATTTCTTATATAATAGCATGAAATAGTTGTAGATTTTTCCTGACCAATATCTACCTTTTGATGGATAATAATAACTAAAGTTATCAATAAAAGCAAACTAATTCTAATTACAGATGCAACGCATAGCTTGTATTAGAGTATGAATTCCTGTTTTTATTAATGTACACCCATATTGAAATAGTGGCAACATAGATAATCCTCAAAAACACCTCCTCCCTCCTCTACTTCTATTTCTGTTTTCAAATAATCAAAAGTTTTAATTACTTATGCTTTGTTCGAAGATTTTTTTTTGGTGTGCAGAAATTTACCTTCTAGTGATCTATTGTATAGCATTCAGTCTATATGTCTAAAAAGTTGTCTGGAGCATAACGGAGAAATCTAAATAATGCTAGTGAACTAGCCGTGAATTTTTATTATCAAAATTTCCTAAACTAACCACTTTTTTCAATAATTCAACTCCTTCAATCACACATCACAAACCTTGAAGAATGGTGTCAAAACTGGTCTAAAATAAATTCCAATAAATCCCAACAAATCATCTTTACCATTCGTCGTAAACCTTTGACTTCCTGTCTTACAGTATATAGTATCCTTTAATAACACCCCACGCTAACGACATTTGGATGATCATACTATTGAAAAATCTTTTTGAATATTTAATAGTTGACCATTGCATTATTAAGGAAGGAGATGGTCCGAAATGTTGGCTTTTAATAAAATAGTTTTGCCGCTATTTAGTCTATTTATGACCGCCACCTCAGACCACCTCCTTCCTTGAAAAATCTTTTTATTATTCTTAGTCAGACCTTGGGCATTTGCCATTTCATAATGATCATGAGGGGACAGGATATCCCAGTGAGTAAAGCATTGTAACTGTGCTCGTATTCCTACCGTTCCTGTGGCACACCCAGCCTCTATAAATTGGCTGTATAAAAGTGAAAAACCTGAAGGTTGAGTGTAATCTCAGTCAAATTACTTCATTTTACAACCGTTGACCAAAAAACAATACTTCCTTACAAAATATTCAACCCAAGAGCCTTCCCACGAAGTTGTACAGGTTTTTTTACTATTTTAATTTAATTTTTTTTTTTTTATGATAAATATGAAATATATAAAAAATAATATATTTTGAACTGTTTTAGCTAATGGATGGAAGAAAACAAGTCGGCGGGAAATTGGAAGTAAAACTTCGGCTCAGGCATCCGATTCAAGCTAAAGAAGTTCAACAAGTCCAAGAGAAATGGCTTATTATCGATTAGATTTAACAATTTTAATTCCCTGAATTTTTTGTACGTTTAATTAATTATCTTATTATAATTATTTATGTAAGCAGTTTTAACAAAAATTTAATACAGGATTCATATTATTTCCATTTTGTTATGTTACAACAAATCAATCAATAATTATTTTAAAGGGAGTGTTTTTGTGATACGTTATTTTAATTATTATAATGTAAACTATGAATTTACAATATGGTAGTGGTTTCGCTTATTAAATAATTGAATATATATATTTTTTTATTATTTTGAGTTATCTTGATTTGTTGACATATTAAAAAATTCTGACATTTATAAAATTATAACAATAGTTGTAGTTTAGCAATGGCCCTATTTCCTTCTAAGAATTTCTAAGTAGTCAGTATAACATAATTTTTTATTTTGAATCAAATTTATTAGATCTGTCAGGTGCAATCTCTGCCCAATAGATCTTTAACAATATGGAAATAGACCAATTAATAAACTAGAACAAATTTTCCATATTGAAAAAACATTGTTTCTGTAATAGAAAATACACTTTCTATATTTGTTTTTTTCGATATCAAAAACATAGTAATTGATTAAGTATTAACTTGACTAAATTTAGAATTTTATAGATTATAAAATTTAGCCATTGAGACCATTTACGTTTGCTAGTTTTCCATCTATTGTTATTTGAAAATAGAAATACTTATTGAATCATGTGTATATATATATATATATATATATATATATATATATATATATATATATATATATATCAATACTGTAATAATGTGCTTATATACTAATTTCTAAATGTAGAAAGATACTTATCTACATTGAATTATTTATAATTATTGATCAGAGACATTTTTTTTATTTTATACAATTTATTTACTTTTAATAATATTGTAAATTTTCTGCATTTGAAATGAAGTTATTACTTCCATCTTTAGTTTTCTTCTTTCTCTGACGCTGTGATAACTTAGTTTACTCAAATCAATTTTACGTGAAAGCATGTTAAAATTAATTGAACCATTCTGATGCTGTGCCTTACTGTGATTCTATATTTGAATGAATAAATTAAATTGTTTAGTTTTATTTGTTGCTATCCGATTGTAATTTTATATAATCATGTGTTTATTTATTTTTCATCCATTCCAGAGGTCTCACAAATATATTTTTGCTGAGAGAATGACTATTATTTATATCATTATCCAAATATCCTTTAAAATTATCTTTCCGTTCTGGGTATTCATTATGTTGTAATATATGTAAAAGTCTTTTACAACAATTCTTTTCTATTTTTAACCATTTTTACTATCTTGATGTGATCTAGAGTTGGCCAAAAATTATATAATGATTGACCATTGAATGTTGAGTAAAAATAATGACTAACTTATGCTTTGGTTCATTATTTTCAATAATGAACCATTGTAATTGAACAAAAATTTAACCCCCTCAAAATTTTACGTTTCAGGATACGTAGAATTCGAAGAACAAATATAAATTTTTTTGTCCATCCCCCGTCTGCACATTTTCTCCGAAACTACTGGACTGATTTGTTTCAAATTTGGATTTAAAGTCTTCCTCAAGGTAGTATCCTAGGTCCTATCCTTTACACAGTTTATACAGCTGACATCCCAACCCATCCCAACACTGTCATCACCACATATGCTGATGATACATCTTTCCTATCTGTTAATAATGATCCATCAACTGCATCCCAAACTCTCCAATCACAAATCTTGAAGAATGGTGTAAAAACTGGAGAATTAAAATAAATTCCAATAAATTCCATCAAATTACCTTTACCTGCGTCACAAACCCATGACCTCCTGTCCTACAGTATCCTTTAATAATTTGCCACTTATCCCAGTTGAACAAATTCGTTACCTAGGACTCGACAAACGACACATGGAATTCTCATAGAAGACTGAAATGACAAGAAACTGCTCGACGTTTCCGACTACTCCAACACTTACTAGACAAACGCTCTAATCTTTCAATCAATTACAAACGACTCATATATATGACAATAATAAGACCTATTTGGACTTACGGAATTGAGCTTTGGGCTCCACTAAACCATCGAATTCCTCTCGGATCCAATCCTTACAATCCAAAATCCTTTGTAAATTCCTCAATGCTCCTTACTTTGTCACAAATAAAATCATCCATAAAGACCTTAATGTTCCATATGTTTCCGATTTGGCCCAATCCAGATACCTATCCTTCCATAATAAACTTCATAACCATCCGAATCCTCTTGTTTCTAACCTTGCTTCCTCCTCAATCCCTGATAATTCTCCAAGGCGTCTGAAAAGAAGATGGCCTCGTGATCTACTCATGTAAATATATTATTAGAGTTCTACCAATGGGTAGTTTCTCTACAAGCATTTTCATGTGATTGTATTATTACTGTGTGCACATCTACTGGTTCTATTTTTGTTATACAACTTACTAATAATAATACAGTTGTAAATATCAATGAAAAAAAATAAAAGAAAAAGGATTTAAAGACAGAGGTCACCCGGTGATAATCCTACACCATCGACACTACTATTTGCCTTTTCCTTTCAAGATGGCGGCTGGAAAACCTGTGTTAATATTGACTGTAGCGCTTAAACGAATGTACCAATTTCAATGAAAATTGGCTTAAAGTCTTGTCAATCCCCTTTACATTTATTTATATAACACTTCAACAAAAAGAAGATAGAAGTTACGAAGAGTGGTAAAATTAGATTCTGAATAAATCAAAAAGTATAAACTTTTTTGTTTTTATTATATAGTCTATTAAATTTAATGAAATTTCCAAAAAAAAAAGTCATTGAAATAGGGCAATTAGGAGCAAAGATATGGTCTGTAGATGTTTTTTATATATTCTACTGCAAAGGTTATATCCTTTGTTTTGAATTTTGTTTTTGAATGTGTTACTGAAGTAAGCTATTGTTTTAAGCAAATTACTAATGATAAAAAAAATGTTTTGGCCAATAATTGGAATCACCTTTTATTTCTTTTCCTTGTTACTAGGAAGATAATGTTACTTAGATGTATAATTGTTTGTAGATAATAAACAATTGTGAAATAATTTGCATCATTTTTTTGGTCATTTAAAACATTACTAATCGTAAAAAATTTAGTAGTTATTCATGATGAATATTTTAGTTTTATTTGTTGTGAAGGACTAAAATTTATATGAATACATAATGAAATAAGTAAAAACAAGTTGGTCCATGCAAATAATTTGCACAGTATATTGGTTAGTGATCAAATGACAAATTAATAAGAAAATGGAATAAAACAACATATCATAAGATGGAAGAATCAATTCTTATTTTCTTTGTAATTGTAATCGACCAAGGAAAAGAAAATTAACCGAAAACTTCACTCATGTTTGAAGCCAACATCTTTACAATGCAAAATCAGCTGATGCTTGCATCAAAAACTTCAGTCTCAATTCATTCCTTCTCGATTCACCGACTTACCACCATTCCAGTATTGAAGCCTAGCCAAATGTTTATATGCGCTTTATTTATTTTAGAAAAAAAAACAAAAGCTGAAAGTACGATTTGCTAATCTCCCATGAAATTCTGAATCCAACGTTACTCCATTCGTGGCATTTGAACATGATAGGAGCTTATATTCTGTGCGAAACCGATTTTGAGCCTTATTGTAATAATATATGTGGGGATATAATATATTAAACTAGAGATTGTCGGGTGCTAAACATATTGAAAATTGAAAAAATATGAAATCCGATGGAAGTGTTCGTTTATAATCAATGACTAAAACTGTTCATTTTTTAGGCAGGTAAATTTTTAATTGCCTAATGACTAACTATGGTTTGATTAGGTACTGACTGGTCTGATCTATTAATAAAAAAAATCGATTTGCTAAACTTCTTTTATTAAACAATTATAGTATTGATCTGCTTAAAAAACAACTCTATACACCGAATTTAACTTAATTTGATTCTAAAGAAGAAGCTGGAAATATGTATATATATGTATTATTTTTTTTCGGTTGGCTCTACAGACCTTGTAGATCTTTGGCCCCCTGAACCAGCTTTCTCCACCTCTGCCTATCTTGCGCTACTGCTTTCCAGTCTGGTGCATGAAGCTCAGCTGTATCTTTGTTTATCCTATCTATCCATCTGGTTTTTGGCCTCCCACGTGGTCTCTTGCCTTTATATATATATATATATATATATATATATATATATATATATTAGTCTTTCAGTTGACAGAATGACTAACTACAATTTGAAAAATTTTGAGTAAAGTCATTTCAAAGATATTTCTAGTAGGAAAATTTATAATATGTGCACAGACAGTGAGTAAGTTGAATAGGTGGTTGTAGTGTTGTAGATAGGACTGTGAATAAAGATATATATTTTTTCACAAGAAATATCACTAAAATTAATAAGCCTAAATGTTTAAATTGGGGTTAATCATTCTGTCAACTGAAAGGCTCATATATAGTATAATATATACAGGGAGGTCCATTCCGTCTCAAGGTTAATAGCAAAAGAATCTATTCTTCCCCACTATCAAAATATTTTATTGCTTACCTTTTCTTAAAAACAGCAAGCGAAGATAGAATTAGAAAAATCATAGATAATATTCAACCTGCGGTCTGGTCCATGTTTTGCCCTTATCCCTTAGTGTGGAACTTTTCATTCCGAAAATTCACAACTACAATGTGCTCCCTTAAAAATAAAAAAACACCAAAATATGCCCCCTCTTCCCTCAAATATATATATATATATATATATTTAAACTTTTTAATTGGGAATAAGGTCACTTATTAATTATTTAATAAACTATTGAATGTTCATTTCTTCTATGTTTATTGACGTTTCGATCCCGGTATTTTCTTTTTATAAGTCAACGATGGGATCCTCTTCAAAGCTAGAATTTTAAAAAATAGAGCTTCGATCAGGCCAGGGACACACCGACAGTCTCAGCACCATCCACTAGCACATATATTAGATATATATGTATATATACCTAGCAACTCTAAGAATTTCAATATCGTGTTCTAGGGGTTCTAAATTGGATAGAAAACACACCCCCTCTTCTACTGAAGATCTTTGATACTGCACAAATACCTATTACTTTTAAAAAAATTGGACCAAATAAAAAAGATGTGTTTTAGTTGGATGGAAAATCAATACAATAGTAAACAGTTTAGCAGACCTTCAAATACGCCATTTAGATAGAACGAGGGAGATAGTATAGATCTGGATTGAGTATTATTACAGTGAACATGGCGGCGAAGGAAACTCCCTTCAAGAGCTTCGGAATCGCTTGGGAAGAACCTTCTAGATCCAACAATATTTATTATTATCTCAATCCTATCTTCATCAATTCTCGTGTCTTGGGTTGTTTTCCCTTCGATTCCAAAATGGCAACTTCATATGTGAGAATAATTGTAACCGCTCTCTTAATGTGCATTATGGCATCCACTGGAGCGATCTACGCCTATAGCTCGTTCGGCATACCTTACTCTACCACGGCCAACGCGATAGTCTACATGAGCATCGTAGTACTTGCCATATTCTCGACGCTGTTGGTCGTCTTCTTCACTATTTTGCAACAGAAGACTTTGATAACAGCTCTCGATAGGATTCGTGCCATCGACGCGAAACTCTTGACGATAGGAGTGATTGTACAAGTACGATAGGAAGGAAATCTTCTCGGAAATATTTCTTAGATGGTTCTTCAAAACGTGTATGGTCGTATTCGATTGGATCGTTTACGAACAGAGTATCAGTGAAATTAGTGGACCATGTTTGATAACTTCCTTGTATTACTCGTATTTCGTCATCTACAATTTTCAACACCTGTACACGGCAATAATGAAAGTAGTTTCTAGACATTTTTCCTTGTTGAATAAATACGCTGTGGTACACGCTTGTAGCAAAGAGATTGTAAATCGTTTCATGGAGATACACTACGAACTGTGCGAGATTTGCCAAATCGTGAACGAATGGTTTTCACTCCAACTATTGTTCGTATGTTCTTTGGTATTTTTGGCTACTACGCTAAATCTGAACGCGATGTTCATGGCACTAATATCCTTCCTGGACCCTTTGCCTCCTCAGATAACTATATTCATTTCGAGTACGTTCTGGGTCGCAGCCAGGCTGTACGAGATGTGGGAGATATTCGACGCCTGCTCAAAAACTGAACAAAATGTATAGTATATTTTAATTATTTCATTTTTTAGTTTTTTTTTAAACAATTTAATACATATTTGATATATTTATTGTGGTAAATGCGAATGCTCCTTGTAAAGTAGTTTATAGGCAACCTTAGTGCAACACACTAGCGGATCCAGGATTTAATTTTGGGGGGGGGCTTCACCCCGAAAGATTTTTTTTCATATACATATAACGATAATTAATTTGAAAAAAAAAAAAGAAATTAACTACCTATATGAAATGGTGTTTAAGTGGTTCTTGAAGTCCTATTAAATGTAATTAAACAAACAAGAATACTTTAAGACGTAGTTTTTAATATTTTTTTCTGTAAAACATGATTATATTTTACCATTTTGGGGGGGGGGGGCTTCAGCCCGAAAGCCCCGCCCCCCGTAGATCCGCCTGTGGTGCAACACACCATAAAAAGAAAACATATCCATTATCTTTTTTTTTATTATATACAATAATATTAATTATATAAAAGCAAGTAATAGAGTAATCTTTCATGCTTTCACAATTAATGATATAAGTAATAGTGGTATTAGTGGTGGACTTAATCCATCAATTGCATTCTTCAATCACATGTCACAAGTCTTGAAGAATGGTTTCAAAACTGGAGGATTAAAATAAATTCCATCAAATTACCATTACCCTTCGTCGTAAGCCTATGACTTCCTGTCCTACAGTATCCTTTAGCAATACCCTGTTTTTTCCCTGTTGAACAAATTCGTTACCTAGGACAAACGACTCACTTGGAATCCTCATACCAGACTGAAACGATTAGAAACTGCTCGACGTTTCCGACTACTAAAGCACTTACTAGACAAACGCTCTAAACTTCCAATTATTTACAAAAGAGACATATATATTACTATAAAAGACCTATATGGACTCACGGTGTCATGCTTTGGGGCTCTACTAAACCATCCAATTTCTCTCGTATTCTTACAATCCAAAATCCTTCGTAAAATCCTCAATGCTCCCTACTTTGTCACAAATAAAATCATCCACAACGATCTTAATGTACCGTATGTTTCCTATTTAGCTTATCTAGATACCTATACTTCCATAATAAACTTCTGAACCATCCGAACCCTGTGTTTCCAACCTTGCTTCCTCTTCTATTCCTGATAACCCTCCGGGGTGTCTAAAAAGAAGATGACCTCGGGGCCTTCTAATATAGAACTATAATTGGGGTGCTACCAATAATGGATGGATTTACTAATGGATTTACTTGTTGTATTTGTCATGTAATACAGTTGTAAATTTCAATAAATACAATAAAAAAAAAAAAACAGTGGTGGACATTTGTAATAAGAGTTCATTCGCGCAGAAAATGTAAATAAATTATATAAAATAATAAATGGGAAAGAAATCAAACTATAAAATAAATACATTAAACAAAGGCATACTTATATATCCAGTTTACAATTGGCCTGGAGATGGAAAAGCAGATATTCATGAGATCCCAACGTTTCTTAGCCTCACCTAGGATATCAAAGACCAGTTTAGGCTGAGTGTGGGAGAATTCTCATTCAGAGTTCAAATAAATAATGAGAAAAAATAATGATGTATTCATTTTTTTTTAGGCAAAAAAATATATTCCATAATTTTTATTTAGCCTTATCATCAGATAAAAAATCTTTTGTGAATGTTAAGACATATGGTGCATTCTTACAGGAAGAAAAAATATAAATTAATTTTTACTTACGACCTTTTGCACTAACAGTATCGATATGTAATAAGTTTTGAATGCATGTATTCATTTTTATTTGACATTTTTGTCACAAAAGAAGATTCATAATATCTAATTATTTAAAATAATCACATCAACATTTTTTACATGTTTATCGTGAACATGCCTATACATATTTTTATTTATTGTTTGAAAGTAGCAAAAATAATATCTTCCAATATAAATATATATATTTATAAGTTAACGTTTCGGTGCTGTATTTCCGTTATCAAAACTTGCTGAATATTACAGCTTAATAACACTTCTTTCTGCTTATTTAAAAAAAATAATAATAATAAAATTAAATTTGCTGACATTTATTTGTTTTTAACTCAACAAATAAAGGTCTGCAGATCTAATGTCATTAATTTTAGTATTGCTTCCTCAATACCGAAGGTAGGGAAGCATTGTGTTCGTGCGAGAGGTTAAAAAAAGATTTGTGCTCAGAATCGAAAATTTTCACTCGCGTTTTACGTTTCAGACATCAAGGATCAAATTTGGTTCGGTGTCTGTCTGTCTGTAGTCAAATCGATGTGACGGGCATATCCCCTAGCACCTTTCATCCTATTTTCATGAAATTTTCCGGGATTATGCGGGTTGGTGTCTAGATGGTCCCATATCAATTTTATCAAATTCTATTCAGTACATCCGCTTACGCACGCGCAAACGTACTTTTTTAGATATGCCAATATTTGAGAAAGGGCTCGTTCAATTTGGCTCAAAGTTGGATAAAATATAATGGTGAAAAAATAAGGTAATGTCAATTTTATTGAATTCTGTCCACTAATATGAGGAACTTTGTTTTCCTTGATACGTCTATATCTCTAAAACCGCATGGTCGATTTGACTCAAATTTGGAGGGAAGTAAGCGATTGGTAAACAGATAATCAAGTAGGTATGAATTTTATCAAATTCTATTCACTACTCCAAAAAAAAAACTTTTTCTTTCGGATCAGTAAACGTATTAGTTGAAAAGCCTATAGTTTGAAACTTTGCTTGTTCAATTTGACCCAAACTTGGAGGAATTTTGGAGAATATTGTAGAAATTATCTAGTATGAATTTCATTGAATTATATTTAATAATTAAAATTAATATAAATAATTGTTAACAATATAATGGCAGTGAAATGAAAGGTACTGATCATATGGAGTAGAAGTTAGGTTAAGACGATATTTTTATGGGGTTATAAAATATTAGGTTTTATTCAAAGTGTTAATTTATACTGTAGTTTTGCCATTCAGAAATGTTACTTAGATTTCGTGTAATTTTCAATACATTTAAATTAATTTTTACTCTGACTTTGTAAAAAAGAATAATCTTATTTGTGAATGTGTTTATTGAAGTTCAACTAGCTCGTCGTGGTGTCGAGTTTCTGTGTGATTTTTATATATATTTTCAAATTTTATATTAAATAGTTTTGTTCTGACTGAAGAAAAGTATTGGTCTCGTTAACTCTAAACAAAAAGTTTAGTTTTTCTTATGGATGTTTCGTACCATCCATTTTGGTTTATTATTTTCAATAATCAACCATTGTGATCGACCGAAAAATTCAAAAACTTAACCCCCTCTCAAAATTTGTGGTTTCACGTTTCAAGAAGCGTAGAATTCGAAAAACGAATAAATTTTTTTTTTGTCCGTCCGCCGTCCGCGCATTTTCTCCTAAACTACTTGACCGATCTTTTTCAAATTTTGATATAAAATCAGAGGTTACCCGAGGATGATCCTCCTTCATCGACATTACTCTCCGCCTTTAACTTTCAAAATGGCGGCCGAAAAACCTGCGTTGCTATAGACTGTAGCTCATAAACGAATGTACAGATTTCAATGAAACTTCACTAAAGTCATTTTCTCGACGCCCTTTAAATTTATCTATATAACATACCTCAACGAAAAGAAGCTGGAAAAAAAGTTACGAGGGATGGTAAAATTAAATTCCGAATACCTCAAAAAGTCTCTACTTTTTTGTAGATATTTGATATTGCATATATTTTTTTAAAAGTTTACGAAATTTCCTTAAAAAAAAATCGTTAAAATCGGACATTTAGGAGCAAAGATATGGTCTCCGGTTTTTTTTTATATGTTCTACTCCATATGTTATATCCTTGGTTTGGTTTTTAAATTTTGGATGTGTTACTGAACTAATGATATTTTTTTTTTAGCATATTATTAATGATTAAAGAAAAACAGTTTAGTCCAATAATTGGAATCACCTTTTGTTTTTTTTTCTTTGTAACTCGGAAGGTAATGTTACTTTAGATGTATAATTGTTTGGAAATAATAAACCATTGTGAAATAATTTGCAGTGTCTTTGGAGTGAAAACATGCCGATTAAGTACATATTACTGTTAGTGAAAAAGGTCGTATGTAAACATTTTCTTCTTTTAAAATTATTTGTGCTAAAGGTGACATTTTGTATTCTGCAACTGATATAAGCATTCGGCTACGATGAAAAATAGCAGAGGGTAATAAATTATGAAATTATACTAATAAATCATAAAGAAACAATTACTTTTTGTGATTTCCTGTAAAACAATCAAAGTTTACGTACGACCTTTTGCACTAACAGTAATGATATTCATGTTCAGTAGACACTGGATTTTTTTTTAATCCCGAGTCATCGAATATGCAATCTACTTATGCGGATCTTTTTTACATTGTAGTATTCGCAGACGAACAAAACTCGTGGATATCAAGCCCGTATATGTCCAGGGATTACTGAATTTCCGAAAACATCTTCTTCCAGAGATTTTATTCACACGCGAAAAATGTTAGACCTTGTAACATAGATATTTTTTAGCAATGCAAGCGGTGAGGAAGCTATACTGATCTTACTTGGCATATGTTTTTTTACTTTCACTTACGTATATATGTAATATATAGTAAGTGTAAGTATTGCGATCGAGAAAATTTTTGAATCTGAGTTTTCGACGGATTTATACGTTTTGAGGTACCCTGAGTCGAAATGACCAAGTCCCGAAAAATGGTCGTGTGTCTGTGTGTTTGTATGTTAGCAGTCCTATGAAACTGATATCACGTATTTAAGATAGGTATATGCCTTAGTTGTAACGGCAACTTTGTCCTTAAAATCGGCAAACCGGAAGTGCCACTTTATATCAACGCTGAAACACATTTTCACAGTTTTCTCAAAAACGGCTCTAACGATTTTGATTAAACTCGGTGTATCATTGTATAATTAAGTGGTCTTTAATATAAATTAGGTCTTATCCCCATCGATGTCACTTTACAGGGCTTAAATGCCCAATGTTCATATACGTCTTCCTCTAAAGTACCTTTAATATGGTTTATTTTAAAAAGATAATTATTTCGCATTATTCAGAGTTACGAAAAAATGCTAAATATAACTTTTGAAAGAATTTGATAAGTTAATAAAGGAGAAAAAAAAATAAAAATGCAGAAAAACGTAGCTATAGACTGTAGCGCCTAAACGAATTTACCGATTTCATTGAAACTTCGCTAAAGTCATTTTCTCGACACCCTTCAAATTTATTACATTAGCAGAAAAAATTGAAATTTTTTATTATTTTGGTATTATAAAATTGAGATATTTAACTTATGAATATATATTTATCTTAGAACATCTTATTTTTGTTGTGTTCAAAATTTATCCATTTTTAGGGATTGGTAATCAAAATTCTTCTTTTGAGCTGAAGTTTATTGTTAGTGTAGGGTATGTTTTTGCATAGTTTTTGGGAATCTTCTTCTACGAAGTTAAGATATTTATTAATTTTAAGATGTTTATTATATTATTTCCTTTACCGTTTGTAATACATTTTTGCAATAGTTTTACTTTAAAATTTATTTTATTGTCCAGGCAGAGGAGTTTGGCGGTGGTTTATCAAAATTAATGATTAATGAAAAAATGAGAAATGACAATGTATGTATATTTTTATATTTGACATATATAAAGTTTATAAATACTTAATATATTTATATATTTACGACTAGGAATTACTCGATATACACTTCCATGTCCAGCCCAAATTGTCGATCACAGCTAGTGGATTTTTCAGATTGAACAACTCTTTATTTCAATCGGTAAGTAAAACATATTTCTAAACTGGTTATTTTTATAAATTAATTAATTGTATTTATTTATTTATTTGTAGATGCTTGCTTCAGCAACGACCTATATCGTTATTATTATTCAAGTTCAACCTCAAATGCAAGGAATCGTTTGCCCCGATCTTATCTACAATGGCACGGCGCCTGTAAGCTCTTGAGAAGTTCGATCACATTTATTAAACAATTATTAAAAAAAATTTTACATTAAAAAAATAAATAAATTTGTGAATTAATTTTTTAATATGTTATTTTCAATCCTACTATCTCAACCCATGTCAAACACACGGCTTGTAATTTATTCATGTTAATTAAGAAACAGACATTTTTATTTTTTTAAGTTTACAAGACATCGAATTTTCTCCATTTTTGGTTTTAAAATTTTATATTTACTAATTAGCGAATTGCTTATATTTTTTCTTTTTTGTAATTACTGTAAATACAGTAATTGTTACTAATAGCTAACTTTAATTACTCTAGAAGTAAGAGAAAAAAATACTATATATATATATATAGTATTTTTTCTAATATATAGTATTATATATATATATATATATATATATATATATATATATATATATATATATATATATATACTCAGTCAGTACTTGAACACCCTCAGTGCGCAAACCACGCCCTGAAGATGACCCACATGTTTGGGTTGAAACTTTGGCATGAATAAAAAATTAAAAATTTTTTTTTTAAAAAAGACTGAGTCCTGAATATTTATCACCCATGATATGCAGAACAGTCGACTAACTTACTTCTATATATATATATATATATATATATATATATATATATATATATATATATATATATATATATATATATATATATATATATATATATATTATATATATATATATATATATATATATATATAAGGAAGTTAATCGACTGTTCTGCATATCATGGGTGATAAATATTCAGGACTCAGTCTTTTTAAAATATATATATATATATATATATATATATATATATATATATATATATATATATATATATATATGAATTTATTTTTAAATGATCCTTGAAAGCCAAAAAAGTAATTACACGAATATTAATACGTAATTTATTGATAAATTAATTTCTTATATTTTTTACTCGATACTCTTACGTTTAATATTTTTATTATAGTATTAAAAAAAATATTGGCATTGTTTAAGTGTTTATCATAGATCGTACATAAAAACAACTATGGACCAATAAAAAATATATTATTTTTCCCACCCATAGATCTGCCAGTGGTGAAATGAATAAATGCAATGTGAGGGACTGCTTAATTTTCATAAAAAATAACTGATCAAAATATCTTTAAAAATTACAACTGCCCTAATATTTGCTACTGAAATATTGAATATGGTTCGATTATGATGGCGTTCTATGAGATAATAATACAGAATTGGGAACCATTTCTGAAGGCTGCTTGTCGGCAAAGTTCTTTTTTTTTTTTTTCTTATACTTAATAACAGAATTAAGTGCCAAAACTGTTTTCTATAATTTTTTATAAAATATTTTGTTTTGCCAAAAAAAAAAAAAATTCAATGAATGTTTTTTTATAATTGCAAACAAATAGGATAAAAGGCCATATTAGTATTCTATCTAATCCATCTCCTAAACGAAGCGTTTGCGGACATAACTTCAGTTTAAGCTATATTTAATATGAATATTAATGTTTACATTTAATTAATAAAGTAGTTAAAACAAATAAATTGGTTTTATTTATTTCATATAACGTAAATAATTCACAATAACGAAAATCTTTAGGTGTGAATATCTCCTAAACAAAGCGTTTGCGGACATACCTTCAGAAGAAATTTTTTTTCTTGTTTTGAGATCCATAGTTCATTTTTGCAGTTTGGCTACTTAACTCTGAAACAACCTGTATATTCAGATATTTGCTTCTTCAACAGTGCTTCATTTACAAACTTCTCCATGTGGGAGTTTAGTTTAAAATAATTATAAATATATAAACTAATATAATTTATTTTATATGTATATACACAACCCAAAATCTCATGTTCAGGGTACGTTTGTTAATTTTGTTATCAAGCGAAATACTTGCTACTGTTATCAGAGCTGTTTCAATACATAAAATGGTAAGTTATTTATAATAATCTGTTAGTTACATAATATGACAAGTTTATGTTATATTTATCGAGCACTATTTATTCTGCTGATTTAAAAATAATTTGAAGATGACTATTTTTTATAAAGTAATAGAAAATGACTGATCGATAACCACTTGATATATTTACTTGTTGCCGCTCTCGCATGACCTGTAGCAATAGGATTATAGATTTTTTAATTATCATTTAAATAATTTATTGAATTATTTACTCTTTAAAGAGATAAATACTAAAGAATTTCAAATAATAATAATCAATTTATCTACTTTTTTAAAAGTATTCTGACATTGATTTGAGATAATAATGCGCATGATTTTATCAATAGTAAGGTTATTTTTATAATAATACATAACTGTTAGGTATTATCTTATGATTAAAAATTAGAAACTAATTATTTATTTCATTTTTTCAAAACTCTTTTATTGAATAATATTCTAATCTATTGTACTATTCAATTTTATATACCATTCTGTACTATATTATATTATTATTCTACAATTGAAAACAATAATAATCGTGATGAAAGAGCACATTCACAGAAAAAATAAATAAATAATTTAAATAGTATCAATATAATACATTAAAATAGGAAGAAAATACAATAGAAAAAAGAAAAATATATGGATTGAAAAAGTAAAATAAACATCTTAAGCAGAGGCCTACCTTTATAAATATTTGCAATCACCAAGGAAAACTTCGAACCAGGCTTGTCCTCCACTTGTGTAGGGAAAAGAAAGACTACAGGATATCCCAGCGCTTCTTTCACATCCCCGTCAAAGACAGTGAAGATGGAGCTAGGAGACTGCAGATTTACACTACTTCACACTACAGATCTACACGAATGGAGACTTTGGTCATTACAAGACCTCCAATATATACATACTATTTGGCCCGTGCGAAAAATTCGCAGACAATTTTATTTAGTAAAATAATAGTAAAACAATATGGAAATAAGTAGTTCCTATGTATTATGTAATGAAGGAATTAATATTTTTTCCTTATTCCATTAAACATAATTGACCAAAATATTTGTACAAATTGCTTTGCTAGGACCAATTTTTAAACGCTGGCTGTAAAGATAATAAAGGTAATACAGAAAAAATAATGCCCCGATCATAGGATATTCTAAATTATTAAAAAAAAATAAACTGTAAGAACAAGCAAATGTCTTTAAGAAATAATAAAGTTAATATAAAAACCAGAAAAAAAATATAGTAAACTATTATACTCCTAAATGCAATATCTTTAAACAGGAAGACATTATTAAGTATAACAAAACTAATGGACTGTATCTTTGTTAATAATTGTCCGAATTTTACAATTTTTTTTGTTTTGTAGGTAATTTAGTAATCTTTCTAATTATCATGGGTGCACTCTAGAAAAAAATGCATACTTTTTGAGTTATTCACACATAAAGTTTCTTTTCTCCATAACTTTTTTCGCATGTGAAGGAGAAGAATATCTTCAAAATGAGTGGTCAATCATTGGATTTGATGAAGAATTGACAAAGTTATGGCGTACCGACGAAAAAACATCTTTTTGAAATAATATATAGGATTTACAAAAGATCGCGGTGCCACTACCGTTTTAACTTTTGGGGAGAATTGTAGGGATAAGTGGAGCTAAGATGATTGTACTACAGGGTTTGCCTGATGAATAAGATGTTGGTGAAATTTAGAGATAATGTTTGAGATAAGGTCTAGGATAAATGAGATGTTATGTTGGGTTTTGTGCATCGACTATTGTTTGAAGGAATTTTTTTCGTCCATACATTCCTCGCCTTTTCGGCTATACGGGGATTTTTCTAGTTCAGGAGTGAGGGCGGGAGATAAATGTCAGAGTTAAAAGTCTCCACGTCATTGGGACGTGAACTCTTAATTATTATACCGTGATATTTTCGTGTTATTATTCCGCTTGGCCACTCCGCCTCACTTTGTTTGAAGGATTTAAAACTGAAAGGATCGATGTGTTTGACGTTAGAATATTTAGCTGTTCTCCACAGTTCTAGTTCATAATTACTTACATTAATACCAATATATAAATACTAGTTGGTCCGTGAGAATAATTCGCATATTAAATTGGCCAGCGAACAATTGACAATATAATATGTAAATAATTTAATGCAATTTATTATGAGATGGAGGAATTAATTTTGTTTTCTTCTGGCGATTACAACGGTTCATTCAGTATAATAAACCAAACCATATGTACAAATTACAATATTATTTTTCGTTTTTTTAGAGAATACAGGAACCTTTCAAATTATATAAGGTATAATCATACATTAGGCATCTAAAGTATACGATAACTAGAAAAAACGAAATTGAAGAGGATATTAAGGTTAGGCTGAAGGCGGGAAATGCTTGTTATTTTTCTTTGTCAAAACTACTTAGCTCGCGCCTCTTGTCCCGGAACTTAAAAATTAGAATCTATAAAACAATTATCCTACGGCTCTTTATGGATTCGAAACGTGGCCGCTTACATTAAGGGATGAACAACGTCTTAAGGTTTTTGAAAATAATGTATTGCGTAGAATATTCGGACCTGAGAAGGACGAGTCAACTGGAGAATTTAGGCAGTTACACAATGCTGAATTGCACCCGATTTATATAATTGAGGTGATTAAGACACATACACATATATTCATGAAATTTCCGGAGAAATACGCTTATCTTACTCACCTGAAAGAGAAGCTCATCTTCAAAATCATGGTTCAATCTTATAATTTGATGAAGGAATAACGAAAAAATAATAACAATTTGACAATATTTTTTTTATTTATTAATGATATTCACAACTGTATTAAAGAAACACAGTGAATTTGTAAAAATGCATATAATAACTTGAAAACACTCGCCACTGCAACATGGTAGCATTCTAATAATATGATAAAATTAGGAGATCACGGAGCTATCTTCTTTTCAGACGCCTCGGAGGGTTATCAGGAATTGAAGAGGAAGCAAGGATAGAAACAAGAGGGTTGGGATGATTATGAAGTTTATTATGGAAGGATAGAGGTATCTGGATTG